CTCTCACAACGTTCGGTCCTCTCCCAGCTAGGCAAGTGCCCTGGGAAATCGATCCAAGCTGGATCGCCGAGCTGCCTCTGCCGCTGCTTTTTTGGTGTCGTGTGCAGGCCCCGACACTAGATACACCACCTAACCCTAACCCTAACCCTAACCCTAACCCTAACCCTAACCCTAACCCTAACCCTAACCCTAACCCTAACCCTAACCCTAACCCTAACCCTAACCCTAACCCTAATTATATAGTCCGTAATATTGATTTAACTATTATTAATCCGGATATTTACGACGGCGAGCGTATTTATTAATATATTTTTATAATACCTTTTTTTAAGTTAATAATTAAATATATTAATAAATATATTAAGCGCTATTTATTAGAATACGTCCGACGGTATAGTATTATTTTTATTTATAACGGCCTTAGCTAATTATTTAAATTTATTTTATATTTAGTTTTACCTTTTTATAAACTAGTACGGCGGCTTTTTATCGTCCGATAGCTTTTATATATAGGATTATATATATAATAAGACTTTTTAAACGTTTTTATATCGTATTTATATATCTTTTTTTATATAGTTATTAAACGGCCGAGCGGGCTTAATATATATTTCTTTTTATTAAACCTTAAATAATATTATATAATCGATTTTATTTAGTATTAACGTGGCCTTAGCCCGCTTTAAGATTTCTTAAATTAAAATTTATATTATTTATAATACGTCCTCCTTAGCCTTTTAGATCGGCGCTATAGTTTCGTAAAGTTAGTTAATATATAGTCCGTATAGATATTTTACTTAACTTATTTATTAAAGCTATAAATTCGGCTTTAATATATTATTAGTTTTATAAACGAGATTATTATAATTAACTTTTATTTATTCGGTATATTTTTATTATAATTAATAAAGAGTTTTTATAATATATTATAACGCCGCTTTTTTTATAATAACGTCCGGCGCTAGACTTAGCTATAGGCCGCGGCTTATTTTAAACTATTAGCTTTTAGCCTAGGCTAAAAAGAATTTTTAATATCGTATTTCGATCGTTTATAATATATTTTATGCTTTTTTTAATTATATATTAATATTATTACTTTTTTTTTAACCGTTTTTTTAGTTATAATGTTTTCGGTAATAATTTTATATTTATTAGATTTAGCGATTAATATATAAATATTAATAATAACGGATGCCGTCCGTTCGTAGCTTAGTAAGATAGTTAATAAGGTTTATTATTAACTTAGGGTAGCGTAGTTATTTAAAATTTATTTAGTTTTTATATATATTTAATATATTAAAAATAGCGGTTATAATATTAATATAACTAAGTATTAATATATTATAATACCGTATTTATAAGTGCGTTATTATTTTATTATATATTATAGCGAATTAGTATATTTTATAAATAGTAATTAAATATTTTTTATTAAATATAAACGGTTTTATTATATATAAAAATCTTATAAAAATATATAGCTTGTTATATAATAATCGTAAGATAATACAATAATAAATAATATAAGTTTTTAAAAATAGTGAGCTATACTAATTATAATTAGAATTAGATATTATTAAATAAGTAATTATTTTAGTTACGGCGTTATATTAAACGTTAAAATTGTTATTTTTCTTAGTTATAATAGTAGGCGTTATTTAGTCTATAATACATTAAGCCCGTACCTTATCGCAAAACCGTAATAATTTTAATTACTATTTTATAATAGTAATTTAAAAAATAAATATTTATAACGTTATAAGCGTTATAAATTAATTAAGATAAATCGATATATGTTAATTTCGTATTATTTATTTTAAGAAGCGTTTATTAACTTTACTTTATATATTTTTTATTAATTTTACCCCCCTGCTTTTATATCTTATATTTATTTTATTAAGTATTTTTTATTAACTTTATTATAGTTCGTCGTATTCGCTAAGTTAGGTTATAAACTTTTATATTATATCTTAAATATAAATAAAAAAACTTTATATATTATTATTAACCGTTTTTTTATTTATTATAATAGCTAAACGGGCTACGTTATATTACTTCTTTATTTATATTTTATATATAATAAGTATATATACGATTTTAATAACGGCCGAATATTTTATTATATAATCCGTAATATCGATTTAGCCGCTGTTAGTTTAAATATTTATAATAATAAATATACTTATTAATACGTTTTTATAATACCCTTTTTTAAATTAATAATTAAATATATTAATAAATATATCGAGTGCTATTTATTAAAATACGTTTAATAGCGTAATACCGCTTTTATTTACGACGGCTTTAATTAACGGCTCGAATTCGTTTTATATTTAGTTTTACCTTTTTATAAACCGGTACGGCGGCTTTTTATCGTTTAATAATTTTTATATATAAGATTATATATATAATAAGACCTTTTAAACGTTTTTATACTGTATTTACGTATTTTTTTTTATATAATTATTAAACGACTAGGCGGGTTTAATATATATTTCTTTTTATTAAACTTTGAATAATATTATATAGCCGATTTTATTTAGCGTTAATATAGCCTTAGCCCGTTTTAAAACTTTTTAAATTAAAGTTTATATTATTTATAATACGTCCTTTTTAGCCTTTTAAATTAGCGCTATAATTTTATAAAACTAATTAATATATAATTTATATAAATATTCTATTTAACTTATTTATTAAAATTATAAATTCGGTTTTAATATATCGTTAGTTTTATAAATAAAATTATTATAACTTACCCTTATTTATTTAATATATTTTTATTATAATTAATAAAAAGTTTTTATAATATACCGTAACGCCGCCTCTTTTATAATAACGTCCGGCGTTAAACTTAGCCATAGGCCGTAACTTATTTTAAATTATTAGTTTCCGGCCTAAGTTAAAAAGAATTTTTAATACCGTACCCTAATCGTTTATAATATATTTCGTATTTTTTTTAATTATATATTAATATTATTATTTTTTTTTTAATTATTATTTTAGCCGTAGTATTTTTAATAATAATCTTATATTTATTAAATTTAATAATTAATATATAAATATTAATAATAACGGATATTATCCGTTCGCGGCTTAATAAAATAATCGATAAGGTTTATTATTAACTTAGGGTAACGTAATTATTTAAAATTTATTTAATTTTTATATATATTTAATATATTAAAAACGGCGGTTATAATATTAATATGGCTAAGTATTAGTATATTATAATATCGTATTTATAAATACGTTACTATTTTATTATATATTATAATAAATTAGTATATTTTATAAATAGTAATTAAATACTTTTTATTAAATATAAACGGTTCTATTTTATAAAAATATTTTATAAAAGTGTATAGCTTATTATATAATAATTATAAGATAATATAATAATAAATAGTATAAGTTTTTAAAAATAGTAAGTTATATTAATTATAATTAGAATTAAATACTATTAAATAAGTAATTATTTTAATTATAATGTTATATTAAATATTAAAATTATTATTTTTTTTAATTATAATAATAAGCGTTATCTAATTCGTAATACGTTAAACCCATATCCTATTGTAAAACCATAGTAATCTTAACTACTATTTTATAATAATAATTTAAAAAATAAATATTTATAACGTTATAAATATTATAAATTAGTTAAAATAAATCAATATATATTATTTTCGTACTATTTATTTTAAAAAACGTTTATTAATTTTATTTTATATATTCTTTATTAACTCTACCCTTTTACTTTTATGCCCTATATTTATTTTGTTAGGCATCTTTTATTAACTCTAATATAGTTCGTCGTGTTCCTTAAGATAGGTAAAATAAAAAAGAGATATTTAATTAAAAATTAGCTCGTTAATTAATAATTAATATAAAGGTCTATAAATAGTCTATGCGCATGCGCTACCTCGGGGTCGAATTATACTTCTAATTTAATATATCTTAATATTTTAAGTATTAATATAAGAATTAGAAACTTTGACCTAGGTATATCCTAGGGCGACTGTATAGTGTATTCGAGTCAGCCGGCGTCGCCGAGATGAGCTTGGTGCACGACCATAGAAACAAAACTAAAGCGGAATAGCCCCGGAGACGGCAGGAGAGAGATTTTCAGCTGTCCAGGTTCGAATAGCAAAACACTAAAACCCATTTAAAATTAAGATTAAATTCATTAATATGCATTACCGGCGTACCCGGTCATTAAGGCCGGTCGCCTACTTACTTTCAAGTTTAGGTTTAAGAGCTAAGTTCGAGTCAAGGCGGCTAGCAAATAGACCTCTTGGCTGGCCAACACTGTTCTTTTAAATAAGGCAGCTCGCTCTGTCAAGCTAGCCAGCTCTCTCACTGCCCTACGTCTAATCGAGACAATGAAATTTTTGATAGTTCTTTTCCTCTTGGTGGTCGGCGCATGCTGTACCGATTCGAATCTCGCCCCTCCCGATCTTAATGTTGTCACCGATGAGAACTTCCCACGCAACGTGGCAGCTCAAGCCGATTCTCTCAGTGTAAGCCATCATGGAAGCTTGACTTCGCTCGAAGCCCACAAAGCCTACAAAAGACTAAGTTGGGTCATTCCTGGCACGCCGAGAAGAGACCAATACTATTATTTCATGAGCTGCACCCTACCCCGTAAAGGTTACATACCGGAAAACGAAGCTACATATTCCGTTATGAAAAAAACAGGTTGCATCCATGTGGGGCTTGTCGTAGGCCAAGTATCCGGGCGGTGGTGGAGGAGAGAATTCAACGGAACTTATCTTGATGTGCGACTGTTATATGGGGACCAGCAACCTGGGGTCCAGCAACCTGGGCTCCAGCAACCTGGGGTCCAGCAACCTGGGGTCCAGCAACCTGGGGTCCAGCAACCTGGGCTCCAGCAACCTGGGGTCCAGCAACCTGATCGCTGGTTCCAACGCAAAAGGGACTTTAAACCTAATGAATATCAAGAGTAAGTGCCTTAACTAAGTAATATTTTCTAAGCTTAATATGTCTTATCTATAGACCCTAAACTTAGTTATTGCTAGTTATCTCCCATACTAACATTCTTTTAGTTATATCTACAAAGGAACAACGACTTCAATAAAAGCGAATATAACTAGCCTCTGGGAGAAAGGTATATTATAAAAGTAGCCGTATATAACTTATGGATTCAAGCTAAGAAAATAATATATAACTAGGTGAACAGTGGGTTTTAGAAAGTAAAGGAGAGTTTCATGAATATATGAACTGCTTAATTTATTATAAGTACCTTGAAAAGACGTTAGAACCTTGACGTAAGGGCAACTAAAGTTTTATCACAATCGCTTTAGTGTTCCCTTTAGCTCTCTTAACATAGCGCCCTAGTTTACTATACAGGTTCTAAGACTTATTATTAAAGACCTATTACCTTAGTTTAATCTCTTTTTATATTTATAAATAGACGGGAGGTTAGAGTTATATTAAAATTATTACGACTTATAAATAAGGAAGGATAATAGCTAAACGACCTACCGGGATGTAAGGCGGCTAAAATAGGACATTTGGATTGATTTTTAATACGGATACATAAAGAATATCCCGCTTTTAGCCATAGCATAACCGACAGAACTTTCCGTTTCCTTTCAGTCCTCCTTTCTTCTTTACTCCCCTTCAGCACCCACCCTCTTATATGCCGCTTACTTTAATCTTTACCGTCCCCCTTTATTTTATACATTAAACTAACCGTTCTTTATCGGCTTATCGCTACTTTTATTTATCACTACTTTGTTAAATAAGATATTCTTCTTCAAGTCTCCTTAATTCAAAATACTAGGTGTTACTACGGTAGAATTAATATTGCCTTCCGGAGTTATGGTTTAGTAGGCCTTTTGCACCACGCCGCTAACGGGTGACTTCGATCGTAGCAGACGATACGAGTAGAGCGGTGAAGTATATCGCTTCCGAGGCAACGTTCCATGGTCGAAATTCAAGCTGGAGCTGTGACACAGTGTTGCCCACTGTGCCGCCGTCTTTGCAGCTTGTCGCTAGGTTTAGTCAGTGCCAAATCACAAGACGTTCCAAATCGACAATAGTTGTATTGCACTTGTATATGTCGATGGAAAAGGCCAACATCTCGCGCTAACCCTCGTCAGGAAGCACATAGTTAAAGAAGGCTTTCCCATGGCCAGGCCGCCCGGTTGAAAAGACCATCAGCAACACCACCAGCCTTGGTCATAGCCGGCTTCGCGCCCAGGGAGGACCAGTCGGGAATACAGAAACAGCCTGTAGCCGCCTCAATGTCGATCCAGTCTTCCGCTTGGTCTGGGCCCTCGAATGTGGATACGAAAGGCCTGCTTTGGTAGTGGAAGTAGGCGCCCGAACCTGAGTAGCTATTGATGAGAGACTCCACCTCGCTTTTGGGCCATGGACCGTTTCCGGCGTAATCAAAGGAGAAGAAAAGTTGAAATCCGAGAGAAGAGGCGTGTTGGAACGCCGCAGCTACAGAGTTTTCGTTGGTCGGATCGCCGTAAGCCATGTTGAGCGCAAAGGCATCAATGTGAGCCTTCTGCGCGGCAGAGATATCACCAATCCAGTCATTTGCACTATAGTTGGCCGAGTTGGTGATCTGTCGGCATGTTTCAGCAGGGAATTTCGTCTGAGAGGGAGGGCGAAAATTACCAGACAGTGAGCGAATACGGATTGGCTTTGAGCAATGCCTATCAGGGCTAGGATGCCCACGAGCGAGGCGAAGGCAATTATTCTCTAAGATGCAATGACCCAGGACACGAAATACGGTCCCTTTGACTCGGATTTGTAGTCTCGATGGCCAAAGGAAATTTAAAGTTAATGATAGTGTCTGAAAGATCGTTTAGAAGTTCGGCGTCTTTCCAGTGCCCGGACGAATAGCATGAGACGCTCCAACTAATCAGGGCGGCGTCCAGGAAAGCGCTCGGTCTCATTTGACTCAGCAACTGACTGGCTAGACTATGACCTCTATTCCCGCGCCGCGCATAAGGCGGCAATGGATTTCCTACATCACGCGATGGTTTGACTCGACGATGCGAGTTGGATTATTCCCATGCAGCCCATGAGGCAGAGGTGGGAGCCGGCGTCCAATGAACGCAGGTAGACCAAAGCAGATCCCAATCTCGGGAGCAACCGTTTTTCCAACGGCAAAATGCCCCAAAATATGTGGAAATAGCCTCGGTCTATCGGAGGAATGCTTATGGCATGGCTCCTATCCCATTCACCCGGCGATTGCAGTACCCGTTTTGGTCGAGTACCAGGTCCTTGCTAAGTAAGGAGTTGAGGCTGAGTGCAGAATGGGTTGCATGTAATTCAGGCTAAATAGGAATCGCGGCCTCGGGCTGTTGAGATCGCTTGAAGTCAGAGCACAGACTTCCAAAGGAATGCTAAGCCAAGGGTGGATTTGTCCTTGTCACCAATAAGGCAGAGTCGCCAATGGCCGGAAGACTAGGCGCACTAGAGAAGAAGACTCAAAAAGAACGAAATAAGACTCAGGAGAGAAACAATATAAGACTCAACGTGGAACATGACCGTTGGAGGCGTCATTTCTCCCAGTCAACCATTTCACTACTTGACCAATACGCTAGCCATGATGTGGAAAGTCACGTTGTGCAAAGTTCTCAGCCTTGCTCTCCTCGCCCCCGCTATTCTGGGCGAAGAGAGCTCAATTATTTCCGACAAGCCCGTCAGTGAGCATCAACTCGCCAGCAACAACCATGCTCCTCAGATTTGGGTCGACTCTCGTGACTTCAAAGGCGTCCAACGTGCTGCAGCAGACCTGTCGCAAGACTTTGGGCGTGTCTTTGGAGTAAACGGTACACTGTCGCACGCGGCCAGTCTGCCAAACACCACGAACGCTACGTCAGTCATCATAGCTGGATCTCTTGGAAAGTCAGAAATCATTGACAGCCTGGTGTCCGACGGCAAAATCGACGTTTCCGAAATCAAAGGAGACTGGGAGGCTTACACTATTGTCTTCCTTGAAGCTCCTATCGAGGGCGTTCCCTGGGCCTTGGTCATTGTTGGAAGCGATGAACGCGGAGCCATCTTCGGTATCTATGACATCTCTGAACAGATAGGCGTCTCGCCGTGGTATTGGTGGGCAGACGTTTCGCCTAAGCCGATATCTGGGGTATGGATTCAAAATACGAAAAAGGTTCAACCGACGCCTTCAGTGAAGTACCGTGGGTTCTTCATCAATGACGAGGCGCCGGCCTTAACTGGATGGGCGGAAAAAAAGTTTGGGCTCACCCCAAGCGGCAGACCGTTCAACAGCGAGTTTTACAAGCTCGTATTCGAGCTTTGCCTCCGTCTCCGATCGAACTACATTTGGCCCGCCATGTGGGGAAGCAGTTTCTACGTCGATGACCCGAAGAATGGACCATTGGCAAACGACTTTGGTGTCATCATCGGCACCAGCCACCACGAGCCGATGGCCAGATCCGAGACAGAGCAGAAGAACACAGTCCAAGGGCCCTGGGACTGGGGTATGAACAAAAAAAATATTACCCAGTTTTTCAAAGGCGGAGTGGATCGCGCTCGGGATTGGGAAACATTCTTCACCATGGGGATGAGAGGGTCAGGCGACGTTGCTTCGCCGACGCTGACCCCCGACCAGCTTGAAGACATAATCTCCGTCCAGCAGTCTTTGTTGAAAGAGGGTCTGAATGTAAGCGACATTAGTGAGATACCACAAACCTGGGTTTTGTACAAGGTCGGTGTATTCGAATGCCACAGTCAAGTCAAGATGCTAACCGGCGTAGGAGGTCGGTCGTTACTACCAAGCTGGGATGGACGTGCCAGACAGCGTCACTTTGCTTTGGACTGACGATAATGCCGGGAACCTTCTCAGAACGCCGCTTGCGAATGAGACGGACCATTCAGCCGGGCATGGCGTCTACTACCATTTTGACTACGTTGGGAGTCCAAGGAACTACAAGTGGATCAATACCATACAGCTGTCCAAAACATGGGAGCAGATGCATCTGGCCTATGAGAAAGGCGCTAGAGAGATTTGGATCGTGAACATCGGAGACATCAAACCTCTCGTGAGTCATTGCCTCATCCATATGACGTCAAACACCTACTAACGCCAGCGGAAGGAAATCCCTTTGACGCATTTCTTGGATATGGCCTATGACATGTCAAAATATGCCACTCCTGATAGTACGTCCGAATGGATCCGTCGCTGGGCCACCCGTGAATTCGGCGGTTCAGTAGCTGATAGGACCGCGGAGATTCTGAACACATACGGTAAACTGGTTATTCGCCGGAAGTACGAGCTGCTGAGCCGTCAGCCCTTTGCGTACAGTGTTGCTTACTATGACGAGGCAACGCAAGTCATGCAAGAATGGTCTGATCTTTTGAAGCTCGCTCAAGACACGTATAACTCCCTCCCGCAATCTACCAGAACGCCGTTTTTCCAAATGGTGCTCCACCCCGTTCTGGCTGGGAGCACTGTCGTCGAGCTCTACATCAAAGCCGCTCTAAACGCCTGGACTCTTCGACAACGGCGCGTCAGCGCCGACCGACTAGCGAACGATGTTCGCGATCTATTTGCGGAAGACCAGCGCATCACTGATAGGTACCACTCCATGAACGGAGGAAAATGGGATGGAATGATGGCCCAGCCTCACATTGGGTACACAACTTGGTCGGACCCGCCATCGAATATCATGCCGCAAGTGGGCTACCACGCCCCGGCGAATGTCCCCAAAGCTGGAATAATGGGCGTCTCAGTTCAGGGCAGCAACCAGAGTTCGCCTGGCGACCCCGAGCCTAGTCTTCTATCTGTGGATCCATACATGCCTCTCTCAGAAATCCGTTATATCGATGTCTTCGCCCGGGACAATGGCACGTTTTCCTATGAAGTCAAAAGCAACGCGACATACGTCACGGTATCGAATCCCAATGGTACTATAACAGCTCCGGGCGACCGCAGTGATAAGCGTTGCATAGTCTCCGTGGACTGGGACGCAGCTCCGGCTGGACTGAGCTGGGTCGGGCTGAGAGTACAGGCCACCAACGCCCCAGGCAGCTGGCCAATCACCGCGACGCTGCCTGTCAACAAAACATCCGTTTCAGGATCGTTCAGTGGATTTGTTGAATCTGGAGGCGTGGTCGCCATTGAAGCGGAACATTACTCGGAAACCCAGCCAAAGAACGAACTCTCGTACATCATAATCCCGCATTACGGTCGCACTCTGTCTGGAGTGAAGCTTTGGCCAGTCACGGCAGACTCCCAGACTACATCAACCGGGCCGAAGCTGACATACTCCTTTTACAACTTCCGGTCGCGCAGCAATGCGAGAGTCATGCTTTTCTTGGGCACAACACTGAACCACGATCCGAGCCGCCCACTCAAGTACGCCTTCGCGATAGATGGTGGAAGCCCGGTGATCGTGCAGCCGGTTCCTGTGACCCCCATGGGAAGTGATCCTGCTGGATGGTCAGACGCGGTGATTGCAGGAGGCTGGACGTCGTCGACCGTTGTTAACCTCTCCAATGGCTCGCATATTCTCGATCTCTGGCTGCTTGAGCCGGGAGTCGTGATCCAGAGGCTGGTCATTGATCTTGGAGGCTTCAAGCAGAGCTCTCTTGGCCCCCCGGAGAGCAGACAGTATCCATAAACAAAGAAAAAACATAGTTGCTTAGCTTACCTTAGAATCCGGACGATTGCTCCAATGTGCGGACATAGTTAGGCGCATTGGAAGATTATCGCCACCAAAAAGCTCTGAAATCCCTTGTACCTTCGAAACAATAGTATCAAATTGAATTTATTGTCACCTTCTTCAATTCTCATTGTTCATCCAGGATAGAGTCAAGATGCGCCAGAATCTACTAAACCGGTAGCCACATGCGGCTTCAGCCATACCTTTTCTCACCCCAAAGCCTGAAATATTCCTGCATCCTACCGTGAGCTTCGAAGCCCACTATATACCTGTTTATGCATAAGTCTCAATGTCATCATGCCCCTAAATGATCCTATGAGATCTGGAAAGAAAGCGAGTACTTCTGTGACAACGAAACCATGTTGCGGTGCGCGGTGGGCCCAGGCTGGTCCCGTATCCCATGCATACAAGGCTGGGGAGTTTCGTAGACGAACTGCATCTGGAATTTCTCCACCAGTTACATGAGGGCACATGTACTCTGGATCATCCCACCGGCTCCTTAGACATCCAATCCTCCTCCGGTTGCCCGAGCCCTTCAACCGAAAATACTTTGCGTGGATCACTCATCTGAACGGTAGTATGACGATGTTAGGAACCGGTATTTTCTCAGATTTTCCTGTAGTAGCAAATTAGGAAAATTAGAAGAAAATCAAATTACCCGGCGGAGATGTGGACTTCATCGAAAATTGAGCTGGTAAACATTGACCGCTTACTTTGAGAGGTAGGCCAATGCAATGTAAAGGCTTGGCATGGAATTGCTTTTAAGTTGTTTTAAGTTGTAACTATCCTCAAGCAGCAACGAAAGATTGTCATGCTTTCTTGCAAACCACTTGCTTATACGAAAACTTCGTTTACATCTAGATTGGCAGCAAAAATAACCCGGCCATCATGAGAATCATCTGGTTGATGTCCTTTTTCTCACTGGGACGTACGCTGTCCCAGGATGAATCATCTGCCGCTGGAATGCATTGGGTCTCGACTTGGACGGCAGCCTCACGTGATGTTGGCGGCACCAACCTCCCTCCCAGTCCCTACGTGAGTAATGCTAATTCGCGGCACCATCCACTCCTGATTGCTTCTGTATTCTCCCATCTGACACGCCTCAAAAGGGTGGCTCTTCTGTCACGGTACAGTTCAAAAATACCACGATTCGACAGACATTCCGCTCTTCCATTGGTGCCGGGCGGATTAAATTTAAGTTATCAAACCAATTCAGCAAGCAGCCTTTGCCCATCACGGCGGCGTCCATAGCCCTGCCAAAGGACGGCGCGACCGGAACAGCGGATATCCAATCATTGTCAGCCAAAGAGCTTACCTTTGCCGGCGCTGCATCCGTTGTGCTGGCACCGGGTGAAATTATCTACTCAGACGCCATCGAATTCAACCTTCGGCCGCTGTCGACCATTGCACTCTCGTTATACTTGAGGGATGGCCAGTCCGGCACGGTGCTCACTGGACATCCAGGTAGCCGCACCACGACCTGGCTCCAGACAGGAAACGCAGTTAATGCTACATCGGTCGCTGAACAAAGCATGATCGGCTGGTTCTTCGCCGCGCAAATAGAGGGCTGGGTGACTGGAGATCATCGCGGGCTGGTTGCCTTGGGCGACAGCATTACAGACGGTCTTGGCAGCGAAACGAACAAGAACAATCGGTACGGATCTCAACAGTTTTTTTGCTGCACCACTTGAGCTGTCAACAAGATTACTAATGCGAGGTCAGATGGACCGACGTTCTCGCCGAAAGGCTTCAGCAGACTGGCATGACATCTCTAGCAGTCAACAATCAAGGCATTGGAGGCAACGCAGTTGTTCAAGGGGGCTTGGGCCAGACACTCCTCAAACGATTTCAGAGAGATGGGGTCAGCCAATCTGGCGCCAAATACCTTCTCATATTCGAGGGGGTAAATGATTTGGGGTACTCCGGGTTGGACGCTGCCTCACAAGAACAGATGTTTGAGAATCTCACCAGGGCATACACCGATCTCGTCTTTCAAGCTAGAGCCGCGGGGCTCATCACTATTGGCGCAACTATCACTCCGTTTGGGGGTAGCGGCTATGCGCATCCCTTACGGGAAGCAACTAGAGTCAGGATTAACGATTGGATCCTCAAGCATAGTACGTATGACCATACTGTGGACTTTTCAGCAATGGTTGGAAATGGAAGCGATAAGCTATTGCCTGAGTACAGCTCAGACGGTCTTCATTTAAGCGTGGCTGGCTATAAGCAAATGGGTGAACGGTTCCCCCTCGAAATACTACAGTAGCTTGCTCTTGTAGACGGGCATTAGCTGACTATTTGGTTAATTGATGACAAAGGCTCTTACCGGGTTTTCTGAAACTTCTTTCCTTACAGATACATTTAAAGACTTGTTATATAAAGCTATATCTAGATTATTAAAATATTAGGATGAGGCTATTGCGAGTCTTAGTAGGGAGAGTGAAATGGAAAGCGGCCACTTCCTACTGACAGGAAAAAAGAGCTCTCTAATTTAAAATATTAAATATAAATTCGACGTATATATTAAAGAACTTTACTTATAAATTCACTATAATTAGAATATTAACTTCTTATAAAACATTAAGGTTTATTTTTAAAAAAAAAAAAAAACTCATAACCTTTTATCTTTTTAATTATTTCAAAATATATTATAAATAGATTATATTATATAATAGTTAAACTCTTCGTGTTAAAAAAACTTTATATTTCTTCTTCGGAGCCTTGTCACATTAGCCTTATAGCTATTAATAAGTATTAGATTTATATCAACTTTAAATATTAATATTAACCGGAGCTCTAACCTATTTCTAAGCCTAGACTCTATTCTAAAGCCTTATAGCTATTATAATGCTGAGGTATTACTAAGTTGACTTAGCTTAAAAAAAAAAACTAGTTTAAATCTATTATTAACGCTTCTTTAATAGTGAATAAAATAGTTTAATAATAGCTAATAGTCTGGAGCGGCTGTATAAATCTCTAGATAAAGAGCCAAAAGTTTTAGTACCTTAAGTAATTATAACGTAAATAGATCTTTAATAAAGAGGTAGGGTAGTACATAGAAAAGTATCAGCCTTGTAGCATCAATATTATTCTGAATTCAGATCGCATCAACGTAGAAAGTACACCCTGTGTTTGAGAAGAATCTTATTGCTGTCCTATTCAAAGTATGTGATATAGATAAGAGGCTCCGGGAAAGGGGCTTTGGCCAGCCTACATCTAATCTACGACGGAGCCGCAGATGCAGCTACAGTCGGAGCTGGAGTTTTCTCCTTTTCGGGCCTTCGCCCAACAAGAATGTGCCTAAAAACGTTTATAAGATGAATCTATAGCAGTAGATGAGGATGAGGAAAACTTACTGAGGCCAATACGCGTGAATGCTTCGGTCATTCCCATTCTTACGGACGTCAATGAGGAAGACTCGGACCTCCTCTGGGGTCCAGTCCAACGCGCGTGTGAGGGGTGCCATTGTGATTGCCTCCATGCCCGTCATGAAGTTTTCATTATTCCACGCGCCAAGCTCCTTGAAATGCTCATCCTTTGGCCAAGGGTTGGTCGGCCACTTATATGTACTTAGCGTCACGTCTTCAAAGCCAATCTCAATCATGAGGTCCCTCAACTCGGGCGTATCAACCCACGCTGCTCCGAGCTTGATTGACGCTTGCATAAGATACTTGGACCAATGGGACAGAGCGTGCTCGGGCTTCAAAGTTCCGTCGTCGGACTTGGCGAAAATGGCGGTCTCCTGAAGCTCAACGTAGCCACCAGGCTCGAGATTGCTATATTCGCTATGATCAGCTACTATTTTCACTGTTTTCGCTTGTGAATACAGAGTGGCGGAAGCCTTACTCGTAGCATCTTTGTAGGAACAACCTCCAGTCCCTGATACTGGATGTCATAAAGCGACTGTGGATGTAGTGGAATGGCTGTGAAAATGACCACTCGTCTTCGATATCGTCGACCTCAAACCTCACGTTATGAGGTACGCTAGAAACATGACATTAACATTGTTCGCCGGGCACTGACGTTACTCCAGACAAACCTGCTAGGCTGAGTTGCTGAAAGGTCAATACCCAAAATAGCGGCTTCCGGGTGGTCATCTCCAAAATGAACCGCCCAAATTCCTGTACCTGTACCGACATCAAGGACCCGACCGACCTTGGCATCTTCGTCACAAGGTGGGGCAATGCCAAGTCGGTCCCTCAGCATGAGAAGGCATAAGTGATGAACCAAGTCTGCAACATGGGTTAGCTAGAAATCAAATCGCAAAATCAGCGTGGAAGGTACCTAGTCTTTCGAGCTCTCGGTCGTCGTTCGGGAATAGATATTCTACAGCACTAGCTAAGCTTCTCAATTACTCAATATGAGTCTCATGAACCTACTGCCATCCTTATATCGATGGTAAGTTCGACCATTCTCGCGGCGATAGTCCAATAGTGAGCTACGCAGACTGGTGCTGGAGGACGCAATGCTCTATGACACGAAGTTAAATGTCTGCAGTGGCCGTGATTTGCGTGGAAGGTCATGCTTACAGTTCCCATATTAGACCGTGCGTCGTCCTGTTGTGGAATAGAATTAGAGGCGAGGTATAAAGTTGAAAAGTGTATTAACAAACCTCCTCCTCAGCAGCAATCTGAACCTCGAAATCTGGAGGTGGATTGGCCATTGTGACTGGCGATGCGGGGTTTCAGTGCAAAGGAAAAAAAGTTGAGCTTGAGGAAGGGGAGGAGAAGTGGCACAGGAAAGTCATAGAAACACAACGATGGGTGGACTGATATATGTTTGTTGTTGGACCTCTTTTTGGCGGATGCAGCGCCACTCTCCTGCTCTGATTTGTACAAGACCCACGTTCATGTACTGCCTAGTGGGCAGAGCTGATTTTCCGCACGAATAGAAAGTCGGTAGCAGGGGCCACCAACGGAGCTCGCATATATGTCAGTCATATCCAACATCGGCCCGACCAATATTTGTTGTTGGTCACACCTTGACCGGGATGAAGAATCGGATTGTGGTGTGTAATTACAGACCTGAGGATGATGGCAATGTTGTCACCGCCGGGGTCCTTCATCCTGGAAAAGAATCGGATGAAAGGCGAGGAGAAGCCATATCCACTGACATTGGGATTTCAATCTCTGTGTTGAGTCTCGCATGGTGACGTACATCAATTAGGGCGGTTTTTTATTGTAATTAACTCTACAGCGTGTTATGACAATGATTCGAGTAGGTTGGCAGTCTAACTACAAGAAGTTCTCATGTTTGGCCCATAAGCTACTCGCCTAGTCTATTGATTAAGAAGGGCCAAATGTTTCTAGGCCACATTTTTGATATCAATAGTTGCCAGCGCAATCTTGGTACCGGTGTGCAATGCTGTAGCTCCAATGAAATAGACCGTGTCGTTACCGTTGTCAAAAACAGGGAGGAGTCGTAGCCGGCGAAATTGGCCTCAATAAACATTAGCAACCTAGGATGGCGTTGGGATGAAGTTTGCTGATTATAAGGCGTAAGATCAGCCTGAGAGAGGATGCCTTCCGCTTTGCAACATTCTCGAACGTTGGGAGCAGTGCCAGCCAGTAGGCGTGATGAGGCAGAGGATAGCGTGAAAAATCATGCTATGTTTTTTTCTAGAAAATGTATCACAGGGTCTCTTTAGCAAACTTTGAGTCAGCAGAATAAACCACCTTACACTCCGATAGGTGCTCCAAGGAGATGGTTGAAATCGACTCGAAACGAGAGTAATCTAAGACTTTTACCACCGTACTACTCCTACATACTGCCTAGCTAGTACATAATACATAGTCTAAGAATGAGATCAATTCCTCCACCCGTTGGGGCCACCCCAAGTTCCCTTGACCATTGACGTATAGTAAACCCACGGGAAGAAATCCTTCTTCAAATGGTAAAATGCCCGTCGGGGAACTGCCTGATCAAATCCAATAAGGTCGCCAAACGTCTCTTTGGGAATTCCGCCATACTTGAATTCTGCAAGCAAAAGCTTGCCATACTCGGTAGGAATTGGGCAAGAAGTATAGCCATCATACTTGGGTTCAGGCTCGTTGCCCTCCAAAGATCGCAGCAGATTGCTAACCAAAATGGGAGCCTGAGATGTGATTGCCGCAGCCGTCTTAGAAGTAGGTAGACTGGATGCGTCACCTGCTGACCAGACATTGTGGAACTCGGTGTGACGGGTTGTGGACTGATCAACACTGACATATCCAGCCGCGTCTGCGAGGGGACTGTTCTTTACGAAAGCATGGGGGCCCATTTTCGGGACAACATGCAGAAGGTCAAACTGCTTCGTGACCTTTTCTTTTCCGTCAGGCCGACCAAAAGTGGCAGTGTTTCCATCCACGGCGAGAAGATCATGTTGGAAGAGTCCCTCGACGCCCCTCTCCTTCCGCAATTCTTCAAGCTTGGCGCTGTACTTGGGAACTCCAAACATGGTAGGGAGGCCAGTGGCGAAACTGATCTTGATGGGTGATTTTGCAGGGTTGCTGGGGTTGTAAAGGCCTGCACGCTTCCAGTGGTCCAGAGCGAGCCACATGATCTTCTGGGGTGCGCCAGCACACTTGATTACGCCGGCGGGTTGGGTAAAGATAGCATTGCCCTTCTGAAGTCTTCCGAAAGTGCCGAAGACCTTGTCACAAGTGTCATATCCGTAGATAGAAGACACAAGAGAAGTGGGATCTGCGAGGGCCTCAGGTAACCCCTTCACGCTGCCGTAGTCGATGCTAATGCCCGGAGCGACGACGAGCTGCTCGTAGCCGAGTTTGTCGCCATTTCCTAGCTTGATGCTGTTCTCCTTGGGGGCAAAAGAACTCACACCCTGCTGGTAGAACTTGAGTTTGGGGTCAACCAGACTCTCGAGCGGTCTTCGTAACTCTTGCTTTGATTTGAGGCCACCGCCAACCAGTGTCCAGCCAGGCTGATAGTGATGCCATTCGGCAGGGTCCACAACGGCAACATCATCCTGAGAGAAACGACCAGTCCGCAAAAGTTGGTGGCTGATAGTCAGGCCGGCGCTGCCTCCTCCGACGACAACGACCTTGTGATTCCGAGCGACAGAGCTGACGGGGGTTACCGTTGCAAGACCCCGGATTTTGGAAGCCTTTGCAGTAATACGAGCGCGGCCGCCTTGACGAGATGCCAAAATCGCGCGACTGGCAAACATTTTGGCGTAGATAGAAAAGAACGCTGCGTAAGAGTTTGCGTGGCAAGAAGCAAGTGACGAGGCTACGTTTTAGGGGGGTTGGACGACGAGATGTCGTGATGATAAAGCATTGAGAGACGAACCAACCAAGGTAAGTGGAAAGAAACGGGGCGGGGTGGGCCGACTGGAAAATGTAATCGCCGAAGCTTTCGGTACCTGCCGCGCTTACCTAAAAAGAGGCGTGGGGCACACTCCACCGCCGGCCTAGCGAACGAGTTAGAGTCTTGTGTCAAGATTGCACGCCGCGCCGAGCACCCCCGATAGCCGCAACTTTTGGCCAAAAACTTTCCTTACAATTAAAGAGCTCGCACCGGCCGGCCGGCTAGTCGGCGAAACTGGTCGGCGAGAATGGTCACCGATATCGTTTGCAACTCCCCGACCGGGACGGGAGGCGCCGGGATGCAGTGGGATCTCGTTCGATGTTTAAACTTTCCCTCGGCTGCTCTCAGTATTAAAGGTTTCCGGCAGATGGCCAGTCCCAGCTTCTAGTGCATCGTGCATTCTCCGCAGAAGCCTGCATCGCCAAATCCCACTCGTTCAATCCTTTGTATCGTCATCTCACTTTCCACAATGAATCCAGCGCGCGTATTTATAGCTAGACAAGTCCAATCGATATGTTTGTCCAAGACGCCCGGGATCGCAAAATCTCCCTTTGTCCGAGGAAAGCGCAGCACTAAGGTGCGTGTTGTGCATGACATCGAGGCACCCAAGGCCGTCTACCCAGCCGTAACTGCTACACATTGTCATGGTATTCCACCGAGTTGCGGCTTTCCAACGCCCTTATATCACCAACGAACTCTCCCGAGAGCGATGAGTCAACCCAACCGATTCCCATACAGCACCGCCTCTACCGGCACAACACAACCGGTCGTTCACGATGTCTTCGAGTCCGAGACGGGAACCTGGCAGTACATTGTTGCAGACCCGTCTACGAAAGCGGCAGTCATCATTGACCCGGTTCTGGATTATGACCGAACAACACAAGCTATTACCACATCTTCCGCCGACGAGTTGCTTCGGTTGGTCAAGGAACACGGCTATTTGGTTTCTTTGATTCTCGAAACCCATGCCCATGCAGATCACCTCACTGCAGCCTCATACCTGCAAAAATGCATTGCGGAAGAGTATGGAAGTAAGCCACTGATCGGCATAGGACGACGCATTGCACAGGTACAAGACCTGTTTGGTCAACGATATGGTGTGCCCAGCGAAGAACGCCTTGATGTCTTTGACAAACTCTTCAAAGATGATGAAAGTTTTAGCATTGGCAACCTGAGCGCGACTGCTATTCATCTTTCCGGGCACACGCCCGACCACTTGGGTTATAAGATCGGAGGTAAGGCCCACAAGATGCCCCGTTATCATATTTACTTTTGCTAATCTTTTTGACAAGACAACGTGTTTTGCGGTGACTCCTTGTTACACGTGGACATTGGAACTGCCCGTTGTGACTTTCCTGGTGGAAGTGCCAACAACCTTTATCACTCAGGCCGCAGGCTTCTTAGTCTTCCAGATCACGTCAAAGTCTGGACAGGCCATGACTATCCCCCAGACGAACGCGAGGGCCCTGTCTCATGGATGACGGTCAGGGACCATAGAAAGTTCAACAAGCACTTGCGGGATGGTATCACCGAGGAGGAATTTGTTGCCCAGCGCAAGGAGCGCGATGCTAAGCTCGGTGAGCCAAAGCTGCTCCACCAGTCTCTGCAAACGAACATCCGAGCCGGTCAACTCCCCCAACCAACGGCTTCCGGGCACCGCATGCTTCATCTACCTATCAAGCTGGGAGACCTGCAATGGTAATATATTAGATGACGACGAAGTCGAGTGAGAAGGCGCATCCGGGGATGTTCTTGGTCATCCAGGGAGGTCAAAACCATGACGAAGGATGCTTTCCAGTGCGCTGGGGCTACGAAAGTTTTGCAATTTGATATCCCCCCAAAGAGAGCCTAAATGGTGGCCGGATAGTTGGAGTTCGAATGGAACAAATTTCAAAAACATAACTGGACCGGATTTGAGCGATCAGCTTAGTCGTTGATTTCTTGTAGCGACGTGACTTGAGAGCTAGGAAAGCACTGGTTTCAATTGGCTTGTCAAAACTCCTATTTCTTAGTCCGTCAACCTAATGTCGTATAAAATCCACCGAGTGAGTGTTCTAGGCATCACCCTGTGAATACGACGACATTGGAGGGAGTGAGGCTAGATGGCACGAGCATGCTCGAAGACTAGGGGCAGATTTGTGACACGCGCTTGATACATCAATTGTGTAAGGCACGTGGGCCACCATCGGTGTAGCAACGCCGGCCTACGGGACGGGACGCTAGCTAAACTCATCAAGCTAACTGTTTTGAGACCATGTCTGAGAAAGCAACTCTCTTGGCCGACTCGGCTCCTTACTTAACCTTCCCAATGCTCCCGTAAGTTCACTTCATGAGTCAACAAATATGGCAGACCCTCTCTCAGCTTGTCTAGCGCAACAAAACCCCTTACGTCTCCCACTGTTTTGAAACCCGACGACTTGACCCATGTCAACGCGATCAAATAAAACCTTGAACCCATTGAATTCAAGTAGGGACAAAAGGTGGCCAGTGTAGAGAACATCAGGTTCGTCTCACTAGCGGCCACATTGAGGCGGCCGGCTTGGTTGCGAAGATGAGAGTAGACGAATAATTTAATCAAATCATTCGTTGCAGCATTCGATCCGGTTACCCGAAACGTTCCCCAGTCTATGCGCAGCCTATTTGCCGGACGCGAGTTTGGGCCATTTCGGCAATCGCATTGTTTCACATGCCGGTGTAGACATTAGATGAGAACCGATCACACACAAAGAGACTCAGTCGGCATCCATGCGTCGGCTAGATTACCGGGGACTGGATTCTCAGCAACTTCGGATTGTGCTATCAACATCGACTTTGAACAAGGGGACACGTCATGCTCACTTCAGAAACTCAGACGAATCAAGGCCAATTTATGTAACGTGTGCAAACAAAACCCCTCTCTTCCGCTGTCCGACCCAAGGTTCAGTCGCACTGGTACTCACCGCGTTCTACACAAGGTTTCAATGTCATCATTGGACTTCAGGCAACACTGCCTTGTGTGATCGCGCTCCCCGACGTTGTTCGATCGGACTTGATCGCCAGTGGCAATTGATCAGTCCGGATCTTCGCAATCCAGAGCTTGGGCGACGTCGAATTTTAAACCTGGGTTATGTTGATGGAATCCAGTACTAATGAGTCAGAACTATGAGGACGCGACGACTTCAGTGCCGCCGCCTATACCATCGCCAAAAGCAGCACCCCAGAAAGCAACTCGATTATACCCTGTGCTGTCGCTCCTCTCAGTAATACTACTATTTTTCTCGGCAGGGGCTGGCATAGCCTTGTCAGCGGTGGTTTTATTCCAGAATCTCGAGTCAACAGAGGTTCTCGATCCTCTTAGCCGAGCTGTTTTCTTCGTTGCTTCCTGCATGAGCCTTGTCTACGTGTTTACACATCTCGTCGCCGCTCGAACAACTTACATCGAGAACTATGGATCTCCAACTATATACGGAAAATATGTTGCTGGGTTTGCCTTTTTGTTGGCTCGGCTAGGTCTTCCTGTTTGGGTGGCAGCGATTACTTTGTCCATATTTGTGGCTGTCAATATTGGATTAGATCTTTCCAAAGGGGTTCAAGACAATCTCCCATGGCTTAATGTTATAATCAGCATATCTTCTTTGTAAGTAATGATGCCAACGGCGTTGAAACTCGACGGCTAACATGTCGGTAGATTTTCTCTTGCAGCAGTGCTTGCAGTTATTGAGATGGCCGATCGCCCATTTGCAACTCTAGGACTTTCTCAAACTTGGTTTATCCTAGGAGAGGAACCATTGGCTTGCCCTAGTGATGGCGATCTCGAGCCTGGGGTTGTCAATATGACGCTGACTCCACACGAGAAGCGAGAGACAGGCGTTGAAAAGAACAGTACACCAAGGAAACCAGAAAAGCAAAAACTCAGGACTCTGACGAAAAGAAATCCTCATGACACCGAGCACAAATCTCTGTGAGGAACTGCATTTCTCTCACCAATGAAATCAAGAACTAATGTGCTACTCAGACGTCATGCCAGAAGTATGTCCATGCCGACGCCATTGAACACTGTCTTCGGCAATCGCCCTGGTGGCATTACACCCAACTCTCCATTTCTCATCAGTGAATTCGCATGGAAGCCACCGACGAGGGATGGCGCGACACCAAAAACAAGCGGAGCAGTGACAGTCGGCGATTGGGTTACGTGGCGTGAACATGCCAGTATGCAACAAGGAGGATCCGATATATCTACTAATGCCTCGGCACGTCCTGACGAAATTATCTTGCCATCAATGCCTCCCCATATTGAGTACTCTTCGCTTAGTCAGGCTCTTCTCGTAGAACAAGGGAGTTATGATTCAAGGCGATGGACTGCCATTGGCATGCAATCGCCGCCTTTCAACGGTCGGTTTTTGGATATTCCATTCAGAAGGCCTTTGACACCATTGATGACCATGGAGGAAGAGAACAGGCTTGTGGGGCGTAGGCCATCGACCCGAGACAGCGACTGGGAGGCATACTATCATCTGCAATTGAGGCAAGCGAGCAGGCCGGCAAGCTCGCGTACGACGACAACATTCAGATCCTCTCGACATGGTCTAGGGAATATTTCAGATGATCATCCTACACTTCCGCACATTGCAACCCTCGCAACTAGACCGGGTGGAATTGCAAGCAGCATCCGGCCCGACAGCAATGTGTTGCCAAACGAGGGGCGGCGGCGGCGGAGAACTTCAAGCATCAGTTCTTACGAGGGCCGACGTCTTACACACAGGACAGAGGGTCGAGTTACATCTCAGCATAGTTCGCGACCAGGCACACGCCCGTCGAGCCATCATCCGTCGGTAGCAACCCCTTGTCCGCGCCCTGCGAGCCCAGCATTGACAATTCGATCTGTCAAATCCGACGTGCACAACTTTTCCAGGCCTCGTACCTCGGCAGCTGCTAGAATGCAGTCTAAAGTTGCTAAGCGTCTGCGTGCGTTCAAGCAGCAAGAGATTGAAAGCGCTAGGCAGCCTCAAGCAGAAGAGCAGATACCCACTTCTCCCGTCACTCCGGTATCTCCCGCCACTCCAAGAACAGTCAGAGCAGCAGCAGTGAAGACGCTTCAAGACAGACTCGGTAAAAGGAACCAGAAGAGGCAATTGGAGGAAAAACCGCGTCCCGCAACTCCAGAGACACCTCGAACGGCTAGGGCCACGGCTGTCAAAAATCTACAAGAAAGGCTAGGAAAAAGAATGATGCGGCGGATTGAGGCAGAAGTTGCCGAAGTTGCCCAATAGGTTATTGGCCCTTGTTATTCAAGCAAGCTTGTGCGACATCAAATATCATAATGTTTATAAAAACCAAACCCATATTAGTAGTAGTGAAGTTATGGCTGGATGAAACACCTTTTGAGAAACTTGAATCTCCCACTTATTCACGGAAACAAGGTTAAGATAAGTTCATCGTTTTTCTTTTTTTTTTTTTTTTTTTGGTACTCGAACAACTCACGAACATTCTGTTGTACTCGTCAGAGGGGAAACCAGAGCCTCCATTTTTTATCCGGAAAACTAACTTTGCCAATCATGCAATCCAGTACCGCGTGAGCCGGAAAGAAACCCGAAATTGGTTAAAGAGATAATCTGACATTTTCACTTCACCTTCCACGGGCACCTATATAAAACTCACCAATCCTACTTGTCAGTTCCAATTATCGATTTGTACACCTGATTCTAGCTCAAACCCAGCCCTGAGGGAACTCTTGCCGGTGATTATAGTATGCTTTTCCCTGGAGTCCTGACTTTTTTCATCCTTGGCTGCGTACTCTCTGTCCCACAATGCTGCCTCTATCGTCTCGTACCTTGTGCAACATTGGTGTGCTCTGGGGTTGCATTGTCAACCTCGCGGCCTTCAACAATTTTCCATCTAGTGCGGAAGAATCTGCGATGGGCTTTACTGTTTAGTCCTACCAGCCTTAGTGAAATTTGTTTCCCTGCATAGTGTTCGTCTCCTTTTTCCACTCGTAAAGTGTTTTCACTCCTGTGACGTCGATGAGGGGTACATGTGTCAGGTCTTAGACCATGACGGCCATCTGCTACCTCGAGGGCATGATTTAGTCGCGCTTCTGCAGCCTTTCGATACGCTTAAACGATGCCACACTGCAATATCTACAAGCTGACTTGGTCTGTGACTGGTCACCGGCTTCTCGCCGTTCAAATTGTACCTCGACGGATTGAAGCATCGATTTCTGAAGACGACTGGCATCGAGGAAAAGGATAGAGTCGGTGAAACTGACTAACAAGGCGTCTTCGAGCATAAATGTATCTTCCGCAAAAGAAGGAACAACTTCCTGTTCTCGCTCGAGACTGCGATTCTGGCTACCTGTCACTAAGAGCGTCTTGACTCTGGAAATGCAGATCGGACCAGAGTGGATCCGATGCTAAACAACACCGCAAAGGCAATGCCCATTTCCGTAGACACAAAAGAATTCTCCCAAAAAGAGAGCATCGATGCCACGAAGTCCATGAATGTAATACGCCAGTAGCGGTAGAAAAAAGAAGCGGGACCAATGATGGGGATAACTGCCATGGTCTGGGGAAGTTGTTAGCTTCCATCAGTATAAAGAAGCGGTGGGAATCAATGTACGATAGTAGCGGAAATTATGGCTTTGGCGATCCAGAATAGAGGCACAAGAGGAGCAATTGCTCTGGCAGTGACCTTGGAGACCATTGGCCTTGACCTTGCTGGAGCTCACGAGGGTTCTGATCTGCTCTTATTGGCCAGGAAACTGATTGTTTTGTTGATGAGTAAAAGAATAACCGCTCGACTACCACAGGCGAATTCGATCGCTGCTTTATTCGTCCCCAATTTCTTTCCGATAAACTCGAGAATATACAGCATCAAAATGCCACTGAACCCGATACAACTAGTGAGAGGTTCCATCTACGGCATCTGTTTGAGAACGTTGCTGTTGATAGCTGAGGTGCCGGAGAGAACATCGCTCAGACCAACAAACGAGCTAACGCGGCCTAGAAAAATCGTGATGGTGGCTGCAAACAGAAATCCAGACAAACCTGGGACGAAATTATATTTTTGAATGAAACCGAGTTTGAGCAGTCCAACGATGAGCGAGTATATTCCAACCATCAACACGATGGCAGACGAGATGTCTTATGCAGCAGATTCTTCAGTCTTGATGTCGACGATAGCCTCAGCGGCGAGGAGACCAATAGTAGAAGTCAGCCCCGTGGACATATCTATAACAATTAGCTGACCGCTCCGCTTGAGAGGAAGCATGCGGATGAGATTCCTGCAAGCTAAAAACCTACAAAAACTCCCTTAGTGATCGGAAACCCTGCATAGACTATGTGAATCTTTCTGAGGAAGCTGTATGCAAGCTGTCTCATAACTGATACACAAGTTTTCCTTAGCTTTTTGCTGAATTCAAGTAGGAGCATAGCTTGCCTCTGTGCCACCCGGCGAATTTATATAAACCGCAGGAAGATAGCTCATGCAGTATGTGCATGTGGGCTTGGTGGATTGGAACTCTCCTTCTCCGTATCGGCCCAGTACCCCGAGATTTTCTCGCACCGTTGAACGGCCCTCGTCGTTTTAGTTGCTCTCAAAACTCGGGCTTGCAGCAAATCCGCGTCAAATCCAGATGTAGCAAATGGTATCCAAGATAAATTAACTCGCTATTCGATCAGTCTCAATTCCTCATCTGAACATTTCGTGACCCTAATTAGCTTGTTCATATCGAACAACGCGATCATGGAGGGCTTTTCGCTGGGTAGTATTGGATTCGTGCTGAATAAATGCTGAGCTGAACAGAAGAAGTTGGGAGAGTAGAAGAAAAGATGGGGGAAAGTTGCGAGGGGCCTGCATATTTATGGAGGTACATTTATATACAAATGACAGATGAGATGGAGATATACTAAGGGACACCAGTTCTTCAAGATCCCATGCTCTCTTTAACTAATTTAATATTTCCCTTTCTTGATTCAATTGGTTTGCATTGCACTACCGTATCCAAGTCCATCATCTGACAGTGCCAGATTCCAATTCGAAAATGATGATTTGCATAGTTACTCCGGCCTTCCCTGTCATAGGTTGATCATTTGTCATTCATCTGACTCTATTTCTTGCAAACCAGCCACTTGATGTTGATCTGTTGAGTAAACGCTACAGTAGCATCATCATCAGTTATCGAGCCATAGGCCTGCGGGTTTTTGGATGTAAGAGCAATCCTATTGTTGACGTTGAGAATACCTGTTGCGCCACAGGGTGAATAGATGAGAGCTGCAGTAGGAATAGTGTCTTGCTTGGTGTAGACCTGGCCGTCGAGCCAAATGCCACCTCCGGCAATGGAAGTCTGCGTTGTAGTAGTGGCTGCGGCGTCTTGAGAGAAGAAGTACGTCGAGTAGAATGTCCCTGTGACACCCTCCTCAAGTTGAGCGTATCCATGGTATGTGCTGTCTACAAGAGCAAACTGGAAACCACCCGGGTACTTAAGGCTGAGGTGAAGAGCACAATTCTTGGAGCGCTCGGTGACTGAGAGTCCTGGTCCAATATAGGTTTGAAACTTGTCGAAGCCAAATGTGATGACCGTACGGTCCGGAGAGATCGTGGTTGAGACAGAGCCTTGAGGACAGCCATTTCCAGAAAAACTTGCGCTGGAGATCTGGATCTCCTTGGGGTCAGGAGTGTCTGAGGCTCCAGTCGGTCCCAAGGGATAGGCTACGGCCAGGGCCGCTAGGAACAAGGCAGAGAAGCGCTTCATGCTGGGTTATCTGCCGTATAGAGGAATGAGGAACAATACAAAGTTCGTGTGTGTCTTATGTGATGATCTGCATGTCTCTCATGAGGTTTGTTGGGATGGGAGTGAAGATTCTTTTTTCAATCCAGTGTCGACATCGCGTATTTATATGTATTTTGAAGAAGCAATAATAATAGTTACCCATGAGCTGGGGTAAGCGGAGTTTGGCCCCTCCAGGACTCGATTCCGCTACAATTGCAGCCGGTGCTAATTTTGCTGATGTATCAAAGGTCAGTAAACAATACCTCCCTTGGGTTTCGCTTGACCTGCTATCAAATCGGACTAATATGCTTCAAAGGAAGCCCAAATGAAATTAAATTGAATGCAGAAATTTTCATCGGGCGAGCTGCGTTCTTGAACGCCACAATGTCGGGGTTGAAGGCTACCTTACAGCCGTCATGATAGTTTACCGCGTCCACGTCTCGAAATATTCCCTCTTTGGGGTAGAGCTGAAAGATGGGATCGGGATGGCCATTTGGACTGACCCTGTTCGATTTGATTAAATATCTGGACCATGCACAGGGGATAGTATGACAGGGCAAGATCCTACAGAAGTTGCCATTCGCTTTCGCAAACTTTTGGATGGCTTTGTGTATCGACGCAACAGCCAAGTATCAAGACCCACATGGAAGTCTGAGTGTTAACCAAGCTCATGCATGTATGAATGAGGAGAATCGGCTATGCATCCATGAGAGATTGTTGGCCCAGCCAGGTCGAGTCAAGAGTAGGCCAAGTTTCAAACTAAATTACAAAAGGTAGTAGTAATAATCTGAGTTGACGATAGCTCGCGACTTGTCCGAACGGTCTGTTAGAAACAGAAACGGAGGCGCCGACTCTACTAATGGTCGGATTTTGACATAGGCTGGGCGGACCGAGGGAAGATCGTTTAATAGAGTGAGCATAAAGATCCTTATGGCTCTGGATCATTTATTGGCGTGATAAAGCCTATTCTCGCCCAAGGCGGATTTAGCCTAGAGCCGCCTTTGCTTTGCCTCAGTGTCTGCATGCCAAATACGCAAAGTACACTTCCACGGGGTCATACTATCGGTCACGCTCGACTTACTTGCAGAAGGCGGCCTAAACTATCCATCCTATGCCGGAGCTCCTTCTCGTACCTGATTTACCGGGCTTTACCGGGCTTTGTTGAAGTTAAAGATATGTGTTTTTCGTAGAGGTCGCAATATCCAATAAGAGTAGAGTCAATGACTTCTACGCGCCAAAAGACAGCAAGTAGGATTTACCAGTAAATAGCTTAAGGTGTTGAACCAGGGATAGATACGAATCCAGCCAAGTTTCCTCGCATACAATAACGGGACATAACATGGTGGCTTTGTTTAACGAAGCATCGTAGGTAGCTTGGTGTTGGGTGATCAAATTTTCCATTAGCCTGATTGTTTTAGCCAGGGGAGCCTCAAAGACAAAGTGGTGGCATCGGCATTAATACCTTCTCGGCTACATGTTCCCCAGAAACCGCCTCACTCTTAAAATTCCGATTTTTGGCACAAACGAGGAAGTCGGTGAAGCTAGAATGTACAGATATAATTATATGCATTAGTCTGAGGACAATGGGTTAGTGAGAACACCGTATTTGATAGCTCACTATAGGCCTCCTTTCATTTGCGTAGGAAGATGCATGGCCCGGGTTCTCGTCAATACTATCAAGGATAATGTCAAATGTTGACCAATGGTTTCTGCATTCCTGGATGAAATCCGGCTAGATTTAGATTCCGTGGTAGCTATTTTAATCAAATTCGTTTGATCCCTCATTATATCCGGGTAATAATCTAGCTCACGAGCTCTCAACCTGCTTAAGAAGACCTTCAAGGTTGATGCTCTTAGGTCGCTCAATAGGCAGACCCAATGCTCGGTCCCAGATTAACTGAGCAAGGGGCCCCAAACCACGGGAGACACCGAAGGTGGCAGTATAGTACAAGGTCTCATGGAAGCCGTAGTGGTGGAAGAGAACTCCAGAGCTGGAGTCAACATTGGGGTAAGGGTTCTTGGTCTTGCCGTGCTTCTTAAGCACCTCGGGTGCGATCCGACTGTTTTTTTCCACAAGCTGGAAAACTGGATCTTGTGCAATCTCGGGTCGCGCAGCAGCATAATCCATGAGAGCCTCGAAACGAGGATCAGGTTTCCGGAGGACAGCATGGCCGTAGCCAGGGACAACTCTGCCGGAGTTGAGGGTGGACCACAGATAGTCTGTGACATCCCGGTCAGAGTAAGACGATGGAATGTTGTCTTTCATCTGCAGGATCCACCGAAGAACTTCTTGAGCAGCCAGTCTGTGTTGAGGTCAGCATTGGGCTGCTATAGCATTGATGATTCATCACGAGAACCTACCCATGAAGAGGCCCTGCGAGACCTTGTAGACCAGCACTATAGCTAAGGAAGGGGTCGCTGAGGGCACTGCCAACTAAGTGAGTTGCATGGGCAGAGACGTTGCCGCCCTCGTGATCTCCGTGGAGAGCAAGGTACAGTCTGAGAAGATCTTGGAAGTTCTCATTTGCCTTGCCACCCTTTCCAAGCATGGCAGCAAAGTTATAAGACCAATCCTGTTCCAGATCAACCTCAGCAGGGAGGGCGCCACCGCCGCGGTAAGAGTTCTGGTAGATCTTGGCAGCGATCGTCGGCAATTTGGCCAGCAGAGAGATGGAGTCGTCGAAAGTAGGCTCCCAGTAGTCAGCCTTGTTAATACCCTGCTCGTAAGCCTTGGCAAACTTGGAGGTGTAGTTGAGGGCAGACACCGCAATGGCGAACTGGGTCATGGGATGCAGGTCCTTTGGGAAGTCGTCGAGAAGCTTGTTGACAAAGGCAGGCAACTGAGCTTGCTGGGCCAATTCACGGGAAAAGTGGCGAACCTGGTTTGTGGAAGGAACCTGGCCTGTGAGAAGAAGCCAAAACATTGCCTCGGGCAACATTTCGGTTCCGGTCTTTCCTTTGGGGAGCTCCTTTTGACAGTCTTTGATGGTTCTACCGTGGAATCGTATGCCCTCGTTCGCATCCAAGACGGAGCCCTCCCACACCATAGCCTTGAGGCCACGCATGCCACCAAGAGTGTTCTCGACCTTGACCTCTCCAATGACCTTGGAGGAGTGTGCCTTAACCCTTTTCAGAAGCTCCCGCTTGGCTGGAATGACGCTCTGTAGTGTAGTCTTGAGGTCCGGTTCGGAGGATGTTGAATATTGGCGCGCATTGAGAGCAGAGCGAGCTGCCAGGGGCTACGAATTGTCAGTTCATATGCCTGTGTCGGTACGTTGATTGGCGGTTATAGCTTCGACTTACCCTCAAAGCTCCAAGAGCCCTGGTGTTTCTGGTGATATTCATAGCCATAGCTGCCGACCGATGGAAGGTCCAAGGGGAAAGGAGAGAACCAGCAGCGGAGAAAACCGAGGAGGGAGAAATGACGGAGAGTCGTTAACAGGCAGTGTCAGGGGTAGCTGAAGGACTGCTCGATTAATCGGCTGGATTGGGTCAAGTTGTTCTGTGGAGGACCATTTGTAGAGACAAGAAGGAGGTGAAAATCCAGAGGGAGGGAGTGGAAGCAAAGTCACCGCATTAGGTAGAGGACGCCCAACAACTTGTGCCGACCTCGCTAGATAAGCAGGTACCGCAGCTGGCAACGCAGCAAGCCGAGACAAGCAGATCGTCCTTTGCCTTGACCCGAGGTTGGGGAAGCCTGGGTGAGCGGCACTGACCTACCCTCCCTACCCACTTCACCCCGCGGGAGGGGGCGTGTACCTTAAGTCAGCGCACCTCTACCATTCACCTCAGTCCGCTAAAACCACTAATTTTACATGTACCATAAGGGCATGGCTTGCTGGGCGGGAGCACCGGGCGACGCTGGCGGGGTCGTCCTTCAGTGGGGAGCGTATTGGAACGACATGGTACGGGGCCCCCAGCTTTTCCCTCCTCCTCCTCCACGTTTGGCGCGGGCAGTGCGGGTTCGATCGGGCGGAGCGTCACTGCTCACATTCCGTGCACCCGTGAGTGACCGCGGAAGTCCACGGACCCGTATTTGCTTCTCCATTGGAATCTTTCCCCACATCACTGGCACTGTGACCGGTGAGGGGAAAAGATTGGGCCGAGGCAAGCCGGCGCTGCTGCGGATCTGCCTTCCTGTTCATTGGCCAATGGCAATACTTCACGGTGCTCTGGCACATGTAAGCCTTCATCTTCCCGCTGCTTACCAAGGCTGTTGACTCGCTTTCGCCCGGCTAACACTCGCCGATGTTGAGCACTCGCATTGGCTTTGTCCATTTCCCACGTTATTCCCATTGAGCTTCTCCTACGTAACGTCCTTGGTCCCGAATGCCGAGTCGTTGCCTCTCGGAATTGTCTCGTAGAACCTGCCTCGCCGGCGATACGACGCTAAACCCCTCGTAGACGACAACCTTCCTCTGTACCACGGCTGGAGACGACCTTGCGGATCGCATCCTTTACTTCTGTCACGCATCCTGTATCACCACAGCACTCCCCCGCACCGACGGGATCAACTACACAACAATGATGCGACGAGCTGGTGCGCGAGCAATCACCCACAGGGTCCCCTGCATCAGACCGTCTTCAACGCCAGCTATTGCCGTACGCCGTATCTCAACAACATGGAAGATGGCACAGGCCACTGCGAACTCGTTCCTTGCCTCCGCCCCTGCTAGCGATGCCTTTCAGCTGCTTGCTGAGCCCAAGAAGGCTGGCGCTGCTGAAGATGAACTGTATGAAGCGCAGATAAAAGAGGTAGAGGCATGGTGGCAGTCGCCTAGATACGAAGGAATCAAGCGGCCTTACAGCCCAGCCGATGTGGTCTCCAAGCGCGGCTCGCAGCATCAGTCATACCCTAGCTCCGTGATGGCGAGGAAGCTCTTCAACCTCGTCAAGGAGCGGGAAGCAGAGGGCAAGCCCATCCACACAAGTACAAACACATTACTCCCTGCTTTCCAACAAACAGGCACATGCTGACCAACTTTACCTTGTAGTGGGCGCCATAGATCCTGTCCAGATGACCCAACAAGCCCCCCATCAAGAGGTCCTGTACATCTCAGGCTGGGCCTGCTCCTCCCTTCTTACCTCTACCAACGAGGTTTCCCCCGACTTTGGTGACTACCCCTACAACACCGTACCGAACCAGGTCCAGCGTCTCGCCAAGGCGCAGTCGATGCACGATCGGAAACAATGGGATACTCGCCGGAAGCTCAAGACCGAGGAACGCGCAAAGACGCCGTATGTTGATTACCTCCGGCCCATCATTGCCGACGGTGATACCGGACACGGTGGTCTCTCTGCCGTCCTCAAGCTCGCCAAGCTCTTTGCTGAGAACGGTGCGGCGGCGGTCCATTTCGAGGATCAGCTCCACGGCGGCAAGAAGTGCGGCCACTTGGCTGGCAAGGTTCTTGTGCCTATTGGGGAGCACATTAATCGTCTCAACGCCGCTCGGTTTCAATGGGACGTCATGGGCTGCGAGAACCTCGTCATCGCGCGGACTGATTCGGAGAGCGGCAAACTCATCAGCAGTGCGATTGACGTGCGCGATCACGAGTTCATCCTGGGAGTTGCGGATCCGAGCTTTGAGCCCCTCGCCGAGACTATCCAGGCGATGGAGGCCAAGGGCGCGGTCGGTGCCGAAATCGACGCTTTCGAGGCTACTTGGGTCAAGAAGACGAAGCTTGTGACGTTTGATGAGGCCGCTGTGGCGCACATGCAAAATGACGGCGTTTCCCAGGACGAGATTGACGCGTACCTCGAGGCGACCCGCTCGAACCGCGATATGGGAATCTCCCAGCGCCGCAAGCTCGCAAACAAGCGCACCTCGACACCCGTCTACTTCTCCTGGGACGTCCCCCGCACGCGTGAAGGCTTCTACCACTACCGCGCCGGCATGGACGCCGCCACGAAGCGCGCCATTGCCTTTGGACCCTTTGCTGACCTCCTGTGGGTTGAGACCGGCGACCCCAATGTCGGGGTCGCTACGGATCTGGCCAGAGCCGTCCGCGCCGTCTACCCGGGCAAGGGTCTGGTCTACAACCTCAGTCCTTCATTCAACTGGATGGCACACGGATTCACAGACGATACGCTGAAGAGCTTCATCTGGGATATTGCCAAGGAAGGATTCGTCCTGCAGCTCATCTCGCTTGCTGGCTTGCACTCCAACGCCACCATCACGAACGAGCTTGCGAGGGACTTTAAAAAGGACGGTATGCTGGCGTATGTGAACATTGTTCAGCGGCGCGAGAAGGAGGGTGGCTGTGACGTTTTGACGCACCAGAAGTGGAGTGGCGCGAGCTACATTGATGGAATCCTAGGGGCTATCCAGAGCGGCAGCTCGAGTAGCAAGAGCATGGGCGAGGGCAACACCGAAAGCCAGTTCCACTAGAACCATCTACAAAATGCATAGGGCGGCGTTGTGGAGCTTTCTAACATGTTCAGGATATCAATTTATCGTTCCTTGAGTGTGCATATCGCCCAATCACACTAATCTACTAGCTCAGCAAGAGTGGCCATGTAGAAAACATCAACCAACACCCACGTCGCGAGCCCGCTCAAGAATGAATCATTTTGATTGTCTATGCATACTTTCATCATCATGGCCGTTGGCCGTGTATACCCCAGTCTCTTGTCCAGCGCCCTTAACTCCAACCCAATACGGTATCATGTCGCGGAAATCGGATTCAAACAAGCAACGCTGCGCAACCTTACTCGAGGCTGGTTCGGCTAGCGTTGTTGATGGGGGCGGGCGCCGCGGGGCCCTCGGGGGTAACGTAGGCCTTGGTCATGCCACCGTCAACAACCATGTCGTGGCCATTGACGAAGCTTGACTCGTCGCTGGCGAGGAAGAGAACGGCCTGGGCCTGCTCGATGGCCTCGCCGAAGCGGCCAGTGGGGAAGTGGATCTCGCGGCGCATGCGCTTGGGAACATCGTCGCCGAGCCAATCCTGCAACAGAGGGGTGTTGAGGGGCGCGGGACACAGGGAGTTGAAGCGGAAGCCCTCGCGGGCGTGGACCATGGCGAGCTCACGGGTGAGTGCGAGAACAGCACCCTTGGAGGCGGTGTAGGCAAGCTGGGGAGTGGCAGCACCGACGAGGGCGACGACTGAGGCAGTGTTGATGATGGAGCCCTTGGTCTTCTTGTTGCGGCGGAGGGCGAGAACAGCGTGCTTGCTGCCGAACCAGACACCCTTGACGTTGATGTTCTGTGTCAGATCCCAGATTTCCTCGGGGGTGTTCACGGCATCGTCGTCCTTGGCGTGCATAATTCCGGCATTGTTGAAGATAATGTCAAGGCCGCCCCAAGCATCGACCGAATCAATGAGGGCCTTGACCTGGTCCTCCTTGGAAACATCGGTGACCTGTCGTCGCAAAGGACAAGATCGTTAGCGAAACAGAACAATCCAACTTCTGGTTTCGTGTTGTGTCGTGCTACAGGCAAGCAACAGCAGAGGAATGGCGGGGTTTGGCGGGGTAACTCCTTTTTCGGGTTGTGCAGTGTGCAGTGTCCCCGCGTGCAGTGCAGTGCAGTGTTGTCGGCGTTTGATTTGGTGCACGCCGGAGCGGCGGGAATGGGATCTTCCAACAACTCTAATTCGCAGCAAGAGTCAACGTACCTTGGTCTCGATTCTGGCCGACGGGAGCAGCGAGAGCACCTTGGCCTTTGCCTTTTCAAGTGCCGGGGCAGAGATGTCGGCCATGGCAACGCTGGCACCCTCCTTTGCGAAAAGAATGGTCGTCTCCAAGCCAATGCCACTGTGAGAATTTCCCGTCAGCTTATCGGGTCCTGTATTCTGTATGTGTGTGATGCGCTGGACGCCCAGCCACTGGGGGCTAATCCCGATGCGCCGTGTTGATAAGGCGCTTCTGAGATCAGGAGGGGTTGCAACACTGGATGTCCTTACCCAGCAGCGCCAGTGACGACGGCATTCTTGCCAGCCAGGCGACCTCCAATCTCAGCAGGAACAGAACCCATTTCAGCGGTGGTTGATTTGTTCGGAGTGTTTTTTTTTTTGGTTGGATGCGAAGTTGTGAGGGTCAATCGCAAGTCACAGGTGGTGAGTCGCGAAGTCGTGGGAGAACGAGTTGTTTTGGTAGTTGAAGTGACGTTGATAGCTAGCTCCGACCTTTTGCTTGAAAAAGTGCGTGATGTGAAGAGAGAGAAAGAGAATGGCCACCACGGTGCGACGGAGACGATGTGTTTAAAGAAATCAGCACGACGGGGCTGGCTCAGTAGGATGGAGCCGAAGAAGTATAGAAGGCCGTCGTCTGGCAAGAAATGAGTCAAGGAAATCCGGGGTCCAGGCCCCTTCTTGCCGCCCTGGCCAATTTCTATAGACTAACTCAGACAGAGTGATGGACGGGATTGCTAAGATAGTCGCAAACACGGAGTAGGCACTGGATACAAAGCGCGCAAGCGCGGTACGGATACATGTCGAGATACCTCACCTAACACATCAGCGCCCACCCCCTTCCTGGCTCGCGATTAGCTGCTCGAGCCTTTCGTTGGCAAGATAGATCCGACAACGGCGGATCGGGACCACCATCTCGGCTCCCGTATGTGTGACACGGGGTGAAGGGGGGAACGGAGTGACAGGGTGCAGCAAGGACCGTCCTAGGTGGATAAGCAAGGTGCGCATCGGTGACAGAGCCATGATGTCCCTACTCCCTGCCGTGCCTGTTGTGCTTCGAAAAAGTGCTTTTTGTAGGAGAAACGACGTGGATCGCGATCGATAGGGTATCACCTAGGCCGTCCGTCTGCCACCAGGACGGAGCTTGTCGGTCAACGATAGGCGGCATCGCATGCGTTGGTAGAATTCCCAATACGGAGCATAAAACGTGTCGACGGGCGCAAGTTCCGATATCGCGTTATCTCTTATCAGTGGGTCAGACCGCGGCGTTGCATGACGGATGTCCAAGTCAGGAACCAACCCCTCCGTGTCTGATGGAGGGGGGGGGATGTGAGAGAAGAGACACTGTGGTACAGAGAAGCACAGCGGCTGAGTTCCAACAGAGTTGGACTAGACGTCTCTGGGCGGTAGGGTGAGCCGAGCGAGCGCTACGTCCAAAGGTTGGCCGCATCTATCATGGCATGCCTTATCTCCCTAGATATAAGAGAGAAGCACCATCATTGTGATGGACGTTGAAATGAGCCAGTTGGGTAACAAAGGAACAAGACCCTATGTGCATAGTCCCGAGAGTACAGCTGGGATGGCGAGCTAAGGCGGCTCCAGGCCAATAACAATGAATTGCGAGAGCTAAGGCTCAGAGTTATCGGGCTAGGAGTACGGACCAAGAAAGGCACAGACTCGGATCTGCACTGAAAGTTGACCAGACAAGTCGCCACTGAGCGTCTGATCAGGTGTCAAGGTATGTGTTCGTACTCCCGACGGTGTAAGGTAGGGTTAGATGGCGGCAGCATGTGGTCGGAGGAAATACGGTGCGTGTGTAACCGTGCCATCCGGAGGGCACTTGGGAAGTCGAACGTGAATAGGCGCAAGGCCAGTGAGGAGGGTGAGAGGTAATGGAAGCGGTCAGTTCGAGCCCCTCCACCCCTCTCGGGCTCACATCGTCATGTGGGCTGCTGGGGGTCGCAACGGTGAATGAGAAACGTCCATGTGGTGCTTGAGTCCGGACGCATCGGAGAATCCATTACCATTCGCAAACTCATCATTCGTGGATCGTGGGAGATCGCGGTTCGGGACCGCGCTGAGGGGTTCCAGGTTCCCCAAGTCGAGGGGGCGGCGGTGCCGATTGACGCCTTGCGCCCGGGGTGCAAACCGTGTGAGGGCGGCGGTAGATAATGATTTCATTCGAGTGGGCAGGCGAGAGGAAAGGGAATGAAGACGGAGACGCGCATGTACTTGAGCAATGTCATTGACGGTTGTACGGTATCAGGAAGACATTTGCCGCGCAGACAACAAAGAGCAACGGCATATTGCAAAAGCAAGCTGTGGGTAGTATTAGCGGACAATATAATATACCGCGACAAGGGCAGAAGCGATGATAGCGGGCTGTGGAGGCGGCAGAGGGGTCAATCATTAATGAATGGTGAATCCCCATCGCGAACCCCCACATTGTGGAATGCCCGTTGTCGGCAAGTCAAGGGTGAAGGGTCTGACCGATTTGAGGCCAAGAGATCTATCTGGGTTCGGGGATGAGATGTTGTGACATCTATCTGCCGGGTGCCGCGGTCTCAGGTCAATTCAATCAACGGCCCATCAGCATGCGTGCTGGCGACGGCTGGCGTGGGATACTGACGTTGATGAAAGAGCGACGGCGATGGTAGTGGTGATGGCGATGTTGATGGTGGTGACTCGGGCATGATTGAGCAGTCTGGAGATTGTGAGGAAAGAAGACATGTAGTTCGACGGTGCAAGAGGAAGTGTGCGACGAGCCAAGGTGAGGAGATATTAGATCCCCAAAACCTCGCACACTCGCCTAATGATGACTACTAACTCGTGATCAACAGCGACAGCAACTGCCCCTAACGGCGGTTGAGACAATTCCATTATTTTCGTCACAATCCAGCAATAGCATATCAGCATCCCAGGCCCCCCCCCCCCTCTCCTGCATCCTGCCCGTGCAGACTTGCCATACCTACTATGTAAGACGCGAATCGACGGTCTGAGGTAGGTACCGAGGTACCTACTTTTCGGAAGCCACCCATGGGCCAAGAAACTGTGCCTGAGGTTGCCACTGGTTTAAGGACGTACCGCGGTCCAGCGCTACCTTAGTCGGTCTGTGCATGACTGCTGCAATGACGCACCTTGGAAGGTCAGCGCCCCTCTCCTTCCTCACGGCTCACCTAATAATCCCCCGCTTCGAACCGGGAGCTGGATGCTGGCAAGCCTGGCAAGGCCCAACAGGTATCGATTGCCAAGGAACAAGAGACGACATAACAGCATAACAGGAAGCAGCTCACGCGGCTCGGTGACATGGCTCGTTGAGCAGATAGATTGGCGCTCCAGGAGTCCAGGCCGATGTCATGGGTCACTCGCAGCGTTAGGCAAGGCGAGGTCACTTCCAGGTTGTCAGTCCAGGGCGTCACTCGGGTTCCCCAGCTCTCCCCCAAACCCCCAAATCGCGGCATTTCCATTGGCCGCGCGCTCCCTTATCGGCGGGACATCCCACACCAGTTGCCGCAGACGAGGGAACCTTGGAACCGGGTAGAGTAAACATCTAGGGTGCGCTATCTTCCTTACTCTTGCTGCTGCTCAGTGCTCGCTCACTCCGTAAGTACATCCCTACGGATAACATAACCAAAAGATACGATAATTGCTCCATACCGCTGGCCCTCCTCCTCCTCCACGCCTCTTTCCGCGTTCCCTCGGCTTCCCGACTTCAAGTCCCCCGGTCTCCAGTCTCTCATCTCGCTCAAGCCCCACGATCTTATTCCGCCTCGGTCTGTCTGCCTGCGTCCCTGTCCGTATCACCTGGTGTCTCTTGCGCGCGCTCTTCAACCTTTCTCCCTCTTCTCTACCGCATCCTACTTCTTCAAGACATATTCTTTTATGAGCTCGCGCGCACACAGAAAGCGGCCAGACACTTCCTCCCATCCTCCTGCCACGCCAGACCTTGCTGCTACCACACCTCCCACTCCAAGCCGCGAGCTTTCGTCCCATTCATCGCCATCCAAAGTCAATTGATAGCTTCGTTGCACGCGCGCTTTCTTACCCCTCCTAATTAATCATGGCTTCGTCCAATGAACCTGTGACCATCGAGTCGCTGCCCGAGCTTCTGAAGAATGACAACAAAGTGAAGCTAGCCGGCATCGATGTTGACGGCATGCTCCGGGGAAAGCTGGTGTCCAAGAACAAGTTTCTATCCGTCGCCAAGTCTGGCTTTGGGTTCTGCTCTGTCATCTTTGGCTGGGACATGCACGATATGACATATATCAAGGAGCTCAAAATCAGTAACGCCGAGAACGGCTACCACGATCTTATTGCCATTCCAGATCTGTCCAGCTTCCGCCGCATCCCCTGGGAAGATAACGTGCCTTTCTTCCTCGTCAGCTTCTTCGACCCGGACACTCAAGAGCCTATTTGCGCATGCCCTCGTGGTTTGTTGAAGAATGCTCTGGCGAAATTGCAAGCCAAGGGCTATGGTGCCATGGCCGGAGGTAAGCTCGCGAACAAGCCCCGTTGCCACCCTTGCTCTCGAGAAATAGCAAGCTAACAATGCGACTCCATTCACAGCCGAGTACGAGTTTTACCAATTCAAGGCGCCTACCCGCGCCGCCGAAACCACGACCTCCACGGCCGGATACCTCCAAGAGAACCCCCCACAAGCTTTGCCGTCCCTTACTGAGGGTATGTTTGGCTACAGCTTGACTCGAACGGTGCACAACAAGGAATACTTCTATGATATTTTCGAGACTTGTTCCCAGTTCAAGTGCGACATTGAAGGGTGGCATACCGAGAGTGGCCCTGGTGTCTTTGAGGCAGCCCTTGAGTTTGGGGAGATTGCACAGATGGCCGACAGAGCCAGCTTGTTCAAGTAAGTAGGCGCATCCGCTTCTGGTTCGTCCATTCTAACCACCTTACTTGCAGGTATGTTGTCAAGTCGGTCGCAACAAAATACGGCATTACGCCATGCTTCATGGCGAAGCCAAAACAAGGTCTGCCTGGAAACAGCGGACACATGCACGTATCCATCGTCGATAAGGATGGCAAGAATCTTTTCGCTCGAGAGACAAAGGACGAGAACGCACCATACCCCGACGTTGCTAATCTGTCAGACCTGGGTCGACATTTCCTAGCTGGCTTGTTAGAAGGCCTCCCGGATGTCATGACCATGCTAGCACCCACGGTCAACTCCTATAAAAGACTTGTTGAGAATTTTTGGGCGCCAGTGACGGTTTCATGGGGCTTGGAGCACAGAGCAGCGTCGGTCCGCCTCATCGCCCCGCCGACGTCGAAGCCGGGCGCAACGCGGTTTGAAGTTCGTGTTCCCGGCGCAGATACCAATCCATTCTTCGTACTAGCAGCGATTCTCGCCCTTGGATGGCGGGGTGTTGAGAAGAAGTTGGAGATCCCCGTTCCACCACTAGGCAAGGGCGAGGACGTCGGCGGCAGTGCTGACAAGGGTGTGAGGCTCGCAAAGAGTCTGCGTGAAGCAAATGATCGTTTTACGCGCAAGGAGAGCATTGCGAGAGAAGTATTTGGGGACGAATTTGTCGACCACTTCGGCGGAACAAGGGATCACGAGATTCGGGTCTGGGATGAGGCCGTGACAGACTGGTATGTATTAATCATCAGAGCGACACCTTATGGGGGTGATTCTGGGGAGCATGGCTAATCAAGCGTTTGCACAGGGAGGTAAAACGGTACATTGAAACGGTATAGGAGTCCAGAGTTTGTCGGAGCGCGTTCTTCTATTATTTGTCTGGATTTTTGAGATATTTCCATCCCACATGGGATCAGCCCGGGAAAGACGTCAAGCCACGCGGTTATGGAGTTTATGGAAGCCCTTGCCCGTCCTAAGAGAGCTCAGGCCTAACCCCCCCGCCCCATCTCCACTTCCCTTACCTTGGCTGCGCAGTCTTACCTACCTGGCGTTGTTCAAAGGTACCCTATCTAGATACCCTCTTCAAATACCGACATATCGATACATGTAGCAGCAGCGTCAGCCGCGGCTATTCGGCCATTACGTATTGGCTGCTGAAAACATATTGGTGAAAGGTTTTGGCCGTGCAGGATGAGAGATGATAAGGAGGCGAGTGTGATTGGTGGTGTCGGATGCGCCTTTTGTGACCGTTTGGTGCGCTGGTGCATTACCCATACGAGCGAGCAGACCAGTCGGTCATCCAATCCTGGAGGATGAGCATCGGAAGCTGCTGATGAAGTGCCTCCCAACAAGTACATAACAGTACCTATGATGTGACAGGCCGGCGCACGAAATGTCAGGCTGTCCAAAGTAATCGTACTGCTTTCATTGGCCCGCAGCGGCTGGGTCGAGGCCTCATGTCGTTCAAGTTTGCCGCCCGTGACACGCTGGAGACGTGAGTCAGGAGAGGCTCAAGTTTGTTCGCACCGCTACCTCTCGTCCCCTCTGAGAGAATGCAACAAGAGGGGGGACGCTGCAGCGGCAACCGGAGCTCCGATGCGGGTTCACGGCTTCAAGTTCGGTGTCCGTCCATCGTCTGCCTGTCTGCAAGATCCTCTTGTCCTGCATTCATGAAAAGTCAACGAATGGTATCCGCAAGGTAGGGAAAATGGCCTTGTTGTGCGGCGCTGACAGCGGGTCGAGGACGGAATTGACAAAGACCCCAGTAAACACGAGATGCCAAGGTCTGAATTCCCAGGAAATGAATCATAAAAAAAGAAAAGAGAGAAAGAGAGAGGGAGGGAGGGAGAGAGAGGTAAGAGATGAAGGGGCGGGCGGGCTTCTTCCAAAGAACAAAATCGCCAAAACATTGTCATTGACGTCAATTGTTCGTTCGTTGGTCAGTGGGAGCTGATATATCGATAACCAGAGGGAATCCGAATCTTGATAGTTTTGGAGCTATTGGGTTGCCTTGCCTCACCGCATCCGATGAACCCATTTTTCATTTCGTTAATTCCCAATTTCCATCATCCATGTACCAGCCTGGGCTTCTGGAAGGAAGGGCGTTACTTCAACTAAATCACTACTACTCCTAGCGAACGGATACATGATTGCCACGCCATTAGCTCCGTTTGACAAGCAAACACTGCGTGGCACCCTGGGCGGTTGGAGCCCCCAAGGAAGGCAAGTCGCCCATGCCCCCATGCTCCCCCCCTCCCCTGCTTTATTCTCCCTCGTGGCTTTGGGGGGCAGCCCGAGGGGTTCTAGCGGTATCCATATCACGTATGAGCAAACCCTTTCTACTAACGGGGAATGCCCGCGCGACAGGCTGGAGGGTGGTTGGTAAGGTACAAAGAAACGGTCATCAATATGGACTCTCTTTTGCGGTTGGTCTGCCGCTTCGGGCCGGGGTTCCTGCAGAGCTACGACAGGGAACCGGCCATCTCTGCAGTAGAATTCGAGGGCTGGCGAGGAGTCATTCACGATGCTGTTCACCGTTTTATCTGCGGCGATATGTGCATGTCGACAACGATGGGAGTTGAGCCGTTCTGGAAGGGAACCAGCGCCCTTGAAGAAAGCATCCTGCCGGCCAACGTAGCATCCCGCATGGAAGATTCCGGGCCTTTACGGATACTTCTAGGGTGGTATTCCGGTCATTGGGAGACGTGTTGAAGCGTGCTTTGACCAGTTACTACCTCTGTGAAGTGAGACAACAGTGACCGAGGTCATGAAGAGAATGCCAGGCCGAACTTGGCACGGGTTTAGCTGGGCCCCTGTTGACCCTGGAACATCCGAATAAGGTAGTTCGGAGGTGTGCCGCGTCTAGGTATATCATACATGACGGGGAAAACTTGGGATGTTCATCACTGGGAAAAGAGGAGATGAGAAAGACGTGTGAGGTGGGAATTACCTCGATAACAAGATTAGTTCCTGACACGGGTTCCCATGTGCGGATAAGAAAATCTGGCCGTCAAACTGGTGCGTATACTCGTTGTAAGACACGGAACTAGCTGTGGGAAAAGTTTGAGATATCCTAAAAAAGACTTTGCTGTGCTGTCGTAATCTCGTTGCCCTGTACCGGAATTCGACTCGATTTGCGTTTCTGTTTGGCTGTCCCTTTTCGCAAGTGTTCCTTGCCCTGAAAATCAATCATACCCGTGCTCCAAGCTCAAGTGCCATGACTACCCTGTCTTGTTCTGTGATCCCAGCACTCCTGCTCCTGGCAAGCTCAGGCCCTGCCCATGTGAACAGGGTAGGGCAGGTAAACGATTACCTCAAAAAGTTGAGATGGCTCGCCGCAAGTAGTAAATGCAACTTGCCGGCCACAGCCCAGCCGCCCCGTTATTTTTTTGGTCCCTCTCTGCATCCATGCACATCTTTGTCGGGAGGGGGGGAGCGAAGGGGGGAGGAGGGGGACTTCCAACGGCTCGAATTTTTTTTTCTCTCGTTTTCAAATTCTCCATGGTTTTCACCAGGTCTTGGGCGGCACGTCCCATGCTCCATGGCCCGCCTTCGACCGCCTCCCGCACTTCCCATGCCGTCTCCTCTCTCGCCAGTGCCTCCTTGCGGACAAGTGCTCCGATCAGAAGCCAAGTATGATTTGATGGCGTCAGGTCCTGGCAGAGCAGCAAGGGGGGGGGAGGATGCACAGGACGCAGGACGTGGAGGTTCCATCCATCAATCCAGTCAAAGTCAAGTTCTGAAGTATCCCGCGGTAAATCTCCATTTCCCTCATCAGGTCCTCCCTACCCCCTTTCAAATTAGCCTTTCCCGTCTGGTCTTGCGCATTGCGTAGTCCTCCTCCCCTTTGTTCTCCCATCTTCCTTTGTCAACACCGAAGAGGCCGACAGGCTCCCCTTGTCCTTTCATCTAGTACCTTACCGGCCATCAAGGGGTTGAATACAAAGACATCCGTCAACCCTCAACCGAAGGCCATTTGATGTGTACATTGAGTACTCTGTACGCAACCCACCATCCCCGCGCTGAGATTGGCCCGGGTATTTTATCTATCATCTGTTTTCTTCCCTCCTGTTCTTCCTTGTGGGAATTTTATTAGCCATCCCACTCGTGGCTATATTACACCTGAGACTGAACCCACGATCGAGTCCCCCCAATTTGGTAACCCTGGCGAGCAAAGGCAGCAACCGTGCAGTGAATCGCTCCATGTGAGTGACAGACCACAGAAGCGTCTTAGCAAACAAAAAGATACGACAGGGACGACACAAACGCCGGCTGGCATACGTAGACCAGCCCGGTGTCAGGTTTTCGGTGGAAACTTGTTCCGCAGTTTGCTGGTATGGGCGAGGACGTTGACGCTGTGGTCGGAAACCCCGGCGTCGGCGGTAGCGACGGATACGGGGGCGAAAGTGCCGGCGCCACCAGGAACCGGACGGACCACAGAGAACGGAGGAGGCTGTCTCGAACAGAAAACGCCTCAGCAGGCGATTACTATGATGAAGTCGGCTCAGATGCCGGGTCTGATTTCAGCTCCGTGTCCGTCGACGAGCTCCCGCCAATCCGCGCTTATGGCCACACATATCACGGTTCTGGTGTGCTCCTGATGCCCAACGACGAATCTGAGCGTGCTCGTCTGGAAATTCAGCATCAACTTTTCAAGTTATGTCTCGAAGGTGGTCTGACAGCGGCGAAGCTCCCCAAGGACAGGCCACTCAACATTCTTGACATTGGTTCCGGCACCGGCAACTGGGCTGTTGAGATGGGCGAGCAGTACCCCCGGGCTAAGATCATGGGTGTCGACATCTCCGCCGCATTGTTGCCCACGACCGTGCCAGCCAACGTTGCCTTTGAAGTCGAAGATGCAACCGAAGATTGGGCACGGGAGAAAGACAGTCTGGATTTTGTGCATATGCGGAACCTTGTCGGCGGGGGCGTTTCGGACTGGAAGGCGCTTTTTCGGCAAGCATACGAGCACCTCAAGCCAGGTGGACAGATTGAGTTCGCTGAGGTGAGGACGAGGTATTTCGACCTTATCGACAGCAGCGGAGATGAGCCCGCTGCGCCCACGATTGAGGAGAAGGATCACGGCATAATGACGGCATGTCGCGAGTTTCAGGCGCGGTTCTCGGAACTGGCCAAGGTTGCAGGCGTCGACTTTGACCCAACACCAAGGATTCCTGCCATGTTTTCTGATGTTGGATTCGAAAAGGTGGCACGCTGGTCGGATCTGGTTCCCATACAGGCTGTGGGACATGATGAGAAGATGGTCAGAAAAGGGGCGCAATTTGCCCAGATGCTGGAGTATGGTATGTTCATGTTTCGCCCTTCAACAGCTTGACTTCGGTCAACTAACTTTTGCCAGGCTTGGAGAACTACTCGTTGGCTGTATTTGCCAAGGGGGGTTGGGATGAGAACGATACCCGGAATCTCCTAAAGAGAGTCCACAAGGAGTCGCGCGACACCACAAACGAGGCATATGGCAAAGTGTAGGTCCCTCAAGACGAGGGCGTAGCTTCACTAGCAAGTAGCTGACTGACTCTTTCTCTAGATCATTTGTCACGGCGAGGAAGCCTCTGTAAAGGGGCTTGGTCTATTCGATTCTATAGATGCCCAGTCTAAGTGGGCTGGATCACACAAATAGAAATATCTGATGATCTCGCGCCACCACAATTCCTACGAACATGCCCACCGCAATAAATGTTTGCAGAACCCTGCGCCGTGCCAACACGTTGGTGTTCTCGCCTAGATGCCGGCACGAACTACGACACCAAGCGCGATGTGACCGAACCCTGCGGTCGGTCGATTATCTGCCGCTGTGATTCTTGATCGGCCACTGCAGACCCGAGTCAAAACTCGGGCTTTCCTCGGTGCCAACCGATGAGTCTCTAGAGTCTATGCACCCTAGTCCTGTGCAACCACCCCCCTCCCCCTTCCAAACTCCCGATCAGCCTTCTTCGTCTTTCCGTGCCGCCCTAACCCGGTACTGACTGGCACGCTATGCTTAAAGAGATCGACTAAGCTCAAAACATAATCTGCCTAGTTTCAAACCTGCTATAGAAACCCCCGAGAGGCCTTGATCCCTGATTGTTTCACTCTGCCTGCCACTGCAGCTAGTCTAAGCCTTGCAGGATCGGTGGTCCAAGACTTCATTCAAGATGCGTTGACCCTCTCAGTCCGCCCGGTGCCCAATACGATTTTTCTTGTTGCAAACTTGCCTTTTCTGCCCAGACGTCCTAGGCGGCCGCTTTTTGGGGGTATCAGTCGTGTGTGTGGTATTGTCGAGTAATGCTGTAAACAGCCGCCACACTCCTACGGATCGGAGTGTAGTAATCCGCTGATCACGCACAATACCGCGCAAACTTTCGTCGCCGGTATCCAATCATATTTCACCTGTAGGGGTGAAGTGCTAACCCTTTAGATGGGCGTCAACAACAACTAACCTTTTGCACTAAAGGAGGCATAATGGCCGGCAATATGAACTGTCGGCTCTGGAGTCGAAGTGTGCCCATCCCACTTCTGCCCGGCGTCAGCCTCATATCAGACTGTGAGTCTAAATCGAGCCTAAACGGTGATCACTGCCCGTCCATTGGGCACCACTCTCGAGGCTTGTTTTGGGGTTCTTGTCGTGTACACAGCCATATAGCATTTGGACTTACACGGCATAGCAGTAGTCACAAAGCACGCGCATGGCCGTGGGGCCGTGACGAGGGAGGCTTCTCCGACGCCCAACCCAAGATACGCCCGCTGTAGTTGTCTCGCATGAGCTCGTCGATGCGTGGCCCAGAAATCAATTGTCAAATTCCTGTATTCCAGGTTATCCTACCGTACGCCATTGAGCTGGGGAGCAGCAGTCTCCTCTGTCAGCACGTAATCCCGTACTGCCCCCTTCCAATCACTAATTCTGACGTCTTTGATCTTGACCACAATGACTCGCACCTCCTCACCCGCGACAAAGCATCCCCTGCCACCGTCCTCAGCCTGAACGCTTGGGTTGAAGCTCTGGCTTTCGTCAAATGTGTTGTTTTCCAGGTGCGCCTCGCGGTAAAACTTCTCCTCGTCCGAGCCATTGTCAACCAATCTCGCAGTGCCATTGATTGTAGCACTAATGCTAGAGACGGCCGCCGTGTTGAGGTTCAAAAGAAGGGATGCGAGGCTAGAGCGGTGCTCTGGACCGGGGCTGCCGCCGGAGGGTCGTCGGCCTGAAGTTGGTGGTCGATGAGAAGACCCTAAGTAAAAAAGAAAAAAAAAGCTGTCAGCAACTGTTCAAAAAGCCACTACAAAGGTACAGGGCTATTTCCTACAATCGTGGACCAACAGGGACACATTGGGGTTCGAAAGAAGATTCTGCGTTTTTCTAGAGGCGGGGTTTGTCGTCATGACAATAACAGGGCCGGCCGAATGGTCGGAGGACGGGAGGTAGGTGTAGTTCATGAGGGAGACATTCGGAGTGTTATCGGTACATGTTGCCAGGTGAAGCTATCGATTTGGTAGATCAGTCAGCCATTGGTTTATGTGCTATCGCGGTATACAAACACCATGAAGCTTGACTGGGCACAAGAGCTAAGAGCTTACGAATCGCGCATTCTCCAAGCATTGCACGACCTCTTGGGGAAGAGTGGCCGTTACTTGCTTGTTGGTCTCACCGGCCGAAGCCTCGTAGTTGAGAGGGACTTGTTGATCCATGTTGACTGGGCTGCTCTTGAAGACGTGCTGGTGTTTGCAATATTACCTATCGTGAGCTTCTCCGACCGACTACCTACTGATCGGCTGGGCTGGAAAGGAAAGGTGGGCAGACAAGGTCCCGAGCCCACGCTGACTAATGCGGGGCAGAGCCAGCCGGCATTGCAAGTTATCGGGGGATGACGTCGAGGAGCTTGTAATCTAATCTTATCAGAAAATCCTTATGTACCTTACCTACCTTAACCCACCTAGGTTGGTAAGGCAAGTGCCTTATTAGCATCGGTCTGAGGTACCAGAGGACCTTGGAATCCGGGGTCGCCTTCCAGCGGCTTTCACGACCCACGGCTATTGTCGGCACCGCTCATTCCAAGATGATCGAGCGCAACAAGCCGAAGCTCCTGTAGACCTCGGGCTACCATAGCCTTCGCCTTGAAATCTTTGCTTTCCTCCTCTGCCATCAATTTCCCGTCCTTCTGTTTCTCTTCACGAGCGTCCAATTCGTATCTCAAGCTTGTATTCCCGCCCAGAGACTTCAACCATCCATTATGCGTTCCATGAAAGCGAAGCAACGGCTCGTCCGACCCCTCCCTCGGCTCCTCTCCTCCGCCGCAGGCCAGTCGGTGCCGGCTTCGAGCCAAATCACTCCTATTACCTCTCTTCTCATTGCCAACCGCGGCGAGATTGCTCTGCGAATCCACAAGACGGCAGACAGGTTAGGGATCAAGACAACGACACTCTATACGGACCCCGACAGCAACAGCCAGCACGCCGCGTGCTCCCCGCACTCCCTGAACCTGGGCGACGCACGAGCGTACCTCGACGGCGAACGCATCATCTCACTAGCCAAGAAGCACGGCATACAAGCGCTCCATCCTGGTTATGGCTTCCTGTCCGAGAACTCCCACTTTGCCGAGAGGTGCGAAAAGGAGGGCATCGTCTTCGTAGGACCTCCAGCACAGGCCATGACCGACATGGGCGACAAGGCACGAAGCAAGATCATCATGACCGATGCTGGGGTCCCATGCGTTCCGGGATATCATGGCTCAGATCAAGGAGAAGAACAACTGTTGCAGCATGCGAAGAACATCAAGTTTCCCGTGTTGCTGAAGAGTGTGAAGGGCGGTGGTGGAAAGGGCATGCGCATCGTCATGACCGAGGACGAGTTCGCTGCCCAGCTTGGCAGTGCCCGCGCCGAAGCCCGCGCCTCTTTTGGCGAGGGCGGTGAGGTCATGTTGGTGGAGAAGTACATCGTCCGACCCCGTCATGTCGAGGTGCAAGTCTTCGCGGATAAGCTAGGCAACTGCGTTGCCCTCGGGGAGCGTGATTGCAGTGTGCAGAGACGACACCAAAAGATTCTTGAGGAATCTCCCGCGCCAGACCTGGATGAGGAAACTCGTCTCGATCTTTGGGAGAAGGCCAGAAAGGCTGCTCTGGCCGTCCACTATGTTGGCGCTGGCACCGTCGAGTTCATTCTCGACAAGGACACTGGCGAATTCTACTTCATGGAGATGAATACTAGGTTACAAGTTGAGCATCCCGTCAGTGAAATGGTCACCGGTACCGACCTTGTCGAATGGCAATTCCGAGTTGCCGCTGGCGAGAAACTACCCATGACGCAGGAAGAGATCGTGGAGAACATCAAGCAGCATGGTGCAGCCATTGAGGCTCGCATCTATGCCGAAAATCCGGAGAAGGGCTTCATGCCTGATTCTGGCAAATTGATCCACCTGACCACGCCCAAAACAAGCGAGGACATCCGCATCGACGCTGGTTTTATTCAGGGTGACACGGTTTCAGAAGCCTATGATGGTATGATTGCCAAGCTGATTGTTCGTGGCAAAGACAGAGAGACTGCGATTCGGAGGCTGGAATTGGCTCTCCGCGACTATGAGGTCGTTGGTCTCAGTACCAACATCGAGTTCCTGAAACGTTTATGCCGGTCTCCGGCGTTTATCGAGGGCGATGTTGAGACTGGATTTATCGAAAAGTGGAAAGATGAGCTCTTCAAGCCACGGCCAATCCATGCCGAGGTTTTTGTCCAGGCTGCTCTCAGTTCGTTATCTCCCCAACTATCACATGATGCTCCACATGGAAGCAGCTTGGGCTTTGGGGAAGCCAGCACGCTCAGCGAGCGGAAATTTGCTTTCAAGGTGCTTGATTCGTACAGCGAGCAAACAGGAGAAGTAGTGGAAGTCAGCATCACGCAAAAGTCGCATCAGCTCTTCGATGCCCATGTGTCAAGAAAGGGAGAGGAGACACCACAGGTTTTCGAGAACCTTGTCAGCAAATTCCAGTCAAGATCGTCGTCGACAAACGCACTGACAACATACTTCTCTAATGAGAGATTGGAGTCGACTGTTGTGCAGAATGCAGAGAACGAGCAGGATACCAAGATTGCTGTGTTTCAACATGGCATCAAGACTGAGCTTTCCCTTTTGCCACCAAGCTGGTTTGAGAAGGCCCTCGGCTTGAAGGAGGTTACTGCGTCCGTTGTGGCACCAATGCCTTGTAAGATTCTAAAGAACGAGGTGGAGGAAGGGCAGGCGGTGGCCAAAGGAGCTCCGTTAGTTGTGTGAGTACCATCCCACCCGTGACCGCTGTAACTCGATGACTTGTAATGGCTGACTTTGGCACAAAGTATTGAGTCCATGAAGATGGAAACCGTTATTCGGTCGCCCCAAAACGGCGTGGTTAAGAAGCTCGCGCACAAGGAAGGCGTGAGTAATCCTTTCCTTTCAAGCCCACATAAGCTTTTACTTACATTTTCTCAGGACATTTGCAAAGCTGGGACTGTCTTGGTACAATTTGAGGAAGAAGCTACAGAAGACTCATAAGTGACGGTCAATTTACGCAAGGAAAGGATTACAGATTGAGATTTGCACAGCGACTAGTCTAAGAATTCCAATTGATGGCTTACTTGTATTGACCATTCTCTCATGCCATGTCCTTCGTCATTTTAAGCATGTACGCAGTTTATCTCAGTTTGAGATTGTCAGCGGAAGCTCTCTTGCTAGTAAATCCTCAGCCTTTCCAAGGCGTCCTCCAATACTTCCGTACAACACACATGACCAAAGCGCATGTGGCTTTTGGAATCAATGCCATCGCCAAAACAAGTAAATCTAGGTAGGTTCAGAACTCCAGTCTTTCCCAAGACCTTGAGACAAAATTTGTCATCTCGAATTGGCTTTCCATCTCTCTCTCTCCCCCCCTCTCTGGAAAAAAGCCCTTACCGTTGTACCAGCTGTGGGCTTGACCCAGAAGCAGACAGATTGATGCTTCTTCACAAAGGCGTCTAGAAATTCTAGATCCGTTCTCGCAAGCTCAATGTTTTTGTCCAGCAGGTTCAGCCTGACCGCCTCCGAGAGACCATAACCTGCCACTTGATCGTCGAGCTGTGAGACGTTGATGGTCGAGTAGTTCCGCGCACTCTTGACGGCATTAATTGTCTCGGAAATCTCTAGACACGATCCATCCCAGGCATAGGCCGGCAAGGGAGAAAGCTTGGACATGCTGGAGGTTGAATTGGCTCTGTCATAGCCCAACGACAGAATTGATAGAGGGATAGTCTCTCTTGTAGGTAAGCTGTGAAAGAGAGGTCTATGTACCTCGTCAGCCATGACAATGATGTTTCTCAACTTGGAAAACGCGACAATTTCTTCGAGACAATGCTCTGGTGTGGTGGCAGTAGTAGGTTTATTGGGATTGTTGATGATGATCTATTATTTGCTGAAGTCAATCGGGCATCCTGCTAGTCTCTCAAATAGATGCATTACCTTGGTATTGCATCCCATCAGTCTCAGGAGCTTTCGAACATCCAATATGTAGCGATTATTAGCTTTCATCGGGGGGCATGGGACATCTACCTGTATCAAGGTGGGAGAGGGGGTATTAGCCGCAGACTAGAGCCTCTGGCAAAGCAAAGATGCCGTCTTTCTAATATTTTAAGACGGGGGTTTTGTGTGTACCCAAGTACAGCACGTTGGGAGTATTTCATTATTCTCTACGTTCCAGCTGCAGCAAGGACCGGCCGTATGATAATGCTGCATCTTTTGAGGAGTTCATTGTGGACTAATAAATAAGTATGGGTCGCGACTTTATCTGTGTTCATTGCGCCTTATATCTATGCAACCATCAGGCAATACTAGTCATATTCACCAGAGACCACTACCAAAGCAGTGCTTTCCGACACGTCGTGAAGTGCGCTCCAGTGTGGTTCGGAAGGTAAAGAGGGAAGCTAATCTTCCCGCATTCAGTGGGCATTGCTGGACGGCGGTGGACTGGATGGCCTACTTTTTTCTCATAAGGTTTGTAGCGTCTCTTGTCCATCCAGGTTCTGGAACTCCGCGGGGCTCTAAGCCCAATTGGTCTACTCTGATCATAGAACTTGGCAATGCCGATAATCTGGATACACTCTTTGTCCCAGTATAGAAAGCCTCAGCTTCTCAAGCGAACTGATCGATGGTTTCAGTCCACCCCAACCATCATGGTGTCTACACTATACTTACCTCCTCTACCCGAGATAACTATCTGGAAAAATCACCTGGTTTAAACGCTAGCCGAGATAGATATGGCATCGTTGGACCCCGCTCTACTCCGGGTGACTGATTTTCTAATTTCACTTCAGTGATTTGGAAGCACACCATACTTAGGGCATCACTGCGTCATTAGGTTGGCATCTCGGACGCCAAACCTCATTCCGGACACTCTTGTGTTATGACCATGACAGACGGCGGGGTTCGAAGGCTTGGTACCTTGTGTGACCTACCATATTGTTACACGACAAGACTGGCTCCAGAGTTCGCCGGGCCTGTCAAGGTTCATAAACCTTCGGTAATCACTCCAAAGTAAATCCTGGGCCGTCCACCAACTCGCTCTATTCGGTCAAAAGCTGAATGTTCTAATATTGCCCATTTTCAACCCATCCTTCTTTCCGTTTACAATTCAATGATCACACAAAACGCAATCTCAGTTCCTACATCAGTTATCAAGATGTCGAAATTTCTTTCCAACAAAGATGAGATGTGAGTTCCGCCATTTGTTGCATAATCATCATCTTGCTGACTGCTGGAGATCCAAAAGTGGTCCATCAGTGGGCAGCGCCATCGAAATCAGCCACCATGACCATCCTCGCCATAGCGAAAGCCAGATAACTACTGGAGAGTAAGCCAGCATCGGTATTCTAGTCTAACCTAATTCTCTCGACTAATACTATGGACTCTTAGGCCTAGGAACCCCCTTGAAGGTATTCCCCGAGAACAACTCAAGATCGACGCAAGACTCTTCGCCATTGGTCTTGGCCTGCAGAACGAAATCACCTATTTCGAAAAGGGGGCTTTGGCGGCCCAGAGTCCGAAAGCCTACGAGGACATAGCGGAGCTCACCGAAGATGACCGAGTTATTTTGAGAAACGAAGTTGAGCATCGCTGGAGGCACCCCAAAGCACTCTATTTCACTATTCTTATGAACTCGATCAGTGCAGCAATCCAGGGTTGGGATCAAACGGGCTCAAATGGGGCCAATTTGTCATTTCCGCAAGCCTTTGGAATCGCGGATAAAGGTGAAGACTGCCTAGCTGCTGGAACATGCGCAAGGAATTCCTGGATCATTGGTGCCATCAATAGTGCGCCATATATGGCCATTTGCGTCATGTAAGTCTTCAACTCCCATTACATGGCAGATCGCCTTATTGAATATGTTTAGCGCTTGCTGGCTGTCTGATCCCGTCAATAATTGGGTTGGAAGAAGAGGTGCAATCTTTCTTGGTGCTATCTTTAGCATCCTTGGTCCCGTTGGCCAAGCGCTTTGCCAGACTTGGCCACAAATCTTGTTCTGCAGGATCCTTCTTGGCATGGGAATGGGACTCAAAGAAGTCACCGTGCCGGTTTTCTCAGCCGAAAATTCGCCACCTAACATACGTGGAGCGCTCGTAATGTCGTGGCAACTTTTCAGCGCTTTCGGTATCATGCTTGGATTTCTTGCAAACCTTGCTGTGGCCGGATTTGGGGACATCGCCTGGAGACTGCAGCTTGGTTCTGCCATGATACCCGCGGTACCACTGCTTTTTGGAATTTACCTCACCCCCGAGTCGCCCAGATGGCTATTGAAGAAGTGCAGGTTTTCCGAAGCCTACGAGTCACTCTTGAGATTGCGAGGCAGCAATCTGCTCGCAGCCAGAGATCTTTACATCGTCAATGCTCAGCTAGAATTGGAGCAGGAGCTGATAGAAGCTGACGGGCTTGGTAAACGCAACTTTTTCACTAGGTGCATCGAGTTATTCACCATTCCGAGGATCCGTCGGGCGACACAAGCATCGGGCATTATCATGGCTGCTCAGCAATTCTGTGGAGGCAAGATATTCTACACATTCCTTGACAACCACAATCGCTCTGCTGACAGCCTCAGTCAATCTCATGTCTTTCTACTCCTCGACTCTCTTTGAGGAAGCAGGAGCAAGCAACACAGTTGCTCTCCTAGCCTCGTGGGGATATGGAATGGCGATGTTCATATTTGCGATACCGGCTTTGTGGACCATCGATCGCTGGGGACGTAGAGCGTTGCTTTTGGCCACCTTTCCGAACATGTGCTGGGCTCTGCTTGCAACAGGCATGGCATTCCACGTTCCACAGAGCAGTCCTGCACACCTCGGAGTCATCTGCCTATTCAATTATCTCTTTGCTGCCTTTTATGGTCCGGGTCAAGGACCCGTCGCGTTCGTCTACTCTGCCGAAGTCTTCCCTCTATCGCATCGTGAGGTTGGCATGGCTTGGGCAGTCGCGACGAACAACTTTTGGGCTATCATAGTTGCACAAACTTCACCACCCCTTCTCCAGGCGATTAGACCTCAAGGGGTTTTCACTCTCTATTCTGTCTTCGGGGTTATATGTTTAGTTCTCATCTTCTTCTTTCTTCCAGAGACGAAACAGCGTTCCCTTGAAGAGCTCGACGATATCTTCTCGGTTTCAACTAGGCGGCATGCCTACTATCAACTTAAAGAGGCCTTGCCATGGTGGTTCAAGCGCTACATCATGCGGAAGGAAGATGAACCTGAGCCTACGTTATATTGTTTCGAAGTGGATAAAAACACCGGGTCAGGAGCTAAGTCCCAGTCTTTTGAGACTCGTGAGGAGTTGGCAGGGGGATAAAAGAAGTTTACAGATCTGATCAGTTTCGGATATTTACAGCACTATGGCTCTCTGTTGAGGCACTCAATGCAGGTAAATTTTCAAAATGCCGGGGCTATGATATCTCTGTTACTAAAGTATTTTGAGCTAAGTTTTGAGTGCTTTGATCTTCAGTGGTGTTTGCTTAAAGAATCTGGCTGGCAGTCTTTTGAGACGTTGCCTCATTGAAGATGCCTCATACAGGAGACACAAAAGGTACTAAGACCAATCAATATCATGCTAGCCAAGAAAGAGATATACATTATTAGCTACGGAATCTTTTGTGTGGTCTTAGACGTCCACAACGCTGCTGTTGTCGACAGCTAACTCAACTCCGCTCCGAGCAATCGTCAAACGTTCCAAGATAGCCTTGTTGATATCAACAAAAATCGGAGACCTTTCCAGGGAATGCATCCATTATTTCTGCTTGCAAGAGTAGCTGCTGATAGAGTCGTTGAAGCGGCCGTTGCCGTCCGCTAGGTTAGCGTCCTCTTGGTTCTCGTAGGACCCTCCCTGGCAGTTGCCATCGCTGATAATGCGTTAGGAATCATAGTGTTTCTGAGAGTGGGTTTATGCTAGTTATGAAGGGAAGATATTCTTACAGGTACCAAACACACTTGTAGAAAGACTTGCTGTCGTTCCGGATGGAGCTGATGCGGTCGTTCCAGCCACCAGGAACATTATCTATTACATAGCAAGTCAGCAAAATATCTTCGTTGGTTTTGAATCGTTTTTAATGGACGGATATCAGGAAACGGAGAAGAGAAGACGCACAGCATCTGTTCAAGTCGACCAGCTCGTTGCGGCATTGGCCGTTCCAGTAGGTATGCTCGCACATGTAGATAGAGGCCTGAGCCATAAGTTCACCTCCTGTATCTTTCGAAATTTGAGGGGTGGGAGAAGCCATAATTGCAAGAGCCTGAAAAGCCTGAGCACCGATGAATGACTTGATGCAGACCATTTTGGCAGTTGACAGATACTAATATCTTGAGGTAGAGCTTGGAAGGAAAGTTACTGATCTCAAATAAAGCTGAATGCTGGTGATTCTCTTGTTTGGAGTCTTGCTTAGGATTTTCTAGCTACTTATACTTTGATCAAAACCATCAGGGTCCCGAGACTGTAGCACCGAATGCGGCGCATATTAAGATACACTGCCACCTCGCCCGGCTCAGGCCAACCGACGGAGCCTCGAATATTGCCACATGCTCACGTTAGAAGCATTCTTTTCTGATTATCGTTGCTAGAAGTCATGCACAGATAGGTGAACGAGGTGAGCCCAGAATGCAATGCGCCGCATGACTGCTGTTTATCCAGAAGCAGGCTTTGCTGATGGCTTATTCTAGAGGGCAGCCAAGACGATATATGTAGGGTCATGATTCATTTTACAGGATTAAACCTCTTGGGATCATATTTGAGCAATTTAACGAACAGAACAAAGGTTCTTTTGGTGCTTGAGCTTCCTCTTTGGGCATTGAGCTGACATGCGACTGCGCATGAATTGCAGATTGATCACATTTCCTTACGCCTTATTGAGAAGTCAAAATACAAATGCCCATGCATAATTTGCTACGTTCCAAGAATGATTGGGACGTATCTTGCTGCCTAGTTCTTCAAAGCACATCTGAGAATCCCGTTCTGGTCTCGCCCAAGTTCCAGATGCCATCACATATCCAGCGTCCGTTCTGAAAACTCCATAAGTTCTCAGGTATCAGATTTATCCTTGAAGTATACTTTCCAGAAATACCAAGGCTATACCAAAAGTCGAACCAGCGAGCCGCAAAAGGTGGCTTGTGATAACGTGCTGGGGTGGGTGACCTAATGCCGTGACTGTCAAAGCAGTCAGCTACTTTGTGCCAAAATCGCTTGTCCTTTAGCTGATGTATTGCTATGGGGTTTGGGCCAACAACAGCATGTTGAGCCGAGTCCGGATGTGTGTCCGGCCTTGCCCAGGCAGTCCCATCGCCCCTAGAATCCCCATCACTATAGTCAAACTTCTCTGAGCCACGAAAGTTGACAAAGTTCCCTGTCTGACTCCCTTTGTGCATCAAGATAGATATAGCCATATCCTCTCCTGTCACAACTTGAAATTCAGTTTGCAATGATACCAAAAGCTCGACCATGTCCCACGTTGTCGTGTAAATGCCTCCTTGTGGAAATACTAGATGACTATTACGGGAATAGTACAGCTCCCCGATGATTGTTCGAGAAACCGTACTCTTCCAGATTTTCGAAGGAGTCCTTTGTGTCTGATTGTCCAAACTTTCTGTCTCGTTAACTTCCACCAACCTCGGAACGAGGAATTGGTCCCAGAACCCCCTTGCATTCAGCCATAAATCTGTATCCATCTTAGAGACGAACTCATATTTCTTTTCCCCTTGAACAAGCCATTTGTAGAATTCGAGTGTTTTGATAGTGTTGGCCGTAACATCGTCTTCTTGGAGGTGGTCGAGAACGATGATGTCCCCAAACGTTCTGTTTTCGAAGATCACCATGTCAGTGTACCTCGGGCCCGGATTAGACACCACAAAGCGGCCATCGAATGGAACGTCTTCGAAGAGACGCATCCAGGTCGTTCGAATCAGCAAACGTTGCTCCATGTCTGACGCCGCACAGATGACCGCTGCCAGCCACGGCCGTTGTTGTCGGTTGCGGTTATAGCCGTCAGTGGCCACAGCACTTTGCATAGCGGATTCGGGGAAAGGTTTCAGGGGGTATCGAATCTCGGGTTTGCCCTTGACGACTTTTCCGTGAACAATTGTCTTGATGGTCGGCGAGCTTAAAGGGGCATGGTGATTTGGTGTTCGATTCAGAAGGAGGAAAACCAGGATTATAGTTGAGAAGGCAAAGAGCGTAAACGCTCTGAGACACACTCTCCGAATAAGCCAAATGGGCCATAAGCGCTTCGTAGGCGAAAATCCTGATGAAAGGTTTGACGAGTCCATAAGTGGGGAGAACGTAGCGTTCGGGAAGATGACTGTTCTCTATAGGACAGCGACAGATCTTTGCTTCATTTCCCTGTGGAACACACGAAGACTAATAAAAATGAAGAAATGATGAGAAAAGCTGACGAGATTTTGAGTGCAGAATCAAAGACCAGAGAATCAGGCTCTACAGAGTCTCGGATAAACTCAGCCGCCAAGCTTCTTTTCAAATGTATGACAAAGGAAAGTGAGCTCATGTCTCCTATTGTGTGGACTACGCCGCAGACTTGGCGTCAGGCAGACATCACCGAAGGCGAGAGCAACATATGAGGCCCACGGACCTTCAGCAGGTATTCCGGTTAAACGGGGATCCAATGGGTCCATCCATGATCCATCCGCTGTGCGTGGTGGTTCATTGCACAGTACGTGAGGATAGAAGTCAGCTCGCACTGCTGATTGCTGACTGCATTTTCCGACACTCTACCAATTTCCCAGTTTGTATATGTGTATATTTCCGTAATTCCTGTTGCCGCCGAAGTCCCATATTGCCCGGGAAGATCGCGAGAGTCCAGAATCAAGGTTGGTTGGTTTAAGCAGTTACGGTTTTCTTTGTGTGATTCGCAGCCCTGTAAACTCGGATGCTTGACGGGTTAGCCGATGGGGCCCCGTTTTTGAGAGTTTAGCCCGTTGCCAAGCTCTCTGGAATCCCCGGCTTGTCCCGGCGGGAGCTTACACGCAGTCACACGCAGGGATGGGGATGATTTTGTTCCACGGGATATTCTTATTGGCCTAGTCATGCTGTATGAGTCCCACTTGAGTAAACTTCATGCAGGAACAAGGATTTCAACTGTGGAATGAGCCGCCCGGATAGAGAGCGAGGCGTTACTTGCCAAGCGACCACAAATTGGTAGCCATGCCTATGCCATGACATTGATATTACCAACAACAACGGCAGCCAGTTAATTGTAACACCTGGTAGAAACAGAGATGCCCATTCCGGGTATGCACATGTCGGCGAAAGGCCCCAGCTTCTTCCCTCTCTACCCCGCCGTCCTCAACCCTCATCTACTGATCAGTTTCATACTCCTGAGTTTGCTGGGTCTGTTCTTTCTTCTGCGGTTTGGCAGGCCTACTTTTTCCCCGCCGGTCGTTCTCATAGGATCACCGGGCAAACTGTGGAGGATAAGGGTGGCATGAGCCAACAAGGATAAGTACCTCCTTATCGAAGAAATCCAAAATGGAAATCAAGTGAGTCACAAGTACGAAGATACAGCTTGAACAAGTCATACTCTTCGATGTTGGTGGTCATGTCATGAGATCACTTCCCTGTAAATTGGCAAGGACCCCGTACTTGCTCCTTAATTCGATGACTTGTATGCGCTATATTGCACATCACTAAGGTATGGAAACCTTGAGTTACCAACAGTCGAAAAAATGATGCTCATCAGGCATCTTTGTGCCCGCTGGGCCGCCGTACAACACCTTAACCAACAGTTGCCTAGGCCGTAGCGTTGAGGCTAGATTCGAATGCTGAGAACTACCCATACCTACCTCGAGATCCCTCCGTGAAGTGCCCTCTGCTGACTTCTTCACTTGCGAACCAACCACCCTGACAGCCTTGTCCTAAAAGAGTGCCACGGGATTAGTAAACTCTACTGATTTAATTGGTTACAAATGTGGTGGGCCTGCAAATTCAAACATGCTAGTTTACACAAATCATAAAACCCATTTAAAAGGCAGTCTCTTACAGGGACTTCAAAGGCACAGAGCGCTTTTAGGTCATTATCAAGTTGGTCAAATCCATCTCACGCCCGACAAGCTCTCATAGTAAGGTGGCTCGTGGCATATGGACGGCCTGTTGAATGAGCACATTATCAGCACGGGACTATACTACTACGCTTGCGAGAATATCATGGATTGCACTCCCAACTTTCATACCTGTGCTAACAGAGGGAATCTTGGCTCACGGAATACTGTCAACTATGAACAGGGGCCGATCAAGTAGGAAACATCTCAAGAAGAGTGGCCAACTCCAAAGACTCGTGGTTGAAGGCTCGAGAAGAGTTGGTGAGGGCCATCATTAGAGACAAGTGGCCTATCGGAATGGAACAGGCAAAGGAGCTGAGAAAGCAACTGATGGCAGAGACGACATGGATGGAATTCGCTTGGCTTGATATGAAGTGGAACTTCTATGAGCATTATTTAGCAAGCCCTCACCATTCGGGAACCACTTGGCATTTTGGAGTCCAGAGATATTTGTCACGTTCTTTTTTCGCATTTTCCCAACCATGCACTATCATCTTCAATTCGATTTTCTTATTACTTGATGGTCATGAGCGAGACTGTGAGAATTGGTTGACTTTTCTTTGAAAACAGAAGTCTATTCTGGTCCGAGGGTCTTGAAAGCAGCAATTTGCAAGCGGAAGTGGACGTTGGAAACAGTAATGGAGACGGAATATCCCATTTTCCACGACTGGCACGATACCAAAACTCGAGATTCAATGCATCCAACTTCTGCGTCTTGACGGCTTTATGTGTATACCATGCCTCCATTGGCACAGATGGTATCCCCGGTCACCCAGCGCGACCTTTCCTCGCATAAAAATACGACAATATCTGAGACATCCTCCTCCGTTCCGCATCGGGGCTCGGCGGGAACCTTTTGGTTCTGTTCTTCCATCCTCGCGAGATGGACTGGTCCCGCAGCACGATACATGTCAGTGTCGACAGGGCCAGGGTTGACTGAATTCACTGTTATCCCATACTTGTGGCCCAGCTCTGTAGCCCAGACTCGTGTGAGACCCTCGACAGCAGCCTTAGACGCGGCATATATGGACTGCGTTGGGTAGCCTCCGCGAGCGGATATCGAAGACAAATTGACAATACGACCGCCGCGATTGATGTGAGGTAAGACACCTTGAGTCATGAAGATGACTGCTCTGACATTGACTGTCATTAACCGATCATATTCTGCGATAGTGACTTCTTCCAGTGGTGCATTTCCACCAACACCCGCGTTGTTCACCAGGATGTCAATCTTGTCGGTTTGGAACTCTCTGAAAGCGGTATCCAGTAGAACAGAGGGAGCCTCGAGAGATGCCATGTCGACGCGGACGCACGCTGCACGAACCGCGAGAGCCTTCACTTCCTGCAACAAATTGAGAGCAGCAGCTTCAGAAGACGGGGAGACATAGTTGAACGCAACCTGCCTTCTGTCAGCGTAATGAGATCCAACTACTGTTTTCTGGCGCCTCACGGTCGAGATCATATCACCAGTCAGCAAGCTTGGCAGCTCAGCTTAATGGAGTCGACGGGAATTGGAGAGAACGAAGCTTGACTTACACTTGCACCTTGTTTGGCAAGAGCTCGGACAATTCCAGCACCGATTCCTCGAGCCCCTCCTGTCACTATCGCAATCTTCCCATTTAACAACATGGCGAGAGTTTGGAGTCTGGTGATTGTATTTTGTATAGATAAAGTAGGTATTGGGATGTGAGCGCTAGCATATAGTATCGAAGCTGAAGCATATATCAAGGGGTTTGAATAGAACACAAAGCCGCTTGAGGGCTTCATAAGTTTAGATAAAGGCCAGGTAGCTTCACGTTGCAAGAAAACAAGAGTCTCGTGCGACTCATCGTGCGGGGAGTCGCAGTGGGCGGGGCAATCCGTGCAGGTCAACAGTGGCGGAAACCCGTGACAGTCCGCTGAACGTGGGGTAGGACGCTGGTATCACAGGAGATGCTGCGTCCGAGCCGCCTTGTTGAGACTGGATGGTCCGGGCTATTATATGACCAATGTGCTCGGGGAGGGCGGGGGGTGATCGAGGGGTAAAGAATCCGCGGGTGCCACAATAAGGGAAGACAGTCTGACTTCATGAGATCAGATGTACCCCGTGCTTTGAGAAGCTGGTCGCACGTCTTTTGTATCTCCCAACTCGCTGCCCCATTGCCCATCGTTTGCAGGATTTGTCTCCCATCAGAACTCCTAATCCATTTGCCTTCTGTTGTCATTAAGCTCAAAGGACTGATGCCTGCTATGGACACATCAGATATAGCCGATATCCTTCGTCGAAAACCCAGCAACCTTGCAATCTATACCAACCCCGAGCATGAACTTTTCCTCAAGCAGGTCAATGTCCCAGCCCCGAGCGAAAGGGAGTGTCTAGTCCACGTGCGAGCAACTGGCATTTGCGGCTCCGATATTCACTTCTGGAAAGCAGGTCACATTGGAGAGATGATTGTGACGGGCGAAAACGGGCTAGGCCACGAGAGCGCAGGCGTAGTCGTGGGTGTCGGACCGGAGGTGACGAAATTCAAGATTGGAGACCGGGTGGCTATCGAATGCGGCATCCCTTGTATGAAGGCATCGTGTTTTTCTTGTCGGACAGGTCGATACAATGCCTGCCCTGAAGTGATTTTCTACTCGACGCCACCATACCATGGAACTCTTACGCGCTACCATGCGCACCCAGAAGATTGGCTGCACAAGATGCCCGATAAGATGTCATACGAAGAGGGCTCTCTTCTCGAGCCACTCTCGGTGGCTCTGACGGAAATTGAGAGATCTGGCGTTCGCTTGGGTGATCCTGTGTTCATCTGTGGTTCTGGTCCCATTGGCATGGCTACTTTGCTCGCTGCTAACGCTGCAGGTGCAAATCCCATCGTCATTACAGACATCAATCAGAACAGGCTGGATATGGCAAAGAAGGTGGTCCCTAGAGTGCGAAGTCTGCTCATCACTCCCGGAAAGGATCCGCAGGCAACTGCCGACGATATCAAAGGAGCTCTTGGTCAAGAAGCAAAAATGATACTGGAATGCACCGGTGTTGAGTCAAGCGTGGTCACTGGTATATACGTGAGTAACCAACAACAGTTGCCTTTTAGATGAGGATATCTGGACTAATGAAGTATAAAGTCTTGTCGATTCGGCGGTATAGTCTTTGTCATTGGCTGTGGCAAAGATTTTGCCACGATCCCCATCATGTACATGGCCGGAAAGGAAATCGAGTTGCGATTCCAATTCCGTTATCGAGATATCTATCCTCGGGCCATTGGGCTCGTAGCTGAGGGAGTCATTGATCTCAAGCCATTGGTCACCCACCGTTTCACTCTCGAGGAAGGCGCCAAGGCTTTCAGAACAGCTTCGGACCCCAATGCTCTGGCATTGAAGGTCCACGTACTTGACGATTGAAACGAAAGCTCTATAATTCAGTAATGAAATTCACCTTCATTAAAAAAGAAATTCTGGCTGTACAGAGATATGGTTGCAAGTAGTGAGATCTTGAATATTGTTGGTTTACGTAATCACAGGGTGATTTGTTCGATCGAACCGTGGTGACGAAGGGTCAATTACTCTTGTATTGATCTCTGCGTGAAGTGGAAAAGAGAGGTTCCAACCGTGGGTTGGATCGCCGGTCAAACGCTGATATAGAGACCCTCAGATGGCCCCTGCGCTGGCGCTGACTCGAGGTCGAATTGGGCTTCCAATCCGACAAATATTGATAGCAAAGCGAGGCTGCGTGCGACAAGAACTTGGCAGCATCTCCCCGGGTTCTACGCAGTGGTTTGAAAAGTGTTAGTATTAAATGTCCCTCAAAGTTAGGTGTGACTTTGGTTCAAAGAAAAGAGGAACATCTGCTGGCTCAAATCAAGAGTACGCAAATCCCAATCCGTGACACAGCGTTTCTAGGGATGCCGTTGTTACTTGTGAGTAGAAAAGTCTTTCCGGCCCTTCCAGCACTCCTGCAAGACACAGCACACCGTATCACAATTTTGAATCCAGAACCTGCCATCTGAAATATCCCCTCAAATAAATTCTTCAAAAAGAAAATTGGCTGTTTATCTGGTCGGGGTCCTGCCATTGCTCCGGCGTTGCACAGGGCCCACGCCACGGAGTTCAGTGATGGGCCTTCAGGCACGCTCTGGAAAGCATCCATAACATCAGGTGCTTCTTTATGAATTGTTTCGAGCTCCGTTTCAGGGGGATCTTCTGTGTTGGCAGAAATTTTGTGCAGTTGGAGGAGGACTATTGTTGCATATATGCGAGTGATTGACTGAGATACTAGGTCATGTGTGTTCGAAATAGTTAGGTATAGGTCCTACCTTTGTTCTAAACCAAGATTTCTAACACCGTCTTTGAAACCTTTAGTAATATCTGCTATTTTTTGTCTAAGAGCTTTTAGATTCATCTCTGCCACCTGCGCTTCTAGTGAACCTACATCACCCACAGCTAGCACAGCCCAGTCCTGGCAACTCATAGCACATGATGCATCAACTTCTTCATAGCTGATCTGCCTTTGGCAAGGGAGCCGCGATGATCTAACGGTAAAAACACAAGGCAAAAGCTCGTGCCAAAGAAGCTGATATACGTGAGGCAGCACTCATAATTCTTTGAAATCTGGCCTCAAGTCTTGTGGAAGAATCAGACCTTTCACCAACACTCTAGGTCAATCTGATCAGCTGACAATACGACGGCGCTCAGGTAGGACTTTCAATTAGTTGCTCCTCCTTTAAACACCGATCCAGGTTAGCAGGATGGAAAACATGGGTCAGATGGGGTGAAGAGGTGGGTACCCTAAAGCTGATGGGAAAAGTTCCACAAGAAACTCAACTCGATACTCGGGATGGCTGGCGAAATCAATCTGTCTCGGAATGGCTGAGAACTTTAAGAAGTTCTTGCATCGCATTTGTGTGATACCGAATGAGTTCTGACTCCATCTCCTCTGTCATACTTTGCGACATGGCGTGTTGGCGTAGAGCGGATAACGTGAAAGCAGCCTGACGTAATGGCCCTCGCTTGGACAAAAGCCAGCAAAGCTTTTCTCGGCCACCTAGGGTTGGCTTATCCACATGATAGTCATGTTGAAGGGGGAAGATGTAGGCCAGATAGTGCGTCAAAAGCTCAGCTTCTCAATACCCAGACCCGCCTGGCGAGAACATAGCGGACTTGTCAAGGGTTTCTGCCGAAGTCTCTGCAACTGCTCTGGTGGATGAGTGTGTGGAATTAGCCAGGAGTTTTCGAGTCCGGCGGAAGTTCTGTTTCACATCATGCTTGATGCGCTGAAGTTCGGCATGGAGCTTTGCCGGGTTCTTGACCCTTTCTGTCTGCGTTCCATAGCCGTGGCATACTCCGTGTCAATCTGAGCATTACTATAGGTTGGAGATGCTTCATCACACTTCCTGTGGCGGATTCGGCATATCCAACAGCCACCGCTGCCACGGCTCAGGGGCTTGGACATTGTTGTGGGGGTGTCTCTGGACTAGTTTCGGGATTTTTCTTTACCAGATTCATCGAGAACTTCCTAGAAGCCTAATTAGACAACTTTCGAATGATTCGTACTATCCGTGCCGTCACCAGGACAAACTTGCTCAGGCTGTTTTGTCGACGTTCGTCGTCGTTTTCTTTGTGTCGATTCATCTTTCCCAGCCTCTCGCACTAGCAGCCCTGCAACTGCAACCATCTCCACCAATTGGGCTCTTTTGACTCAGGAAGGGATGTCAAGGCGTACTTTTAGAAAAGAAAGTCGAGACGAAGGGACTATAATCGGGACCCACAGGTAACAACACTCACAGAGTCAGGAAGCAGGTCATCAAATGCTTGCTTTGTTATGATACGTTCGTTGCTGATACGATTCGTCTATAGGAACGGGAGAGCTCGCCAAAATATTAACTTCGACTCATTTCATTCTTGAGATGCGCAAAGTTGAACATGTAATGCGAATGATTGTCTATGTTATCCATAGAGCCGATCGAGGGCGATCGGAAGGAATATATCAAATAATATGTGCGTGCTTTAGGACTTTGATCTTCCTCGACAGGAAGGCCAAGTATGGGCATTTATCTCACACACTGACATATTGTTTGCGGAAGTGTCCCATATGAGGAACAATCTATTAGCTACACCAAATTGTCAGTTCAAGGCGCTCTAAGGTGATATGACAAATGCACTCTTCTACGATTCGCCACGGTAAGGTATTGGGAGCATCTCAATAGGGTTGCCTCATCCTGACATAAATGCTATCACTCCAGTCCATCTTTCCCGAGGGGATAGCAATTTCTTTCCATTCTCTGTCATGATCACACTAATTAATTCAACTTAGGAAATACAAATCACAGACTAAACATTCCATTAGACTCGACTCGGCTCAGTGAACCTTTCCCAACCTGCAAACCCAAGTCGGTTTACTTCATACCAGCTATGTGCTTTTGATAAGAGCCGGATGAATGAGGTACAAGACCTAGGCCTGCTTCTTGTTACGGTCGCGGTCGCGGAAGTGGTCTCTGGCCTTGTCAGTGGCAGCGCCGCGCTCTCGGTTGGCGCAGAAGACGTAGTTGCCACGGTTTCTGTCGCAAACATCGTTATCACGATCTGTTGCACAGTTAGTCGTTTGCTCACTAGATAGTAGATTGGGACTGAGTATTATCCAACTTACCATAGGTGATGACATAGGTCTCACTAGCCGCGCAGAAAGCAACATCATCGCCTTTGCAATTGGGGTTGTGGGCATCGCGACCACGGTCACCATCACGACCACCACGGCCTCGGTCACCATCGCGGTCACCACGGCCTCGGTCACCATCGCGGTCACCACCGCGTCGGTCGCCATCACGGCACTCGCGGTCCCTACCACCGCGGTCTCCGTCGCGGCGGCGGTAGCATTCGCAGCGACGCTCTCTGGTACCATAGTACTGATCGATCTCGCATCTCGTGATTCTTTCAAATTCCCGAGCCAGCTCGACAGCCAGCTCCTGCTGCTCACGGATGGCACAGAATAGCCGGTTAGCTCCATCGTTGGAGTAGCAGAGCTTGTTCTTCGCATCTAAAAGCTCTGTTAGCAATGGTGACGCCCAGCCCGAAAGACTTCAGAAAGAACATACCATAGCGAGTGAACTCCGTGACACTGCGACCGCAGTAGAGGTCGTCACGTTCATCGCGGCATTCGCCGCGGGGAAACGCTTTGGCTTTGGCATCCGCGACTGGCTGCTCCGCCGGCATGGCCGCGACACAGGTGATGCCGGTAAGAGCGGCGAAGAAAAGCTTGGAGTAGAGCATACTGACGATCTAAGCGAACCGCAAGTGCTGGTATCAAAAACCAAAGGTGGGTATAATTGGAAGGGTATCCTGAGCTTGAAGGGATTGCTGTCTTGTCTGTCTGATGAGGAGATGGACAGCAGCACTCCACGGGGCGCGATGCCGTGCTTTATAGTCGACAGGCGGGTGAGTTCCAAGGCATCTTTTCTGTGTGTCATCACACTGCCGAACAATGAATGGACTCCGGGTGCTCGCATTGCGCCGAATCTAGCCAGCTCATCAACAGAATCAAACGCTGTTCACCTCTCTGGCACTCAATGTCATTCTTCCGATGTATCCGTAGCGAGCTAAAGCCAACTATGCAGCTTTCAGCAAGCTACATTATCTTGATCGGCTTCGTTCCGAAACTTCCCTGAGTTGCCCCCTCCAGATCAGACGAGCTGCGATCGATGTGTGCCATGAGTTTGGTAGCTGTCACTCATGAACAGATGGAGCTTGTAGGACAGCTTTGGTTTCGTGCAAGATGATAATGTGTGGGACTAAAGTCTAGCGGTAGCATGCCGGTTGTCAGTGATATCCAACAAGGATGGCTCGCAGATGGACCAGAAGTTCATGCCTCCTCCACTTTCTGCTTGCTATGCTTGATGGTGTGCCTGCCAACTCTAATCAAGCTACAAATGGAGGAAGTGGCTGCATAGTGCAAGCTTGAAATGGTTGCAACCACTACAGCTCGCAAAGCTCGAAACTCTCTTAATAGGCTGAGAAGGCCAGCTTGATTTCCTTTTGGGAAATCTTCAATCTGGAACTATACCCTTGGCAGCCCTGCAGTTCTTCCAAATGAGGATGAATTATAATGCGTTCCCCAGGACCCAAAGCTTAAGTGTCTAGCTCCGCTTTTCGGCAGTTTTGAATCACTCTCATATTTGACCACTAGGAGGTTCTCTATGAGCAAGACTCACTCAGAATCTAGCCCTAAACTGACGGTAGATTGTCTCTGAGTGTTTAATCATCGGGATGCAGAAGCCCCAGTGTCTCGGTCGCCCCATCTGGAGAACAAATCTTGAACTAGATGATACCCACCTATAGCACAACGGCAATTCGAATGTTTCCAAGAGATGGCCCTTGCTACACCCGAACTTTGTTGTACCATGACAAGTTCCGACCGGAATTTCGTGTAACTGGCGTGAAGAAACATTCCTGCTATCTTGATCAGCCCTTAGGTGTCCGGGGAAAACGGATCTGTGCGACTCCGTCCCCATGATTGGACTTCGGTGGAGGTGGCGATCAACAATCCACCGTCGGAGGGCCGCAAACCTTGCCTATTAAGCCATGGTGGTTTCTAGGCGAAAGATCCATTGCAAATAAACTCTACGAACCATCCGCTAGCCCCGGATGAATTCTTAATCTGCTGTGGAAGGTCGGCGGAAAAACACCCTCGAGGCTTTCCCTGACCAAAGCTTCGAGAGTAGTGGCGTGGGTTGTTGAGCTTTATGACGGCGAAACTGGAATAAAGTCCACCGCTTGATGGAAAGATCTTAACTAATTCGCCCTATTCAAGCACAAATACAACTTACCTCTCTGATCGACATCCCCGGGCAGTCCGCGACCTTGTGCTGCTCCCGAGAGCTCCCCTGCTTCCTGAATCACAGTTTTGATATGACGACTTAAGCAAAGCAGTTGTACAGAATCGCTCTCGAACTCCTTAATCTTACTGAAACAAGGTCCCGGTCCGAATCGATTTCCTGCGGCTGCCGCGCACAGTCGGCCAGTAGCCTCTTTGCGAGCCTTGCGCCATGTTATGACTGCACAATTGTCAGCACGAACCACATTCAAACTACGGCCAGCACAGCACAGCTGTTCAATTGATTCAACGTTGAGCAAAGTTCAGTTCGCCTGGTATGCATTGAAAGTTGCGGACCAAACACTTTGGTTTCTCACACATTGGTTTCGGCCTCTGGCACTGGTCTAGGTCTTGAGCAAACTGCTGCGCCGATGTCCTACTTCCGGCATGAACTGCTGTTTGGAAACCAGAGGTTACTGTCGTCCGTAGATCGTTTGCAGAGAGTTTGCTGCGTATCGAACTTCCCCCGCGTGGATCGCCTGAACTTTTGATCGGGGCGTCGAACGACTCGGGCGATTGATTCTTCAACTTGGTCAAGCCTATGGGATTGCCAGGTGAATTTAAGGTTGACCAATGAATGGACAACCCGGCTTCGCCAAATGGTAATGGCATTGAACGCTTCCACAAGACTTGCATGAACGATCCAATCAACACCTGGCTGTATGGCAAGAACTGCCGTTCCTGGCGATCTTCGCGTGCAAAGTCCATGCGAATCGGTTCACGCGCAGAATCACTGAAGACGATCTGTCTCCATCTCCGCGGTGAGGCCCTTAAGCTGTTCACGTGCCACCTCGATCCGGGAAAGTTTCACGAGACCAAGAGCACAGGATCAATCGTCAAAAGTAATGGGTGATCAGGTAGATCGTCTTTTGAAACTCATTAGCCCCCTACCATGAGGGCGAGACATGTTGGGGGTATCTTGGCACCGGTAATGTACAGATCAGGCGCCCATCGAGGACTGTCTTTGTCTACCCTGCTTCCATGTCATCCGCTCGAGGTAGGAAAGAAAAAAGGAAACCGCTCGGATATTCATGCATGATAGCTAAAAAGAAACAAAAGTAGGCCCCAAGTGCGTTGGTGGAAAGAATAATTAGGTGTTGACGAGAGATACACATTATTACCGGAAACCTCCCTGGGAGCCACCGTTGTTCCAGTAACCCTGGTTAGCGCCTCCATAACCGCCATTATTATAGCCTTGCTGGGCGCCGAATCCGTGGTCGCTGTATCCTTGCGGAGGCGGGCTCATTGGCGGGGGAGGGCTATGCTGACCGTCAGGTGAGCCGAGCCGAGAGTAGCCACCTTGCGATGTGCTACGGCTCGGAGCCATGGGCAGGGGGCCCGAAGGCGGCATACCAGGGCTTTGCGTCCGCAAGGGAGACATGAGATGGCCTTGGCCATTCGGGTTGTCACTATATGAGCGCATGCCAGCCGCAGCACCTACGCCAGTGGCGCCCATGGCCACAGGAGCGGCGTCCCACGCACTCTTCTCTTGAGATACCGGGATACTGTATGTGTTTTCTTGGACCATGCCGTTCTTGCTGAATGCGCCGGCATTGTACTCAGTGCCTGTCTCTCCAGCAAACGAATCCGGGTCGACGCCACGCTTATGGAAGCCTTCAAGCTCGAGCCGCTCTTCTTCGGCTCTCTTAGCGGCAAGAATTGCCTCATTGGCACCGCGTCTACGCTGGCGGATGAAGTACCAAAGACCAAAGGCGATGAGAGCACAGCCTACACCGACACCTCCGGCATAGACGGCAGTTTTGGCGGTGGGGCTGAGCTCATTGAACTTCTCGCTCACAGACTTGCTAGGTTCTTCCAGAAGAGCTTCCTTAACAGTTGAGTTGCCCCTGGAAATTCGAGATTAGCATAAGCTGCCAGTGAGTGGTAATATAGCATATCAACGGATGCGACTTACTCGGCAATTTTGATGCTCTCCCACGAGCCAGTCTTGTCTCCAAAAGAATACTCCTTTCCGGAGCTGTAGTCCGTCACCTGCGCAGACTTTACGTACATGGTGTACGGGCCGGCTGCGTAATCGGTATCACCTCCAGCCCATTCCCTGGTTCCCTCAGCCATGCGGGGATCTCCGCCGGCCCAGATGCCGAGACTGAGGCGCATGGGTGTCTGGGGGTAAGCCAGGGAGTTGTTGGCATCCTTCGGGAGGAGAGTTCGAACGTTGTTGCCGTCAATCCACCACTCGAGCGTCTCCTTGGTCCATACGCAGGTGTAGTTGTGGAAGTCGTCCTGGATGCTGCCCGTCACAGGGTGCTCGGCACCATTGTGCCAGTCCTCAACACCTTTGCCAAAATAGTTGCTCAAGGCGTCGTTCTTGCCGCCAAGAAATTCCCAATCGACCTCGTCCAACGTATCGCTGAGCCACATCATAGAGCTCACAATACCCCTTCCCTTTGCAGCCCTCAAATGGACCTCGGTGCGACCCCAAAAGAAGTAAAACTTGGATCGGATCGTGGGAGAGTCGCCTTGCTTGCTAATCGTGAAAACCGCGCCATTATCGGAGGTGTACGTGACAGGGCCGACGGTGGTCTCCCAAGCATCAGCCGAGGGGGTAGAGTTGAAGTTGAAGTTGAAGTCCATGCCAAAAGCCGGGTCAGCAGGACAGGTCGTGTTCATCGGGTTACATTTCGTCGTCACTTGGGCGAGTGCGGGTTGGGTAAGCGATGCCAGCACCGCCAGTGCCGAAAGAGTGTATTGAGACAACATCGTCAGGGAGCGAATTAGAAATGATCCCTCACGACTCTAGGGAGGACACACGTTGGCGAAGAAAAGCGACTGGGGACATATGCGACACGTCTAGTATCGCAAGTCGATAGAACACGGTGCACCGGCGGCAAAGTGTCTTCAATGTTACAACAAAAGAATGACAGTGGTGGGAGACAATGAGTGTGTGCTGTCTGAGATGAGCGACGAAGAAGTATTCACCAGACTCAACGTCGCAGACAGACCGGGCTGTTGGAACAGAGGGAGAGAAAGTAACCTCTGGTGGAATGTCGAAAGGAATGGCGATGGTGGGGTTCAAAACTCAAGAATTCAGAGCTGGGAATGAGTGTGGATATGGGTGTCGGCGTTCAGATGAGCAAGGGAAGAAACCGAAGCACAGACGCAGGTAGGGACTCATCAAACGGAGAGCAATGATAGGAGGCGGCCTCATGTCAACGTGGGCGAAGCGGAGAGACAGGTGCAAGACAAGCCGGGGGATGCTGGGCGCGTGGCAAGCAACATGTTGATTAAAGGGGGTGCCAATGTCTCTTTCTCCTCTTTGGGTTCTTGGAGTCGCCTCTGCAACGGGCAGCGTTTCCGCACCAGCGCCAACCAGGATTAGCGTCATTACTATCGGTCGAACCAGAGGCGAGCAACATTCTAGGGCCCGGTTCGTTGTGGCACCGACAGCGCAAGGTTATCAGAAAGGAAATTGTTGGACATTCGCCAAACGGCCAAGCGACCGACTGGGAAACTCTCAAGATTATCCCGAGATTGTTGGTGGGCCAGTCGGAAAAGAATGGCACCTTATGCCGGGGAAAACGGCTGAGGCGATCTGACGGACAGCGTCACAGGCGGTTGAAAAGCGATTGAGTACGGACACGAAGCATTGTCAGTAAACCGCGTTTGCGTACGCTTCCGGGACATGTTGAAGTACCTTACCTACATAGTAAACGGTTGCGCGCAACGAGTGCCTGTTGGTGTCACCAAGCGAGTACCCGCATTGTGCGATGCCAAAGAGGGGCCCCTTCAGGGCTTCAGGAGTCGACGATCACACCGCCGTCGCATAAACCTCGAAGCACCTGCCCGAGCTGGAAGCATGGAATAGCATCTGCCAAGCGGTCGGGTACAGAGTACCAGTGGTCTTGCGTGATTCCAAGCCCATCAACAGAATAGAAAGTTGAGATTGTATCCGTAAGGACGGATTTGAAAGGCTTCCCACGTGTTCAGGCTGCTATCTCCGAACTGTGGCGAACCAAACAAAGGACTTGCCTAGCTTTCGAGCATCGTGTTTCCAAAAATAAGGTACGATGAAGTTTGGCCGTCGCCAGCATCAAGCTTGTTGATCAAATGACGAAGACTGTCATCGTAGACACGAGCCGGGATCTGGGCCTGGCTCGGGGCTGCAAGAGGAGTTTAGCAACACTAAAATTGGGTAGAGAGACGCCTACTACTTGAGGGAATCTGCTACAGCTGTTGTCAAAGACTAGTCAGTAGTGAATAAAAGCCAACAGCTGCCTCGTAGAGAGTTGAAGCCAGCATCTCTAGACGAGCCAAGACGCATGGGAAAAGCTCCGTTGAGAAGGCGAGTCGAGGCGTGATAAGCGCAGCGGCCTACGATGTACCTAGGGTGTCGTCGATTGCTATCCACCTTATCTGTACAGGTACAGGCTTGTAATACACTACGGATACGACCTGGGAGGGACGTGGTCGCTATAGGTAGGTCTCTGATTGCGTAGAGTTTTCGTTTTGGGGATGGGCAATCACAGTATGTTGCTGCAAACATTTCATACAAAGACACTGTAGCAGAGGTTTTCGATTTCTTAGGGATTTTTGCGAAGCTTTAGTTGAGGAAGCAAAGAAGCCTTGCCGAAGATGAGCATGACAAGGATGAGGGTGAAGTACGGATATGGCGAGTGAGCAAGCAAGGTGGGAAGATAAGGTGAACAAGGTGAGATGAGTAAGGCTGCCAAGGCAAAGGCAATTCTTCGGTTATTCGGCGCATGGGGAGCCCAAGTGTCTGGGTGAGGGTCGGTCGAGACCCACATTCTTAAATGACAAAGCAACCGCTAAAACACAAGATTTTGCACCATCTTTGGTCCCGTCACCGCATGATAGTTTTAAGGTATTAGACGATCCGATATCGGTATTGTGTTCAAGCCACAGCGAGACATCTTTCTGATTTACGCTCTCGTTCGACCTACTTACTCGCGTAGACAGAGAGAGAGAGAGAGAGAGAGAGAGAAACAATTGTATGCCTACAGCTGCGGGTACATTTAAGTCTTTGGACGTTGACTTAAGGAAATACTCTGTCTGGCATGGCATAATGCCAACACCAATTTCGGCAATCTATCCGGGCAGAAGCCCACATCGTCCCCGAACCTCACCAAACAAACGTGACTCTTGGGCAGCCCAGTCCGCTCCCGATTACGCGGCGGTGGACTTTTTCAAGAATGGACGCTTACCCGAGACGTAATAGCGTTGCAAACCGCCCTGCAACGACATGCTTAGATGCGATAACGCAATCCCAACCCCAGACAAGGCCGGCGGGATGAGCCCATGAAATTTTCAGCCGCTGCTTGTTCAAATACCAGACTGGGTCCTCGCTGCCTCATCTCCCTGTCAATCCTCTGGGCCTCATCTCACTCAACAATCGCAGAACAATCCAAGCAGCCATCATGAGCGCGCAAAGTGGTCTGCAGGTCGCAGACTCATCTGATACCGATGCTGGAAACGACCAAGCAAGGAACAGTGTCCAACAACGGCGCAGCTTCGGGGACTGGCTCCGTGACGATGTCAGTATTCGTTATACTGATCTCCCAGTCCTCGCTTGCTGCCTTGTATCCGGCTTGTGCGACAGTGTAGCAGTGAACGCAGCTGGTGTCTTCGTCAGTATGCAGACAGGTGAGCTAGCAACTATCACTAAGTGTCAGAAACATGCGATGCTAAACCGTTGAAAGGAAACACCATCTTCATGGCTCTTGGCGCCTCGAAGCTCCCGGCTGGTGAGCCCCTCCTGTGGCTCAAGTCCCTCAGCTCCATCGCCGCGTTCTGGCTTGGGTGCTTCTTCTTCTCCAAGTCAAGGCACATTCATCCCAAGCGCAGAAGCACTCTCGCCCTTTCCTTCCTTCTTCAGTCGGCACTCGTCTTTCTTGCCGCCGCCTTTGCTCAGACACGTCTCATTGCCGACTTTGGGGCCACTTCAGTCCAGGGTTCCGACTCCAACCACGATTTCAAGACCTCAGAGAACCCTCTTGTAATGGTCCCCCTTGCGCTTCTCGCCTTTCAATTCGGCGGACAGATTGTGACGAGTAGAATCCTGGGATACAACGAAGTTCCAACCAACGTCCTCACCAGCGTCTATTGCGATCTTCTCTCCGATCCCAAGCTCTTCGCACCCCTGAAGGACAATCCCAAGAGGAATAGGAGGTTTTTGGCTGTGGTTTTACTTATTCTCGGAGGCATCGTCGGTGGCTGGCTGCAGAGAAGCCGGGCTGGCATGCCTGGGGCACTTTGGATCTCTGGAGGAGTTAAATTCGTCATTGCAGTCGCCTGGATGGGTTGGGCCAGCCATGAGCCAGTTGAGAGCAAGCTGGAGAAGGGTGTAGTAAAGTCATAGCAAGGATATACGGTTCAGCCCCAGGCTGGAGGAAGACTACATTGTTCACACGTGGGATGGTTATCGAGTTCGAATGCAGGTCAAGATGCAAAGTGTCCATGTTATGCAGTTTCAGCGGTAGGTCCATGCCTTCAATGTACTGATGATTAAGCTGCCAATGAACGCACAGGATCTTTACTTACATGAGACACCGACCAAAACGTTAATTACTGCTGAAAGGATTCTATCAAGACGTGCGCTTGATCAAACATCTAGGATCTGGAAAAAGTCGACGTTAATCCCTTGCTGTTGCTGCGTCCTGGCTCTCAATCGTTGATCTCGAAGGTTTTCAAAGGTCATATGATGGCAAGCAGCCTGGATTTGTGGTTTTCTTTCAACTTTCGAAGCCGACGATCCAACTGAGAGCAGCTACGGTCCTTGCTGGATTGCCCGATCATGCTGATTTGTATAATCTCTAGCCCTGGGGAATTCTCGATCCCTGCTGAGCTCTCATCACGAAGGTCTGATATGTGAACATGTAGTGTGTAGTGATTCATTGATGCCACGCTTCTCCGTCAGACTTCGCCCCTTTTCCATATTGCTAGATGATAGCTGTGAAGATTGATTCAAATGTCACAGGGCAACTCCCTTCGCAGCAATATGATCAGCTTAAATGATACTTGCCTGCCTGTGAAAGAGCGTTCATGAGCTATCTTTAGGCTGTAAAGTTCTTTGGGTCAGCGTCAACTCGCCCAGAATGATGGGACATGACAGCACTAGCTAAACCCGAATCGATCAGAGGTCGAAAGGCGATCTAAAAAGACCGCCCTACAACAGAGAGTCATGTGTCATATGCCGCGGTGGGCAGCAGCATATCATGTTTGGACTCTTGCAGAACGGCTGACTTTAGGAGTCGTCTTGTCAGCGTATGCAATTGCCCAGCCAATGCTAAGTTGGCGAATTACTTCGCTTCAGATTTACCGAGATATCGAGACCTAATAAGCAAAGTATCTTAGCCACTCCGCCATGGATCCTCGACCAAGTCCTCTGTTGCCTCTCGGTACATTCCGGTGAGCCAATTACGAGTTCTTCAATGAGACTTCCACTTTAGTACATGCGCAGACAGCCAGGCAGCAAGGAACCATCAACTCGACCTTGCTTCAACGAACATATCCCCACAGACTATTCCCAATCAAGCTTCACAGGATACCTTACATCCTGCATTGTCCGCGCATCAGTCCAGAAATGGCCCACCCCGGACGTAACCCACAGGCCCGGATTCAAGATTCGCGAGGACAACCACGGCCAAGTCTTCTTTCTTACTATGACTCCCTTATTTTTGCGCCAGCCCAAGACACCCCCTCGTTGGGACTCAAGCGCCGCCCATCTCGCAATATCAGTCGTCGTCACATCACAGTGCTGTAGGGCAAGCCACGACGTCAACGGTTATCCTTAGTCTCCTTCAATAGTGACATATACCGTTGGAACCATAACCGGGTCTGAGTCTGGGAACGAGCTGGCCGCCAGCTCATCAAACCTACGAGCATACGACCGTCACACATACACGCTTAGTCGACTGCTGGTGTTTCCGCCATCTCGTCACCAAGAATCACCCCTTGCATAGCAGCACAGCCCCCTTGGCGTCTGGAGAGTAGAGACTAATGTAGAGTAACCGCCCGTCCTTCCAAAGAGATGCGATGTCATAATCGATGTCTTCCCCCTGTCGACTTAGCATCGCTTCGTTCACCACCAAAAGAGGCCATAGTCTCGGAGGACGGAGGTGCAAGACATTCCTGAGCAAGACCCTGCGTAATCTGAACCCCTTAAGGCCATGCTCTCAGCAAGAATCTAAGGGTCCTTCCACAAGAGGCTAGCCCGTCGTCATCAACCGCCTCCAATTGGTCAACAAGGCACACCTCGACCCCTGCACTGCATCCTTCCGATGCCAACCTTTGACGTCACCGACGACGTTGATCTTCAGCCGCCGATCACCAGCAAACAGGTTTGGGGTCGCACAGCGCCCAACCACCAGACCCGCCAAACGGCGTCTCAAACGGCGCTGGAAGCTAGCTGTGCTTCGCGGAGCAGGAATGGATGACAGACGTAGTAGATTCGAATGACCATCTTGGCATCATTGTGCAGCATCAGCCATGCCAGCCTGCCAACAATGTCTGCAGCCAGGGTCTCGGCACGGGCGTCCGCTCAGGCGACGTACCTTGCGGTGAGCTGTAGCAGGACGCAGCAGTAGGAGAGCCATAGTGTCATGAATTAGATTTGGGGGGGGAGGGGTCTAGAATAGGGGAAGAGAGATAGATATAATCACCACGCTTTCCCGCCCAGAGTCTTGTGTCCCGTCTTATCCAGCATCCCAAGCCTTCAACATCGGAAGCATCTACTCCACTAACCACACTTCTCAACCTTGTAGGCGAAAACAAGCCTTTTCCAACAAGGAAAACCCAGCAGCCCTTCTTAACTCCTCAAGCAAAACCCATATTCAAAATGCCATTCTTCGGAGGAGGCCGCCGTGAACCCTCTCCCGAGCCAGTTCGAGAGCTGACCCCACCACCCACGGAGCCCCGCCGCACAGGCTTCTTCGGCTCCCGTCGAGAACCCTCCCCGGAACCGATCCACCATCAACCCGTCGCCGAGCCCGCGCCCCGCAAGCACGGCCTCTTCGGCTCCTCCCGCCGGGACCCTTCTCCCACGCCGACAGCCCGCACGTCCCGCACATCCGCAACCTCTCAGTCCTCTCTCTCTTCGACAACATACCACACCTCCCCCGATGGCCACCACACCGGCGGCGGCGGCCTGTTCCGCCGCTCCACCGATGCGTCGTCCGGACGCAGGGGTGGTCTGCTTCACAAATTTGGCGGGGGAGGGGTAGAGATGGATCCCAGCATTGTCCAGGCGCGTGAGCGCGTCATGGGCGCCGAGGCGGCTGAGAAGGAGGCTGACCGCGCCCTCATGGCCGCGAGGGAGAGTGTTGCTGCTGCGAGGGCTGACGTGCGGAGGCTCGAGGAAGAGGCCAAGGAGGAGGCTAGACGGGCCAAGATTAAGCAGTATCACGCTCGTGAGGTTTCCAAGCGTGGCAAGGCTTTGGGCCGTACGTGTGCTCCATCTCATCATGTTAAGACTTTGATGCTAATGAAGAACAGGTCACGGAGAATGAGTTTCCAAATACGACTAATCTGGTCGTATTCACTCCAGCAGCATTTCTTGTGTCATTTACGAGTCCATGATTTACATCGTGGCATACGATCAACGGTTTGGGGAGTTAAGATAGGGTGAAAGCCAAAAACTTCAACTTATGTATTAATATTATTCATGTTCAAGCACATGAGCGACCAGTGTTGGAGAATTGAGTGTTGAATGTACAACTAGTCCGGAATTGAAATGGTAGATTAAGATGACTTGAGTTGACACTTGATGAGCCGTGGCGGTTGACACTTGACGGTGGGCGACGGTACCATCACCTGTAAGAACATTGATCACTCATCAATCAAAGGGCAGATGCGATATCGCTGGCTGAAAGAGCGCAGCGAGACAGGCCGTGAATCCCAGGGCTTTGCTCCCTCAAACCTGGCTGACGGTGCTGACAGCACCCCCCAATGATCTGCCAGCCGGTCTCCAGTCCGACTGCAACCGGGGCATCGACTCAGCTCCGAAGGTAAGCACGGATCGGGGATATTCCCGGAACACACCCTCGCCAATCCTCAGCCTAGTCACCCAACCAACACCACTCGTTCCTTCTGTCATCCTCTGGCTCTGACCGGAACGGGCATGAGAATTTGCAGCGTCAGATTGATTGCCTTCCCAGCGATTGGGTTATCGGACAAGGCAGTGTGCTCCTTGCGGCGACGATCCATGTCACTGACCCTTTCTGATACCTTGGCTGCACCTCAATTTTTTGTTCCATGGGCGGCGAGGAAACCAGGATAGGAGAAGGAGTGCGAATTTCGCCGGAAAAAGAGACTTTTTGGTTGCAATGACAGAGTTCATTATGCATCATCTAGAGACAACTTTTCTCGCTTGCTTGAACAGGTCAATGGAGAAAGACTAGAGCCCAGCCGATTGCTGTTGTTGTGCTTCCATCCGAGATTTCTAATACCCTGAACCAATGCCTCATGCCATCTACCTGCCACCTGCCACCTGCCAAGCATGCCGTTCCTCCGGTCGTGCGGTCCGTCTGCGTATGCGATGAAGACCGAAAGCGACAAAGGGAATGAAACCTGACCCTCCAACCATGTATGTGCATTATGAAGTGAAACGGGTATTTACATTTTGCTGAAAAGTGGTCAGTGCCCAAAGGTATCAAGAACTCGTGTCGTCCACAAATCCGTAGACTGGCCGCCAGAGTTGGGGAAAAAAAAGTGTCGCGTCTGCCCAAGGAGCTGGACGGGCTGCAATAAAAAGACGTAGTCGGGTAAAGCGAGATGCAAATCGAGGTTGAAAGGTCCAATCCTTGGGAACGCCGACGCCTGCCAAGTGCAAACACTGAATAATGGTAATTCGATTCCGTCCGAAGCAAGGTCCGCTCGTTCGATCGTGGTCATGAGAAGGTGAAGAATGCTCATAGCAAGAAACGGATCCACCGAAGCGGCGTTTCTCACATGATGATGCACTGAGACTCTTCGCGGTCCTTCTTGACGCTGAGGGCGACGCGGGCGGCCTCGGTGAAGGCCTCGTTCACGCCGCGATTGCGCATGGCGGAACACTCGAGGTAGCGGAGGGCGTTGATGCGGCGAGCGACCTCCAGACCTTGCTCGTAAGAGATCATGGGACGCTTCTCTCGCTGCTGGCCCTCGGCAGCCTCCTCCTCCTCGTTATCGGCCTCGCGGAGATCGCACTTGAGGGCGACGAGAACCAGCTTAACGCCAGGGCAGTTATCGGCGATCTCTCCAACCCACTTGCTCTCGACGTTCTCGAGGGAGTCCTTGCTGTCGACGCTGTAGCAGAGCATGATCAGGTCGGTGTCGTCTGCGCCTAGTCAGTAAGCGACCCCTTGATCCGCCCAATTCAATGGTCTTACCGTAGGACAAGCTGCGGAGTCGGTCGAACTCCTCCTGGCCAGCGGTATCCCAGAGGGAGAGCTCGATGTGGACACTGTCAACGAAGATGTCTGGCAACGCCAAGTCAGCATTCAAACTGGTGGAGAGGAAATCGCGATAGTGGCATCATGCAACTAGGCGCCATTCGCTAGTAATCGAGGGATCGTACCGTGGACGTAGTTCTCGAAAACGGTGGGCTCGTAGACGGTCGGGAAGTAGCTGGGCCAAGTCAGCAAGGATGCGCAATTGGAGGGCCACTATTTGCAAGCCCTTGAGGGTAGGAGAAATGACGTTGGACTCACCCTCTGGTAAAGACGTTCAACAACGATGTCTTGCCGCATGCGCCATCGCCACTGCAGGTCGCAAATCAATTAGCCAGAGTTCCAAGGTTGCAGCGAGGCGACACAGAGGGAAGTGGCCAGCAGGTCTCACAGGAGGACCAGCTTCCGCTGAACTGTCTTGTTTCCTCCACACAAAGGCATCTTGGGCGGACCGTGGGAGGGGACTTTGTTCGTGTTGTGGGAAGTAGCTTGGTGAGGGTTGATTGAGGTGAGTCGGTGCGATACGAGAGCGTTTGGTTGTTTGTGGAAAGCAAAAAAGTTGTTGTCGGCCAGTAGGAGACTGTTTAGGGGTTTGTGGTTCGTCGGTCGATGAGCAAGGGGAAGGCGCCAGAGAGGGTTCTGGGTTTGTTGTTTGCGGGTGGGCTGGTTGGCGCTCGATGGTGAAAGGAAGTAGACAAAGAAATGCTGTGGACTTTGGGGGACCTCCCAGTGGAAGGAAGGTGAATTGGGATGGTAACGTAGGAGGGAAGGCACAGCAGGGTGCGATGCAAGAGTGAGGGAACAGTGGACAACAAAAAGAGCAAGGAAGGTGCACTAAGGTAGGTGCAGTGTAACAGTGCCTCTTGCTGGAGAGGAAAGTGCTAAGCAAAGCAGGGTGGCTTTGGTGGTGAGGTGAAGTAGGTAGGCAGTGGACGGGAAGGGGAAGATGGGAGACGGAGTCGCTGAAGTAAGGTAAAAGCTGTGATTGTGAATTTGGAGTGAGCAAAAGACGGCGGAGCGGGAAATTGGGTTGGAAGATGGTGCGCTGCTCAATTGGCTGAGATGAAGTCAGAAGGGCCACAGAATGGAGCAGAAAAGAGCAAGAGCGGACAGGGTCAGGTACTCTTGCCGGGGTGAGCCTAGATGGAAAGGGGACAGGAACACTCACTGCTTTTTGGCGCTGGGCTGGAAATGGACTTTGGGGAGGCAAGGAAGGAAGCCACAAAGCTGGATGGGGACAGGAAGGAGCAACCAGGAATTGAACATGGATGCTGCCCTGGTCGTTACCTACCTAAGGTACGGATACCTTAAGGTACGGATACCTTAAGGTACAGAGATACCTTAATACTACCTTACCTACCTAAGGTATGCAACGGAAGGCACCTCCCAAACACACTTCACTTTAGCATCAGCCCGAGCAGAAAAGGGAACCAGCGCAGGGAGGCAGTGATTGTGTCCACTGACGAAGGGGATGGTGGGTAGAAAACAACCTGGAAGAACCCACGGGGACCGGAATGGGGAACCTCTTGAATGTCACTGACTGAGCGCCTCCGCCAAGTTGCGGAGGTCCCTTTGCCAAAAGGCCGCGTCCCCAATGACCTGAGCACACTAAAGTATGAACCTTACCTTCGCGTAGCGCGCCATCACCGAGTCGATTCACCTGTGCTCCAGTCTGTAGTATCACGGATAGAGCTATCCATGAATGTGTACGAATTCCTATCTACGCGACCTGACCTTGGAATATCCGTAGATACGAACCTGGAAGAAACAAGTGGTGGATACTTCCCCGCCACACATTTGCACGCTTCCTGCACACACTATCGAGCTGCAGACATGTCACCGCAGGACATCATATTTAGCCGGAAAGAAAAGAAAAGAAAAGAAAAGACAAGGAAAAAGAGCCACACGAGGGGAACCACTTTCCATCTGCGTATCTACGCTATCTACAACCAAATAAGGGCATAGGGAATGGATATATCTCTCATCAAAACGGCATGTTTGATCCAATGCTTTCCCCCTCCCCGCCACAGCATGGCCGAGTGGCGCTGGAGAACCTTCAACTCGACTCCCGTCCACGCCAAGGCCGTTCTTGTTAAGCTAGCTCTGGGCACACAACATCCATGAGGGGTATCATGTATGCCTCGTCTTCCGCTCTTTCGCCCGGCTGCGGCACCTCTTGAGATGGCGAACACGATTCGTCGTCAGATCCCCGACGTCCATCCACACGAACCATGTACCTCGTCCTCAGTCTCACTCACATATACAGCTACAATGTATGCTGAAGCCCTCACCGGCCATATTCTCCTCGCTATCTCAATACACTGCCCAAATTAGGTGAAATACGCAACCCTGCAGTTTCACCTCATCATCCCACCACTCAACCTCATCCTGCCGTGGGCTATACGGCTCGCTGCGCCCCCGCCATCCCACCATCGTCATGTCGAATAAGCCAAGGAAGTAACCCGATATCCACCTCTGCCAAAACAAACACACTCCACTACTCAAACGATAAGTCCATCGTGGGCCAAGGAAGCACCGCCCTTGGTGACAGGCGTATCCCAGCGACACTCCCGCCGCAAAGCGCCGGAGCTCGACTCGCTGGAAGCCCTGAGAGCGGCGCCTTTTTCGGGTTGAGGACGTGGACCTGGGCGAATCCACCACAACGTTTACCTTACTACCTTAGGGCCGCGCGAAGCCCAGGCCCATGGCGACCCTACATGTTTCCGTCATCCAGTGCTGTGAGAGCCCTCAGTTAACTACATTACAGAGCCTAAAGGCATTCCGGGATCTTCTTCTGCCCCTCTATACACCTCGTCAACACCCCTCATTACCCCTCCTCACTTCATAACCTTCCCGATCGGTGGGTAAGGGCAGGCGGCATCGTCAGCCTCGCTGGCAACGCAAAGCTGCGCACCGAATCGTGAGGCACAGCCAAGGGTCGTGGCGTCTCACCCGACCATGCAATCGCTTTGTCGTTCCCGGCGACGCCTCCCGCACGCTGTCTGAGTGCCGTTATCCCGGATCGTCAATTATCAACGCTCGCTTGCTAGGTACCTCAGCTCTCTGGATAACACAGTTTGCCACCTAGTTTAAACCGTTCAACTGTCAGTCAGTTCAATTGCTCTATCTATTCGTTTCTCGATAATTTCCGAGGTCGCCGCACCTTGGGTATCCATTGACTGCAGCGTTCCAACACCGTATGTACAGTCTGCAATATGCCTAGCATTCTAGAAACCCTCTATGACGTGCAGTTGGCAGCACTAAAGCTTCCACGCATTCTTGCGCCGCATCCACGCGCTAAAGCACCTCTTCCCTCCCTTCCGTCGTCCGGTAGCGTCTCATCCCGACAATATTCCCGCCGAACACCGACCATCCAAAGGCGATCAGATGGCTACTGCCACCCAGGTCCGCTCTCTCGGCTCGCACGGCGCCCACTCTTTGCCGCTTGAGCTCTGTCCCGCGGATTTTGGACCTCCTCTCTGGTCTGCCCCCGCACAATGGGTAATTTGGTGAATGGCTGTCATCTGGCCAGGCGTCACCAGTCCTCTCACGCTCATCCCTCAGTCATCATCTTTCTGCAGGCCCTGCCTACCTCGGCCCATTCTCTCTCCTAGACTCATGTTGCCGGCCTTCCGATGCAGGCCATTCACAAACTCCCTGTCCCCAAACTTGGATGACCGTTCTCTTGCCTGGTCGTCGGCTTGTTGCGCGGCACTTTCCCGTGCCTCGAGTGCTGCCAGCCGGCGCTCCCGGTCCGTGTCGAGGTCTGAAGCGGCGGTCTGCATAGCCGCCAACTTGCGAGCCCTTTCCTCCTCAGCGTCCTTGTCTTCGACCTCTTTCCTACCATCGACTCCATCAGTACGAGCAGCAGGCCGTCTGTCATACCCTTGTCGATGATTGTCGTTGTTCCTGCGACCCCGGGAGACTGCAGCATCTCCGTTTCGATCGCCGCGCCTGTCGTAGCTTCGAGGTGATCTCTCTCGTGGCTTGACGGGCCGATCATCCTCGGAAATTGAATCTCGGCGCCGCCGTTCGCGGTCGTCGCACCTGTCGCGTCGGTCGCGTATGACGTAGTCGTCTTTCTCACCGGAGTGGCGTCTCCGAGGGGACCTGGATCTTGAAGCACGTCTGCGCTGGTGGCTATGTCTGTCTTCAGGATCGCTGGGTCGCCGCCGCCTCTGGGAGCGTTCTGCCTCGTCAGGGTCATCTCTCCGCCGGTGCGGGCTCCTCGATCTGGAGTAGGATCGCCGTCTCTTTCGGTGCCTTTCCCGATCATCGTCCTCGTTCCGGTGTCTGTGATGCCTCCTCTTGTGCCTCTCCTCCTTTCTTTTCGACTTTGACTTGTCATCTGCCATGCCCATGGATGCAAGCAATTGCCGGCGCTTGATGGGATCGTTCATCATGGCCTCGTAGGCGGCCTGCTCCTGTCTTTTGATGGCGAGCAAGGGGTCTTCTCGAACTTTCGCTGCTGTGTCACGTGCTGTGTTGGCCGTCTGCAGGGCCATGAAACTTTCCTGACCAGCTTGCTTTTCCAAGCTCTTGTGTTCCGTTCCCTTGAGCAAGTTATCGATGCGGCGCTTGCCAAGGAGGTAGCTCTCGCGCTCCTCTGTAGTGCCGGTCTGTCCATCGGTAGGTCCGCTGTAAAGAAACTCGACGCGGTCGACCCGTTTGGTATGTCCTGCAGCCTCTAGCTTCTTCTGAAGTTCTTCGCGCTCACGCTCCTCCTTAAGCTCGTTGATTCGCTGCTGGGTCTTCTTGCGCTCATCGAGGGCTTTGCGTTCCTCCTCCCAGACCTTGGCCTGGTTCTTGATGAGGGAAGGGTGGAAACTCTTCTTCAAGTTGAGATCGCCACCCATCTTGCAGACTGTTCAGCGAAATGCACAAGGGTATTGTCGAAAGTTCCGTGGGGATGCGCCGAGTTTGAAGTTGGTTCGTGTGATGATTCGTTAGGTAGGTAGTTGACACAGATGGGAGTTGTAACTTGACAGCATAAGCCGAAGTCAAAGGCTGGCGCGGCTGGGGTACAATCAAAAAAATGCATGGGATCCGTTCATAGGTAAGGTAAGGGTACCTAAGGTAGGTAGGAGGTACCTAATGGTCAGTGCGTTACCTTATCAGATGTTGTCGATGGGTCTGCCAATCGATAAGCCCCCCGCCTCCATTGCCCACCACAGCTGCACCTGCCTGGAACTGTCGTCGTCAACCAGCCTTACATTTACCGTCAATTCCTAACGACCAACAACTCCCAAATAACCTCCAAACACGCTTCCCCTCTGCAATTCGTCGTCTACTACGACGTCGGAACCTGTCCTTGTGAAACCTCCTTTCGATCCCTATCAAGAATCGCATTCAAGAAGGATGTCTGACGACGAGGACTTCATGCAAGAGTCCGATGAGGAGCAGTGAGTCTCCCAGCTGGGGCTTCCATCTCTGGGTTCCGTCGTGGAGATCGTCAAGGCTGACTGGGAGCAGGTACGACTTTGAGTACGAGGAGGATGACGATGAAGACTCTGGAGACGTTGGCATCGAGAACAAATACTACAATGCGAAGCAACTCAAGCTTACCGATCCCGAGGATGCCATCGCCGAATTCTTGGGCATACCACCGTTAGAGGAGGAAAAGGGCGAATGGGGCTTCAAGGGCTTGAAACAAGCCATTAAGCTCGAGTTCAAGCTGGGACAGTATGAAAAGGTATCTCCAAAATTATGAGAAAGATTCATTCGCCAACAGACCAGAGATGCTGATATCGGAACCAGGCGACGGAACATTATGCCGACCTATTGACCTACGTCAAGTCAGCCGTGACGCGAAATTACTCTGAGAAGTCGATCAACAATATGCTGGACTACATTGAGAAGGGATCAGACGGACCCAAAGCGGTGGCGTGCGTCGAAAAGTTCTATTCACTCACACTCGAGAGCTTTCAAAGCACGAATAACGAGAGGCTATGGCTGAAGACGAACATCAAGCTGGCCAAACTTCTCCTCGATCGCAAAGATTACAACACAATTACCAAAAAGCTGCGAGACCTACATAGAGCCTGTCAGAAGGAAGATGGCAGCGACGATCCTAGCAAGGGCACCTATTCTATGGAGATATACGCCCTCGAGATCCAGATGCACGCCGAGACCAAGAACAACAAACAGTTGAAGAGACTATATCAGCGCGCCCTGAAGGTCAGGTCGGCTGTCCCTCACCCCAAGATTATGGGAATCATTCGCGAATGCGGCGGAAAGATGCACATGAGCGAGGAGAACTGGGCCGAGGCGCAGACGGACTTCTTCGAGTCCTTCCGCAACTATGATGAGGCTGGCTCGCTCCAGCGGATCCAAGTGCTCAAGTACCTGCTTCTAACGACGATGCTTGTCAAGTCCACCATCAACCCGTTCGACTCGCAAGAGACGAAGCCGTACAAGCAGGATCCCCGAATAACTGCCATGACCGACTTGGTAGACGCCTACCAGCGGGACGATGTCCATGCCTACGAAAACGTCCTTCAAAAAAACCAGGACATTCTTGCTGACCCCTTTATTGCCGAGAATATTGACGAAGTGACGCGCAACATGCGCACTAAGGGTGTCTTGAAGCTCATCGCTCCCTACACACGCATGAAGCTGTCATGGATCGCCAAGCAACTCAAGATCTCAGAGCCCGAGGTCCAGGACATACTGGGCTTCCTCATTGTTGACGGCAAGATTGAGGGCAAGATTGACCAGCAAGCCGGCACCCTCGAGATCCAGTCAGACGCGGACAGCGACCGCACCAAAGCTCTGTACGAGCTGACGCAGTCCGTCTCTAACCTATACACCACCATGTTCAAGGAGAGTGAAGGCTTCCGATCAACCGAGTTCCCAACGGATGAGCAGGCCATGGAGATGATGGGTGGCGGCATGACACCCAGAAGCGGCGGTCCGCGAGGACAACCGCGGGGTGTTGGACGGAAAGGCAAGGGTGTGATGCCCATGTGGACATGACGAGTATGGTCATACGTGTGTGCTGATTGATCATAGCGGGTGATAGTTAAGCGGATAAAGCTAACTACTGGCGGTTGCTCCATGTCTACTCGGTCAGCTACTTGACGTTACAGGACGCTATGGAAGTCTGTAGACATAGAAAAAGACAATACCATGATGGTATTGGTAAGCGCGGAGAGTTATTGGCAGAGCGTTAGGCCACAACAAGATACCAATAACACCTATTCCACATATCCCACATGTTACTAGTCAAGCAATGTCAAGATGCTTTTCAACGACCAGCCATCGGACCGGACAGTTCCCGCAACGTTAGTATAAGCAGTAAGCAAAGAAGTGAGCGAGAGTGGTTCACAAGCAGCTTCCCGCTGCGGGTGGCTCAATCCAAAGATTTTGTGAGACCTGGTGGAACACAGGTGTAGGGCACGATGCAGAGAGAGAGGGAGAAAATGGGCAAAGTGGGATAAACATGGGATAGGATATCACGTCGCACACCGACGCGCGGGATCATGAGGAGTGGTCTCCGTGACGGGAGGAGTGTTGGTCCTCTCGCTCATCATGTTCGGGGGGGACTAGACACGAATGTTGATTCATCGACCGTTCGTACTCGTAAATCCCGTGGAGACAACCGAGAAAATACGAAAAGGCACGAAGGAGCTTTGAACACCCTTGAGATCCGTCAACGCTAGTAGAATACGCCATGGGGGTTTCGTGAAGACCCAGGCAACATCTGTCATCCAGTCATCACACTGTATTTTGTCCTGGAATCTCATTTATCCAAGAGCACCGGATTGCGACCATCTACATCCCCCAGCGACACAACGGGGGCCGTATGAGGACCAGACAAAAAGAGAGTTTAGACACGCAGACGATAGACTGAAGATCAAACTTTTGGCTCCCACCCGGCTCGCCAGCTCTCCCGAATTCGCCAACCAATAGGCAAAAGACACAGGCACGATTGATCAGTGGCAGTTGTCGGAAATGTGGCGCGGCGTAGACAAGACGAACCTAGCCGGCCCTGCCTTGTACGGTTGCCACCAACCTTCATATCTCGTCTCAGACCTTCACCTTGCAGCAAGACTCGGGTTCAGCTCGCTTCCTGGTTTGCATGGCCGCCCGCGGTGGTTCGGACGCGGTGTGACTGGCAAAGTTTGCGCTTTGCAGACCAAGGGGGCAGCAAAAGGTGATGAGGCAGGGAGCCGAGAGCCGATAGCCAGAGAGCGAAAAAAATATTCTGCACCACCACCCCCATCACCAATCACCTCGTCCGTCGGCGCTATGTCCGTGGCCGTCGACGATACGACACGATGCTGGCGCGGGATTGTCCCGATATTCCATGGCAGCGTAGCAAGAGGTAGGGTAGGTGGACCCGGGAACTTTAGTCGCCATGCCCTGGTCATAGGTAGCTGCAAGTCCGATGAACATTTTGCCCACAGACTTCCCTTCCCGTGATGTGCCAATATGCTTGCTTTGGAGTAAGCTCCCCAACATCGGACCATCAACACCCATCCACCCGCAGATCACTTGGTCTGGTACTCCGTTTGTAATAGAGTTTCACTCCCAGATCATCTCTAGGTACATGGATGGTGTTCATCCGTCTCCAAAATACCACTGTTCAGGGCTGCGTCGTCTGCCGTCTGGTCGGACGTCGACCACCACTAGGTGGTTGCTTTTGCCTCGAAGTCTGGGTCTGTCACACTGCACAGCACGAAGGCATTTTTCTCCCCCCACGTTTGTGCTTCAGTTCTGCGAGGCCAGTCCAAGAATCGTGGTCCATCGGCAAGGCAGATCGCCGTCGCCTCCTTGTGAATGGAGACCTGGACCACGGGAAGCCAATAAGGCGGTCTTCATTATGCGTCTTGCCGTGGCCGCCACCAGTCCACCACCTACGTCTCGCGAGTAATGGGAAAGCAGGGCGATTGATGAGCCAGTCCATCCACTCGAATTCTCAAACGACACCTGCATGAGCCGCGACAAGGGCGGATCTGTGGTGCGCAACATAGGCGGCAGGTGGACTGCAGAGCGAGTTAGTGGTCTGGTCTCTGTCCCCCAGCTGTCTCTCGCCCTGCTCCTCTTTCTCTCGGCCGATTACCGGGCGAATGCAGGCGGGAAACCGTGACGAGATGAGCGGCGAATTTGGCTCAAACAACGAGGAGCGGTCTGCGTCTTGACGGACCAAAAGAGACGATCGATGATTGGACGATGCGTTTAAGAAATACGAGAGGCGAGACGGGGAGAAAGCTAGCAGGTAGAAAGACCTGGGGGACGGAGCAGCCAAGCGGAGTGAAATTGACGCGACATGTTTGGCGAGTGTGTGTTTGTCTGCATAATGGGTGCTTGCATGCCGCAAGTGTAATTAGATTTCCTTTGTGCGTCGGATTTCTTGGCTGAGTACAATGGATGACCCAAGCCGATCACTACGCGGACAATGTTTGAGGGGAATTCGGAAATATTCTGCTCATGACAAACGTGTCTCTCTCGCATGGTGCCATGGAAGATCTGACAGAGTTTACATTCGTGGGGATGCTTGAGCCGGAGATGGTTGGATAGGTGCGCCGCGAGCCGTGTTTCTGCAGCTTGCCGTAACACACTCACTGGCTCGCATTGGCAGTCGAGAGCAGGAAGTATGTCGTACCATGGAAACGGCGGTTCTACCAGGCACAACTGCACCTAGTCATTAGAACGATTGCAGCTAGTTGTTGTAGATTGCGTATTCCATGTCGATTGGCAGCAATCCCCATCTGTAGTCGCTGAGGATACTACTCCTCGTTTCCCTTTCTGCCGCCCCGGGGTGGACAGGGTGATCAGCGCAGGCATGGCTCATCGAAGCGAGAGCCGACCAGTACCATAGTAAAGTATGAACTAGCGAAATGGTCAAAGATATATGTCCACATCGATGAGACGTCAATTTTGACGTTGGCTCAGTCGTGGACCTTGAACAAAGTATGAAACGATAATAGCGGGCTTCGACTGCCATGGACCAAGTGATCATCCACTACATGCGCAGGCAGGGGTTTGACTCTTTCTGAAGGATGAGCTGTCATATTACGAAAGCCGGTGGTTATTTTGGAGGCCGTTTGTCGGAAGGGCAGGGGAATATTTCGTGCAGCCCCAGCTGCGTATCTGCATGGCAAGCTGCTCCCGAAGGTGGCAGGGACTAAGAGGGAGAGTGCAGAGGAAGCAACCCTCTCAACCTCGCTGTTCGTTGTTCCTCTCTGCCATTACTCGAGACCAAGTCAAGAATTTGCAGTGCATCTGTCACTCATCGCAAGCTGTGGAGACGGGACGGTGCGAATGTGGGACGAGACGGGGTCTAAGTGGGCGGAAACGTATTAGCCGATGCGACGTTGCTCGCGACTGAACGTTGTTGCCATAGCTCGCTCACGATGCTCTCGGCGCCCCAGCTAATGTCTCCAGAGCTCCGGGTACATTCCCTCAGAAAGGGGGAACAGCCCAAGTCTCGCCTCTGTTGGCGCGTTATTGGTTGCCTCGGGTGCCGCGCTGCCCGGGCCAGACGGAGGGTGTCCTTCATCTTGCAACTGATCCACTACTTCTTCACATACCCTTTATTTTCTGCCGATGATCGAGCAGTGGACGAGGCCGATCAAAGATGTCGTGCTAGTTAGTCGTTGGTCCTTCTATGAATACAGACTAAGGCGAATCTGTGATAGCGTCAGAGGAAGACCAGGGGCATAGGGCTTGGAAGTTGGGGCAGCAACGTTGTTATCTTGGTGGTCTCACTTCAGAGCCCCGAAGGAAACGCGGCCAGTCAATCACCTATGTTCTTCCTGTTGCAAAAGTCACGGATGATTGATGCTCGTGTATCGCGACAAAAAACCGGATCCAATTTGTATCCCCGAATCTGACAGGCCGTCATCTGTGGTCTTGCGTGTCGACATTTTTGAAAGGTTGTCTTCCCTGCACGTTTTTTCGGGGGGTTGAGGGAGGGGGGGCTACATGGAGAAACTTGCACAGAGTACCTAGAGCGTGAATGGAATTCCTACTCATCATCTTCCCAGAACGCAGTACGTATGGGAAGCCGCATACAAAGCTGCGCCACTGTTATCCCTCCGTCTGTTACAGGATTGGTGTGCCTGGCTCATCTTGTACAACAAGCCTGATGGAGCAAGAGCAAAGTACGAGACTGGTCAAACCAAACCGCAAAGGTCGCTGAGGGGTTCGTAAGGGTCTTCTGTCGCGCGCCAAGCTTCTGGCCCATCCGATTCGGGTTATCTCGCCAGAAAGGAGATCGGTAGGCCCAGATCGCCTCTTCTTTCGCTGGGGTCGCCCGGGTCAGCTCCAGCTCGTCCCGTGTTGGAGCTCTTTGCGGGTTGTTCCAACACCGATAAATTTCGAAAGCAGAAACGTGAAATCGCCTCGGTTAAATGGGGGAATGGCTCTCAGCGGGTGTGAATGATTCAAGATTGCGCCGATGAGGAAACGACGCATGTAGATCCCTAGGTGTCCCCATGCTCCACGTTGCCACAAAATCGAATTTGCAAAGTTGATGTTGTCGAGTTTGCTTTCCCCTGGACGAACGGCATTCTCAAAAGTCCTAGTCGCGTGCGGAACAGGCCGACCGAAGGCTCCACCGACCAATTTCAGCCCCATGAAACGTGAAATGTCGGTTGGTAGCCGTCTCGCTTCCCGTGGCTATGACCGGAGACCACCATATTTGACGGATGTCCGTGAGACTGGTAGGTGTGTTTGGTGAGTTACTTGTCGAATCGAAAGGCATTCATCGGGATGTATCACGGATCCCACTCATTTCGATGGTCGTAGGCATCAGCTGCGTCGCTAGTCCACTTTGTCCGAAGCTCAAATCCGCGTAACAAAGTACCACCCGTTGCCTCTGCGCTTAATGTTGAGTTGGCCTCTTTGAGGACCAAAGCTCTTGGCGCCACGGTCTGGGCATTGCTCGCAGGGACTACTTCGTAGCGAGGAAGTAGCTTCCATATCGTACACCCGTAGTACTTCCAAATCCGGCCCTTTTGCGTTGCTGCGCCAAGTGTCATTTGCATATGCAGGTCCTGTTGATTTGTCGGATTGTACAGCTGGAATTTGTCCCTGGCGAGTCAATCGTGCCTTCGATATATTTCTGACAATGGCTTGGCGTCGCAACTCAGAACGACCACGGGACAAGGCGGTCCTCCACGCAAATGTGCTGAAATTCCGTATCCATGAATGCAGTTTTGGTTCATGACAGGCTGCCATTAGACGGAAGCTCCTCGGCGGCGTCTTCTGTGCCTGCGAGGGCTAGCCTGAGCCTCTGAAGTACATGCCGTTGGTCGGGGCCGAAGCACGCACCGGAGATACTAGTTTCTCATTTCAACCATTGTGACAAGCGGATCATGGGCGGGAGGTGCGGCCGGAGGATGCAGTGAAGTGATCGACAGCGTGAGATGCCATCTCCCTGCATTACCATGGAGTCGGTGGAGATAATTTGCCATGGAACAGGAAAAATTCGATATCACGACCGCCATCTCTGACACGGACGTCTTGGAAACTGGGCAGATATACAGTGCCCAGACGGGTCTCTCGGTCCTAGCAGCCAGGGGCATAGCCGACCCCAGGTGACTTCGACTCATGCTTTCCACTTTGTCTCCGTCGTCGCATCTCTACTTTCTTGTTTTAATTTAGCAATGTTGGACTTCTCAACCGCCACTGAGAAAAGACAGCCATATTTCTCCAAGGCTTTCGCGAAAGCTGAGCAGCACCAGGATCGGCCATACTTCGCGTGGACCTAGTCCTACCTTAGATGGAGCTCCACCAACCGTGTGTGTACACAAGCGCAACGCTGCGAGGTCGATTGCTTGCGGAAGGTGCGATGCTGGATTGTACACGAGAGGTGATTCAGCGTGATGTCAACGCAAGGGTATCATTGATCGTTGACCAGCCTCGGGTGATGAGGACTTCGGTGAGAGCTAGCTGAACATGTTGTCGAATTGTCCGTGCAAAACGTTTGTCCGTGGCAGCCGACCACACGGTGGCAGGCTCGGCACCGGCCGCTGTTGGCCGTCAGCCAGGGACAGGCCTGATCCCTGTATGGTAGAGTGCGGTGGGGTGCGCCAGCCCGGATTCACAGCTCACCTTAGTGTAAGCCAGTATCGTGTGAACTTCAGTCCAGTCTAGGTAGAGGGCAGAGCAGCCATCTAATGACACCATTGGTAGACCCTGAGTTGTCGGGGATCATTTTGGATGCTGAGCGGTCAAGACACCGATGCGATGACTAATGGATGGACACGGGCGGCTCTCGGAAGCGACGAGAAAAAAAAGGAAATAACCAGCGCGGCGGGTTGTCTCTGACGCCACGAGGGCCGTGATAGAATGTCGTTAGCCCATGATGATGGCACCCCTCGTCGTCGTTGTCCCGCTTTCTGATGCGGCTCGTTGCTTGTGATCCCAGGTCAGCGTCAGTTTTTGACGTGCGTGGGTGCCCATGCCTAGGGCCTTATTCTGGAGGTAGTCTAAGCAAAAGGGCCGGCGAGAGAAGAAGCGAGGAGGTGGGACATGCTGTTTCTGTCGCGGCAGCTTTGGGCCAGGGCTGTTGTTGCTCCGTAGTCGCGCTTATTTGGCCCTTCGTTGCAAGAAATCACCATGGTCTACATACATACAGTTGTCGCTTGAACAGGCCCAATAAATGACATCCATGTCCACGGCCGAAGGCAATAGCGTACTCGGCGCGGTTGGCTATCGTGAGCGACAGTGTGTGATTGTGAAAGGTTTCTTGCCAGGCGGAGGTCCTCCCTACATTCTGCTGGACGGGATGCAGCAGGCAGGCCGCAGAGGTGACGGGATATGTGGAGGGAGTGTGATCACGATTGATGAAGGTCGGATCAGCACTACAGGCAATAAGTATTACTGCGGGATACCTTACATGAGCATCTGCCCATGGTGATAGTGTTTGTAGTGCACGTACTTGGTACCCTGCCCGAGGGCTGGTGGAGGCCATCGCATCTCACCTTGGCGCTAACAAGGCGGCGAGGAGTCGAGGGGTGCCACGGTCCTTGGTGATGAGAAGTGCTTGTGCCAACCCGGAACCCTGTCCTGCGATTCCCGCAGCCCATCAACGTCTATTCGTCCCTGTCAACCGTCTGTGGGATGGGCGAGTGGCGGAAATCCCACTTAGCCTTGCCCCTTGCTAGTCCGAACGGTGAAAGACAGGGCCTACCCCCGGCACCATCTTCCCCTAGAATGCCACCCTTGCTTTTATGTCGGCGTTTTTTTATCTTCTCCAACGGGCTCGCAGATTCGCAGATTCGCAGGCTCGCATTGTCCCTGAGGCAGGTGTGTGTTCGCTCGATAAATGCCATGGTACCCGTATGCCCTTCGCAGAGACGGAAAGGTCGGGCGTTAGGAAGGATTCGTGTTGCTGCAATTCAGGATGCATAGTTCCGGGGGACTTGTGAGCGGATTACCCTCCTCCACGTAACACATAACACATGGTACGTCAGCAACGGCAGTGTTTGTAGAATTGGTGCTCTTGGCCGATGTGATTCTGAAGGGTCAAGGAACTTGTGCGCAATAAGAGGTCTATGTATGGCGAAAATGGGAATGAGGAATGTGTGGAAGAAAACGTTGGCGAAATCTACCCTCCCTTTGTTGGGCAGGTACCTACCTGAAGTTGATCGGTAAGGTAAGGCAGCCAACCCTGTAAGCCAGTTGCAGAGGCAGTGGAGTTGCAGATGAAGGAGATGGGGAGACTCCGAGGCGATGTCGAAGACGGTTGAACACGGAGAAAGAGCGGGCGCCGAGTTCCATTGTGATATTCAATGTCATCCGTACGATAGGTACCTTCCCGCTCGTGTTCATATTCGGGGTAGGTAGGAAGGCACGGCAAGGTAAGGCACCTTAGGTAGGTTGGTTGGGGTTGAGATCGAGGTTGGTCTTGCCCCCTTCTGAACTTGTCTTCAGTCCTGGAGGCGGACCTGCCGTGTACAGAACATCGGATATCGTAAAGTGACTGGACGAGGAAAGAACTTGCCTTCCAGGCTCCTACCTTACTCACCTCAGGTTGGGGGGTGAGGTGCTCTTTTCCCCAGAAGGCATCTCGGCCCTGATTACTCATCTCCTTCGGGTGACGTTCGGTCTGTGCTGCTTTTCTTGGCTTCCATGGCTGGAGGTTCCAACAGATATCTTCCCTACTATCCGTACCTTAGGTAAGGTATCTTACTCTGCACACATTTGTGTTCACAGAGCAGCCCCGGGCATGCATCGCCTCATCTTTTCCCACTCAACCGTGCAGCATCGATTCCAAGGATAAGGTGTGGGGCAGAGAGGAGTGGCACTCGAGGTCCCAATGCTCTTTGTCTCGGATGACAGGCCGCTGGCCTACCTTGCCTTGCGACACCTCCTGCGGATACGCAATATCACGATATCATCATTATGCTGCGACGCCGCACCACCATCACCTCCCGAGTTTCTTCAGGGTGGCCATGCCCGCAACCAATCCGTGCCCTACCTCCCCGACAGTCGACTGAGGAATTGTCGCCCAGTCCAATCGTGAAGGTGGCCAATCGACGTCCGAGTCTTGGGGAGACCTGGTGTAGACCTGGCCAGACCGCCGCAGACCGCCGCAGCCTGCCAGACAAGACCAGGACGCATGTCTGAGCCCGACTGCGGACCAGGATCATTGGGCTCAAGCTCCGTCTCTGTATCTCTGTATCTCGTCCCCTGTCTCTCCCTCTTCTCCAGCTCTCGAGTCGAGAGTCTCGAGTCTTGCCATATGTTCGAAACGGTGTCGATGCGATGACGCAGACCGCCCTACCTACCTCGAGGTAAAGCACTTCACGAATTTGCCGTAACCATCCGGAGGAAAAGAAATGGATCGGGGGGCGGTTTCTCACCTGTCGTCGCTCACAATGCGTCCTCACAACTCACCATCCACAGGCTCGAGTCCTGGACCCCAATTACAAGTCCGTGTCCATTCCCCGTCCCCCCCCCCCCCCCCCTAACGTTCCCACCCCCCCCCCCACCCCCCCCCCCCCCCCTCCCCCCCCCCCCCCCCCCCCCCCCCCCCCCCCCCCCCCCCTCCCCCCCCCCCCCGCCCCCCCCCCCCCGTCGATAACGTTCCAATCCACCCATCTATCCCATGCCCATGTCCATGTCCACGCCCATCCATGCCCATGCCCATGCTCAGTCCCAGTCCCAGTCCCAGTCCCAGATCCCCCGTCGTTCCCATCATTCACAGCACGCTACAAAGTACCATGTCGTGCCCATAGTGCCAGACTATCCATATGTAGGCTTTTATCAGAACGCCAGCCAACCATTGCGAGGCTTGGTTCCCCATCCTGCCCACGGCATCACATAACGAAGCCTTCTCAAGGCAGTCGTACGGATACTTATCCCCTTGTTTCTTCTTTCTTTCTCTATCCATACAGTACTAGCTACCCTGCCATGGCCCATCTCCATCCCCTTGCCTCACATGAGATGCATGTACAGATACCTGGTGCTTCTCGCCTTTCATGTTCGAAAATGGAAGAGAGAGAGAGCCCAAGGTAACTTACTACCTTATTTACCCAGGTACGTACAAGTGGTACGGACGGTACTTTCGCGTTGCTCCAACCTCAGTTTCGGATGATGCCGTCCAGTTGCTCCTAGTCTTGTCGCGGTCCTGATATTACGGCTTCCATTGATCACCCCTGCCAGATGCCGTTGCCGCTGCTGTTGCATCTGCACATGCGGCTGCTGGTGCCGTTATTTACTCCAGCGTTGGGTTATGCTAGCTTCCATCGCCAGTTCTTGGTGCAACCATGGCTTCGGATACCTGCCTTGACCCCAGAGCTAGATACGGATACGCTGCCTGTCGTTTTGTCTGCCGGCCTCATCCACCTTGCCTGAGGTGTGCGTGTGGACGGAGCACAAGTTGACGGGCTCTGATTATCATCGTCCGCCCCTATGTTTTCTCCCATCGATTCCCTACATGTATCCGTACTTACACCTGCCCTTCTCCCTTCCTTTCCGTCTTTCCATCCTTCACTTTTGGTTGGACCTCACACCCTCCCATCTTCCCCTCCCTTTCTTTGCAACTTGCCACTGCGGAAGGCGTGCAGTACAGTATACTCGGACTCTCTCGATGGTCTATCGTGTCGACTCGATCCTGACGCAGCCCAGCCATCAAGCCATCATTAGCAAGCAGGCAGGCAGCCCAACCGCGATACCGGGCTCGTCTGCCCTGCCTTGGCTGTACCTACCTTACCCTCCGATCTCCAGCTGCGGCACGGCACTGCACACTCACATCACATCGAGGCCCTCCACATCCTCCGTCATCCGTCATTCGTCGGAAGCAACTCAGCTCAGCTCGCCGAGAGGCCGGAATCAAGAACCAAAATTTAAGTCCAGCCGGTCCAGTACACCCATTCGAGCTGGATTCAGCACGGCAAAGAGCACCACCGGACACGCCAATTTCCAAATCCATCCAGGAGGTCAGACTAGGCTCCAAGACACCAAGACATTCTGGCAACGGCAGTCTTCGCCGCAGGCAGTGACAAGCATACCTACCTTTAGGCAGTGTTAGCACCGGACCACCTCCACAAGCGAAGGCCGGGCCCCAGAGTCGATCACACAGGTTGGCGGGCTCTCGCGACGGTCGCAACGGCGATTCGCACCAAGAAACGTCAACATTCGACGCCGTGCAGGCGGAAAGTAAAGGGCTAGACGTACCCCGGAAAACCACAGGTCACATTATTGTTCCTTTTTAGCCCCTCGGACGACCATCGAATTTCTGCACTATTGTCACCCCTGTTGCGGGTCTTTCTATTCGTCATCTCAAGTCAAGCTGCATACAAGCGGCTCGCTATTGGGGTGGGAGAGAAGTACTAGTCGGGTTGCTTTTGAGCTGACCTGACCTGATCCCCGACCCGATCTGAAGGAGGAGAGAAAGAGGGAAAGAGAGAGAGAGAGAGAGAGACAGAGAAACAAGGCGAGTGCAAATCGATCTGGCTTGGGGCGGCCGTCATTCTATTTTTTGGTCGCCTTGTACTGCCTTTTCAGACGTTGAAACCGTGTAAGAATTTTTTCTGGATTAGAGGCTGGACTGATTGCTGGCTGGCTCGTTGGATCGCACCCGTCACATCGTCCGACTCCCCCGACTCAGACTCAGACTCGACGCGACTCAACTCACCTCGCCTCGCGTCGCCTCGCCTCGCCTGCTTTTCAGTCATCCCCTTCCCTCCCTTTTCTCTCGTCATTTCAGTGATCATCTCGTTTGCTTTCTTTTTCCTTACTCCACGGTCTCTGGCCATCGGCTCTTCGTGCCAATCACCTCACACCGACTCGGGACCGGAGACTCGGCATAAGACATATTGCATGAGTCGTCAGCAATAGCGGCACCAATAGCAGCAACAGTGGCAGTAGCGCCAACAGCCCCAGCACCGCACCGCACTGCATCGCATCGCACCGCACCGTAAGGTACCGCAGCGCAGCGCAGCGCATCACGTATTGGTCCTGATTGCGAGAAGACAATCAAGAGAGACGAAAAGAAACCTCGTTGAGACTCGAGAACCGGTCAAACAGGACGCCAAAGCGCAGGGCAAAAGGAGCGAGAGCGCAAGTGAGGTCATGTTCCAGCCTCAACCAACACCTTTTGCGTTCCACGCCTCGGTACAACATCCCTACTCTCATCCTCATCCCCACGCCCACGGGCATTCGTACATCCAACCCCATGGCGGCCCGCCCCAGGACCACCCGTCTCAGAACAGCGTAGGCTATGGCATCAGCGCTGGTACAGCAGGGTTGGGAGACATGATGATGAGGAATGATGAAGGAGGAAGAGGAGGAGGGGTAGGGAGGGTGGAGATGAGGATTAGGATGGGCATGTTGGGCGATGGTGTCGGAGGTGCATCTCACGACGTCGACATTGGAGCAGGAATGGCCGGTTCACACAACGGCTACTTGTTGTCGCCAGGAGAAGGGAGGGGGGGAGGAGGCCCTGGTTCCGATTCCGATCCTCGAAGTCAAGGCCAAGGTCCAAGTCAAGCTCACGGTCAATTTGGAGCTGTTGGAACTGTTGGAGCTGGAGTTGGAGCTGGCGTGGGTTCCTCGTCGGGTGTGTCGTCGGTGGGACTGGACGGCATGGGCAACCCCCTGGTGATGGGCGGTGGTAGTGGTGGCGGCAGCGGCAGGCTAGGGCTGGGTATGGGGATGGGGATGGGCATGAGCATGGGTATGGGTATGGGCCACAGTGGGCTGTCCTTGTCGGCGCAGTCGCAGCCGCGGTCGCAATCACTTTCACAGTCGCTATCGGGCGGGGAAGGCACAGGCGCACGCAGCCTGAATGCTGCGTCGTCGGCCGGACCTGGAGCCTCGCTAACAGCACAACACCAGCAGCAGCATCAGTACCAGCACCAACAGCAACGCCAACAGTACCGTGGGCAGCAAAGACATGTCCCAACGGCGGGAGGTACGTTGGCGACAGTTGGAACACCAACAGCGGCTATAGCGCCTGTTGTTGGCTCCGGCCCGGGTGCCGGCCGGACTCCAGCTGTGCAGGTCACGTCTGGTGTTCCCGCATCGCGTGCAGTTCGGATTCAGGTTGCTGGACTTGCACATCAACAGCAAACGGCTTCTTGTGCCTCTCCTTCGTCTACCTCTCCTTCACCTGCCTCCCCGCCTCCTCTTGCTCCTCCTCCTCCTCCTCCTCCTCCTCCTCGTCTTCCTCCCACCGCAGCCGTCTCTGGCGTTCCCACCGCGGCTTCTTCTTTTTCTTTTTCTTCTTCTTCTTCTTCTGCTGCAGCAGCTGCAGCAGCAGCTGCTACTACGACTCCGGCTGCCCCCGGGGCAGCGTCTCCCACCTCCACATCGTCTTCCTCCCGCTCCTTCTCCCGCTCCTCCCACCCCCATTCCCGTTCGCCCTACTCCCACCACTTTTACTCCAACCACAACCACCACACTCCCCACGGCCACGGCCACGTCCAGCAACAACACCCTCACCGTCACCCCGGCGCCTCTTCTTCGACAACATCCTCTTCTGCTTTTTACACCAACAACTCCCACGCCAACGCCAGCTTCGCAAATACCGCCGCTCCTGACCACGCCAACGCAGTGAACACACGTCCTTCCGCCATGGAACCCGGCGACCCCTCCGACGTTGCCGCCCAAGAAGCCGCCGCTCGGGATTATCAGCCACAGCTCGAGGTGAGTTGCTCGCCACCCCGACTCCGAGAACGCAGGCCTAGCTCCCGTCGCGGACCCAAGCTTCGAATGCTCTCTCCTCCTCATCTCCCGCTCTCGCCCTTACTTCCTTTCACCCACGTTTCCAAGAAGCAGTCAATGGCAAAAGGCCGTCCATGCTGGAGCTTCTTCTCTGCTCCTTATACCCGATCGACTTACTGCCTACCCTGCCACATGCAATGCTGACATGGCTTACGCCCTTTTCTAGGGTTCATTGGTGGGCGACAAGATCACAAGCGACGCCATAACCGACGAGTACGCCAAGGCCGACGACATTTACATTGCAAAGACCATCGTGAGTCCCCTCGCAGCCTTGCTTGCTTCCAGCGCTGCCTGCAGTATGCTACACTGGCTAACGTGGCCCTTCACTCTTTTCCGCTCCAGAATCTCCCCCAGACATACTCTCACTACCGCCCGGTTCAAGGCGACGGAAATTGCGGCTGGCGAGGTGAGTTTACCTTTGGCGATCCTGCTGTTTCGTGCACCACCACCATGCTTCCTCCTACCTACCCCGCATCCCCGCCCCTCGACAAGTGGGATGGATGCTTCAGGGAATTCACGTCTCCCAAGCACGCCACTTTCCGACACATGTCGGCGCACAACGTTGTTGCACGGGCAAGCCGGTAGACAACCTCACTCCTCCCCCACAGCATCGTCGAGCCACGGCAACCCCCAAATATGAACACACTCATACCGTAAAGATTTGACTGACATGGTCACTCTCTAGCCATCGGCTTCTCCTATTTTGAGCATCTCATCAACAATGGCGATCAGCACCAGATCCTCGGCGAGGTCGCGCGCATCACGAGTTTGAATCAGTATCTCCTCAACGTCGGCGGCTACGATCGCATGTTGTTTGAGGACATGGTGGACGAGACGATTGGTCTGCTAAAGGATGTCGCTCAGCACGTTACCAACCCGCCGCTGGCCATGGACATATTGGCCCAGCGCTTCAACGACCAGGGCTGCTCCAATGCCATTATCTATCACCTTAGACTTTTGGCGCTCTCCTGGCTCAAGGGAAACGTCGAGCTTTACGAACCCTTTATTCCCGCCGAGACGGGTATCATCGGCTATTGCGCCGAAATCGAACGTCCCAACAGAGAGATTGACCATCTCGGCATCATTTTGCTCGTTCAGGTGCTGCTGAAACCCCTCAACTTTGTGCTGGAGATTGCATATTTGGATCGGAGTCCGGGAAACCAGGTCAACATTTACCGCTTCCCTGACGAGGCCAATGGTCAGGATCCTGCTACGCTGGGCCCAATCATTTACTTGCTTTACCGGCCCGATCATTACGATATCCTGTACAAATCGCCCCCAAACCCGGCACCCTTGACTCTCCAGGTTAACCGAGTTGGCTCATTTTCTCACCCACAAGAGATCACGAGCGTGGCCCCGTCTTTGCATAGTTACGCGAACCTCGACTTCGGTCCCTTGGCCATGCTGCCCGGATTCGGTGGCCCGCCCTCGGGTTTGTCATCGGGCTTATCTTCACTCGGCTCACCCACATCCACCTCCCCGCTGCCAGATGCTTACGACCCTTCGCCTCAATCACCTTGGCTCGCGACACCGTACTCTGATCACATTCAACAGCAGCAGCAGCAGCAGCAGCAGCATCAGAACGTGGCGGCTTCTCGTCCGCAGTCTCAAGCGCCGGCTCGGCCGCAGCAGTCGACGCCCGCCCCCACGAAGCCGTCTCAACCCGTTGACTACCAGCTCAGATTTAGCCACCAGTGCTGGCATCTCAACAACACCAACTCTGCCCAACCGTCCGTGATACCAGGTCAGGCAGGTTTCCAAGAGCCGAGCTTTACCACCGCAATGTTCAAGAACAGCCATTTCAACAAGGCGCATTACAACAATCCTCACTTTCATCCCGAAGAGTGGACTCCTGACGAAGATGGCCACCACGAGAGGCTGCCGGCGCCCAGGAAGAAGGGGAGGATCAGATCAGATCACTAGGCAAATCAAAATGACGGAACCACTGTACCATCAGCCATTGGCCAGTGGCTCATAGGGAGCTTGCCATGGGCATCAGGGGCGGGCCGTAACCATGATTTCAAGGAGTGTAATAGGGCAAAGGCGGGATCGGTTTTCGGTGGTCTCTGGGGGTCCGCATTGTGGGAGAATTAAAACTTGCCTTGATTTGGCTCATTGTGATTTTAGTGTTCTTGCTTTACGCAGATGGGAAAGGCATCATGATTTATGATGGAGGGCTTCATCTTCTTCACGGCTTTTCTGGCGGGAGGGTTCGCTCCTCGGATTGATACTCATCATAGCATCGGCGTTGACATTAATAGTACTCTCTCTAAGTGCATGCTCCTCTATCTCTCTGACATGCTGCAGTCAAAGGGGCCGAAACCTGTTCGATCGTGAGGGGGAGCTTGTAGACAGCCAGACGGCTAGGACTTTGTCTGTCATTGCTCGGCCAGTCCAAGGGTGTAAGGCAATAAAAATTTATTGCCTGCCACAAAAGCGACCTGGACTGGGAAGGTCTCGGCCGATCCTTTGCCGCCCGCCCATCCATGGAGCAATCTGCATAGTCGTTCCAAGGCGTGTGTGGATATTGCACATGTGGGCTCCCTGGGATCAAGTCTGCGGCTAAAAGATAGCCACCAGGCACCCTTGGCGTTTCTACTTCTACATGCGACGAACGCCCGTTGGACCAGATTTATGACATGGCAACATGGCATGACTACATGGCAAGGCGTAAAGGCGTGAGGTGAGGTGAGGTGAGTTGAAGTGGGTATCAAAAGACGGGGCTTGGCGCAGCATATCATGGAGCAAGCAGTACTGCATTGCCATGCATCCAGGGGGAAAAAGTTCTTGAAAAGGAAAAGAAAAAAAAAAGAAAAAAGGGAAGAAGGGGAAATCCCGCAAGGAGTAGTATTTGGGACTCATTTTGTTGTGAGATATTTGTACAGAGGACTCCGCGACTGTGTTTTTCTTCATGGTCCTCTCTCTTAGATGGCATGGGGTTCCGCTTCGGTGGCTCTATTCCTTGTATGTGGAATAAAACAACCTCCTATGAAATTCGGCCATGCCTCCACGCCCTCTTAACCCCGTCCCGGAGCCTACCGGAGCCTCCCGGAGCATACGTTACGGGTGAATAAACGTGGCAGGTTGACAAGTGCGTATTGCCAAAGCCGTCTCTGGGGAAGGGCGTCATCGAGATACCAATAGAGGATTTGGAGAAGGCTTTCAAAGATAATGCAATATCGTATTCGTGATGCGCGACGACGACATGCCTGACCTTGTTTGCCTGCCGGCCCCCGTCTCCAGGCGTGATGAACATGCTTCGCCACGCAAGACCAAGAGGTCCTTCTGGCTTGGCAGGCTGGAATATGGTATGCCAAGATTTCAAAATGTGCTTACTGATGAACATAGGGTATCATTATTGAAAATGTGCGGTGAAGTGTGTCCTCCCCGCCGGAAATAATCACGATATTTCCCCAGCGAGCCGGAATTTGAGATCCTTTTTTTTTTTTGCTCATCCGGGAATAAGATTCTGTGCCATCTCCGTATCGACCACGGGGATACGCGGATCTCTTCACTACGGGCCATCAACAGCAAACGATCCGATCAATTGTTGGGTCTCCGACATCCATAGCAGAAGCCGCAAAGATTGATAGGCTGACGAGAAGAGGAACAGACGCGGGCACACTGCGTATGCTGTGCAACCCGTGATGCACTCAAGTCACCGGCTGTCTTGCTTATGAACAGTCGGCTTGTGCAAGAAACAATTCCCAGGACACGACTCGCAAAAGAGAACGAGGTGGCTGTTTCAGGTCTCGTCCGAAATGTACGACAAATCATCCCAGTCGTTGATGCACTGTCGTCGGCGCAATGCCAATTCCTAGGCGTTTTGCGAGCTCCTCAACCCACCGACGGGCGTACCATTCCCTCCTCGCCTTGCCATCGCCTGCCAGACTCAATTGCCTCCAGAGCGTCTCGCCCAGCTCGGCTCTGACACTTGTGGCGGTTTTCCCTTCGAGCCCGCAGGGCACGAACCTCGCCCAAGGATTCGTCTTTTCGTCACCATCAACAACAACATCGACGTTCAGCGCCGTGCCGAGCCCCGAGATGTGACGGCGGAGATGTACGCCCATGGCGGCGATCTTACGCTCCTGGCCCCCTGTCCGCTGCACCGCGGCCTCGGCCCATACCCCCGGGTCATCCTGGGAGAGGTAAGTCTGAATCCCCGGCCCGTCGGAGAGGATCGCTTGTGTTGTCTCCTCCAGGAGTCGTGCGTAGGACCGGACTGTCATGTGGGGGTAGTATGTGCTGTGTAAGTCCAGTATCGGCCAGAGCACGACTTGCCCCGGCCCGTGGTATGTTGTTAACCCGCCGCGGTCGGTCTCGATGACTCTGGGTGTGAATTGCTGCTCTCGTGAGCCTATCCCACTCTGTTGTTCCCCTACAGCGCCCCCCATCTCCTCTCTAACTGCCAAAGGCTTCTGAAGCCTTGTCAGCTGCTCCGGTAGCAAAGTCTTTTGGCGGCGGCCGAGAGTATAAGTTGGTGTCGGGGTAAAAGATACGACCAGTGGTGACGGGGCACGGGGCTTTGGGGCGGACTTCCAGTCGAGGAACGCCTGGCGGAGGACGGCTTGGAACTCCGAAGCCGAGTCGTACGACGGGAGTGAACTCGAATCGGAGCCGGCGAGGTGAATATGTCGCAATGCGCTCGGTTCGGCGCCGTCATTTTCGGGGAAGACCAGCTTGGAGATCGGCAGCGAGGAGCTCCATCTTGCCTGTCGCAGGGCGTTGTGAGGCTGTTGATTCGCTGCACATGGACGGCTTCGAATGGGGTGAGTACAAATACGGTGTGCGGTTCGAAGGGTCCCCATCGATTGCGTGTTAACGAAGGCCGCTGGGGAATTAGTTAGAGTGTCGGTCGAGGAGAATGGTGGCTGAGATAGGTTCAACGAAAGCTGCCCGGAGCTTCAACAAAGTTTCGCGGAACGAGCCGGCTGGAAATATGGATTGAGACGGCGGTACCTTATCGATAACGTAAAATTAGGTTATCGGTGACGCACGAGCCACATTAAGATAGGCGCAGGGTTCGTGATCCTTCAAACTCGCATCGTTGCGGCACCGGTAACCCTTATCGATACATTCGGCAAGTAAAGCACCTCAGGCAAAGTAAGTAATGTAAGGTAGGCTCTTCGCTCGGCTCCCTGTGACTTCGCCACGCTTCCGTGGCTCCATGGCGTGGTACGATGTACGCGATAGAGCCTCCTCGTCATGTCTGTACCTTTGCTGCGATATGGCAGACGAGCAGCAGTCGCTCTCGTGGTCTGTACGGGACTGGTCAGCTCGTGTCTGCGCTCCATGTGCGTGCCATTCTGTCATCCAAGGCATGACACCGTAATTTCCTGTAGATGGCGAGACACTTGTTGATTTTCCATAACCCAATGCCCTAGCCATAAGTTCTCCTTTCCTTACGAAGCCCGAAGTTCACTGCTCGTCGGGCTTTAGCGCGTACGTTGGAAACAGCTGATCCACAATCGATTCCTTCCAAATGTGGTATCGTCACCACGCTCCTCATGATGATGACATTGAGATGCCTTGTCGAGCTGAGAAGACTTTCGTATGGAGCCCATAGTGTGCCGAGCGGACGCCGGCATACCGCCAAGTGGGGTTCCCGGATGCACCGAGTCGATCTGGCGCCGATGGTCTCAGGAGCACGGCGAACGACTCAGGCATTTGTTATTTGTCACTCACAACGGGACATCGAACAAGAAGGCCTTCAGGGCCCAATAGCGTCCAACATCGAAACCGAAGTTGACGTTGCAGTGCGTCTGTCAAGCTGCGAGGAAGAAGTCAGAGTGCCCGTCTCATCCGGGGGGTGACGCGAGCACACCCGGCTAAGCCTCTCTTTGTGTGCGAGCTGGGTGGGTGGAATATTTGCTGCACAGCATCTGAGCCACAGTAGTACATCACCATGGTTCGAGGCCGCGCAAGATATGAGAGACAACAGAACCCATCTCGATATGATGCCGTCAAATCTAGAGAATATAGGTGGGCAGTAGGTCCAATGTCAATATGCAGATCTCCCCTCAGGCGTTGCACTCTGTGTGTATTGCGCCAGACGCGCAACTCTCAGGGACTTGGTGGAGAATGGCGGAAGCGAGACGTTCAGCCTCGCCATGCATGGTGCTGCGGGACGGACAAAGACCCTGCGTCTGCCCCTCGGAAAAGACGAGCCACTCGACTCGAAAAACAGCGTCCGGCGTTTCGTCCCATGCTGTCGACAAGAGAATCCTCCGTGGTCCTAGCCAAAGGCTGGGCATTTCGTCGCGTCCGGCCGTCTCCTTTGGCGCATGAAAACTGCATCGGATGGATAGAAGTTCAGCAAAGGTTGAGCTGATGCAACAGATGAAGAGCGAACAGGAGGAAGTCATGTGCTGTTCATCCGACCAGAAGCAGAAGCCGTGTCCGGAGATCCAGGTTGACAATCCATGTCCTTACTTCGATAAACCATCCGTGCGGAACATGGCCAGCCTTGTTCGGACGCAGAACTCAGAAGATGCAAGCAGCCAGCGAGTGGCCGGACTTCGACCGACTGAATCGCGATGAATGATGTGGTTGGCCCGGTGCAAGAAGAGGAAAAAAGCCAGGGAAGGGGGCACGGCGGGGAGAGCATGCTAGATGACGTCGTGGCAAGGTGGAGGCTGGGACGAGGAAGGTCCCTGTGCTGACAGTCGGTGACTGGCGTGCGCGACGAATCACAGTGGCTCAGGAGAACCAAGACGCTAAGGGGTGGGTGATCCAGCTTCACACTACCTACAATGTACCTAGGTAGAAACCTTAGTAGTGTATTGCCCAACAGGGTGCCGGTTGAATATGGGGCTACCGCGTGCAACTGACTGTCAACTGTGCGTTACCTGTTTACTCTGGGTTTCCTCGGCGTTGTTAGCCCAGGTGTGTGCACCCAGTGCGTATAGCCTATCTAGATCATTTTTACTGTACATGGAGACCGGCAGTGGCTCGGTGGTGTCGTCATGGTCCACTCGATGCATGCGCTGTTCGCAGGTGGGCAGCAACCAACACCGGGCCCAATTCCATGAGCTTAGCTGCTGCTTCCTCCTCCCAAGCTGGCAAGCAGCCAAAGGTCGCAGGATCTATCCTTGGTCGGTCCTCAGTGCGAACCGGGGGGCTCCTGCTCTCCCCGCTAGTTTGGCTTCCTACCCTAGCACGCCTAGCACGCCTAGCACACGTAAACCTGAGCCTGGGTTGGCCTGCTTTGCATCATCTGATTGCTCGTCCGTCATCCAATTCTTTATTCATCCCTCTTCTTTCCTCCAGACTTGCCCTCATCTGCCAGCTTGGTCTTTAAGGATACATCCTAACCCTCCCACCAGCCTTGTTCCAATCTCGGCCCGCCTGTGAACCGCTCTACCCTACAGAACCAGCCAGCCGGTCAAACGAATCATCCAGATGACGGGGTGGCATTAGTACCCCGGCATCCCTACCGTCCCCTACCCTTCCTGTAGTTTTATCCTGGCTATTACTGCTGGGTTTAGGACAAGGGTCAGAAGCAAACAGAAAACAACCCCAGAAACAAAAACAAAAACCGAGGGACTTCCCGCCCCAGCCTGTCATAGCTCCCTCATCCATCTGAAACATATTTGCGAATCCGGTGAGTTTCCCCATTGCATATCGCAAACCCCACCGCCTGGCTGCTCTCGAGTGACGAGTGTAAAATTGCTCTTGTCTGCATACCCGTACGCCATTCACCACCTCGCATTCCTGCGCAAACCCCCCCCATCTGTCCAGAGATACAATCGCTGAGTACAAATCCCTACAGGTTTCCGCCGCACACCAATCCCCCAGCCATCGCAAAGAATCGCAAACCCAACCTTGGGAGACAAAACACCAAATCAAAATCGCAGCAATGACCAGACGTGAGTCTTCTCCCCTTGCCAATCCCTGCGCCGCAAAACGTAGCAAACCATACTCCAGTTGCAGACTGACACAGCATCATTCCAGACGCCCCGCTGGGCACCGCGGCCATCATTTTCCTCTCGGGTTCCATCGTTCTGCTGCTATTCGTCATCCTGTCTGCAATCCGCGACACAACGCCCCTGAACCACACCTGGTTCCTCGAGGCCGACACCACAGGCATCACCGGCGCCCGCAATGGACTGACGCGATGGAACTACTTTTACTACTGCAACGACCAGAACGCCGAGTGCTGGGGTGCCTGGCCCGCTCCGGCCTTTGGCTGGGCTTGGGGCCGTGATGCGGCCAACGTTCCCGCCGGCCTCTCCGGTAGCCACGGGGGCGGCACCACCAGCACCGAATTCTTTTACCTGTGGCGCTTCGGCTGGGTTATGTACCTGATTGCTCTCTTCTTTATGGCTCTGGCGTGGTTCGCCAGTTTCCTCGCCTGTTGCGGCCGCCTCGGGGCCGCTGTCGCCGGCTTGGTTTCCGCTTCGGCTCTGTTTTTCCTGACAATTGCCGCCGCCCTTATGACGTACGTCCCACCAACTATGCAGCTCTTACTTAGACCGTCCTGTTGTGAACATATTGACTGACACTTTTCCCATAGCGCAACATTCGTGAAGGCACGCAACGCGTTCCAAGCCGAGGGTCGTGAGGCCCACATCGGCACCTACGCCTTCGGCTTCACCTGGGGAGCCTGGGCCGCTCTTCTCATCGCGACCCTCTTGTTCTGCATCGGCATTCGTGGCGACAAGGCCAACTCTGGAGGCAGCCGTTTCAGCCGCAAGCGCAGCACTCGCAGCCGCCAGTCTTTCGACGTCAACAGCAGCCGCCGCGTCAAGGAAGACTACGCTTGAGTCGTGCGACATTTGAAAAGAAGAAGGAGCATCCCGGACTTACTCACAATATTCCCTACTTTGTGTTCTTGAAAGCAAGTTCAGCGATGTATAGGATGTTGTCTTAATGAAATGCCCAGCGTAAGTTGTAATTACGCCCTCTGTCTTTTATTCTGCATTTCGCCGGCGTTTATGAAGAGCCGCATACATCTTTGTGGTCTGCCCGAGGGGGTTTGGTGGGCCTGTCCATGATCCTGGAGTTCTGTGTCTACCAGTACCCGGCTCCGACATATGCCACTCTTTCAAGTCTACCTAAACTAATAGACTAATACCGTTTGGAATCTCTTGAAAACAGCTCTCATCACGAATTCTCCAATTGATGACGATTTGATTCTGTCGGTGCGCGGGAATCTTCTCGACTGACAGCTTCGATCATGTGTTTCCCATTGATGATTATTTCATTTATTGCCTTGGACAAATTCAGCGAATGGCAACGCTGTGTAGCTGTACCTCCTTATTGCTGGGACGTCACATAGAGTATCCTTTCTTTGCCAGAGCAGTGGATGTATCCTACAGGTTGGCAACAGAAATTCCCTTGTAGTTTACCTAGCTCGCTAATCTCATGGATGATGAACAATACACACACACACAAACACACATATATATTTATATGTGTCTGTCTTCCACCACAAAGTAATCAAGCCGAATGCTGTCAGCTGAAGAGGGGGGGCATTGTAAGCCACTTAACACATGCCACAAACGCACATATTGCCAGACTGCTTGTCGATTGCAATTACTCTTTTCAATTAAAGAGAAAATACCCGAAAGAGTACCTTGCCTCGACTCCAGCTTGGATCGTGTCCCATCCTTGCAACTACCCTACTCCTGGACATACCTCGTCGGACCACGAACAGACGAAATTTCCATCATTTTCAATCACAAGGTCTCTTGACATCTTCAGCTTCAGTAGCCTTTTTAATCTTCAATCTTCTTTCTTTCTGTCTCGTGTCATGCCGCCCAGCCCCATCTGTCGTATATGCTTCATTCGTCATGAACCTCCCACGTCCCATGATCCTGGATCCAAGTCATGACCAACAATCCGTGATTCAAGGAAAAGCGAGTGACAAAAAAATTGCCAAACGTAAAGGGAACGCCATCCGTGTCATATACCGGACGTCTCCAAAGGCCGCGGGGCCCAACAAAGAAGCAACGCAGCAAACCCCCCAACCATCAAAACAAACACTCCTTGCCAACCAGTAATATATGCTGATGATGCAACGTAGAAATACTTGGATTGAGGGTATGAGACAAACCAAAAAAGATGAAAAGTGCAAGGGGGCCGAACAAAAAGGCCAACGGAGGCCAGCTCGGTCAGCATGGGAATGTGTGAATATCATAAACCTCTCCCACCATCGACGTGGTCCTGGCCTCTTTCTCAACAACTCCTACTCCAGGATGCCACCAGTTCCGGCAAGAGGGCTCGCGGTCGGCGACTGCAACGGAGCAGCATGCAATGCCGGTCGGGCTGCCGGGGCGATGAGGCCCGCACGCTTCCGCTCCAACACCGACTTGACCCAGTTGGCAACCTCTTCATCCTCGGTGCCAGACGAGAGGGAGAGCTTGCCAACAGCATCTGCAACAGCTTCAGCCTCCTCTCCCTCTTCGGCCTCCTCGGTAATTGTCTCGATCTTAGAAAAGGGCGTCATCCAAGGGTGTTGAAGCAGCGCCGCATAGGTAGGACGATCCTTCGGAATCTTGTTTAGACACTTGCGAACGAAGTCGTGTGCAGTACTGGAGAATCCCTCTTCGGGCAGGCCTGGGGGCTCTCCCTCAACGATAGCCTATCATCAAATTAGCTCGTGTCTCTTGGTAGCGTTCGTCAGACCTACGCTCAGCTGGCTGAAGATTGTTGACGATACCTCTGGCGGATAGGGGTATCGTCCCAGGGCACATTCAATGACCGTCAAACCGAGACTCCAGATATCACTTTGTACGCTGTATGTGCCATCAGCACCGGCCGTCATACCTCCTCCGGAAATACGTTCAGGAGCCATGTAACTCTGGCAACCAATGTTGGTCTTGGCGATACTCGCAACAAGATTTCCGCTCACGCCGAAATCGCAAATCTTGACTTGGCCTCTAGTATTGGCCAGGATGTTGGTAGGTTTGACATCCCGGTGAATAATGTTGTGTTCATCCTTCAAGGACTTGAGTCCCATCACCGTAGAGTAGGTAATCTTTTGTAGTACACCTTCGGGAACACCACCGTCATACAGCTTGTCGATTGATCCACCATCCATATGCTCGATGCACATGTAGACCGCGCCTTCTTGGAAGAAGGCTCCGTAAAAGTCGATAATGTAGGGCGATATGCACTCGTGCAAAATGATGAGCTCCTTGAGAATGGTCGTGAACTTTGCTTCTTCCAGTTCTAATCGGATCTCCTTCATCGCCATCACCCTCCCTGTACCTTCGGTGGATGCTGATACTGGCGATGAATCAATCGATTGATCAGCATTGCGAATGGGTGACGGGTCGGACTGGGACGAGTTCAGGTTCGGGTTCTTGAAGCCGCCTAAACCAGACCCAAACCTCGGTACTCTAGGCTTTGTGTGCCTGACTTTGTAGACGGTGCCGTAGTTACCCTTGCCGAGTTCGTCCAAGACCTCCACTTCGTCCAGCGAGATGGTGAACGCAGTTCCGTTGGCAAAATTGACACCGTTCTTGGTGATGGTTGCAGCGCCGTCGAATGTGATCCAACCCTTCTCTGAATCAATATATTTTTTGAACTCGTCCATCTTGGATCCCGTCGTTCCGTTGGGCGCACCGCCATTACTGGCGGGGCCGTGAATATCGGATAACTTTGGCGCGGTCGGAGAGGCAGGCGAGGGACCACCGCCCATGTCTGAGAGTTTCATCATGGGTCCACGCCTGGCAGCAAGCGACGGCTTCGTTGGGATGACGGGGGCGGAGCGGGGCATACCGCCAGGAGACGGCCGAACCATGCCTCCAGGCAGCTTCAGCCCTCCAGGTATACCTCCAGGCAGTCCTGCGGGAGAGCCTTGTCGTGGGACTGGAGACTGCGGCGAGCTCGCCATGTTGTTGGAAGGAGGTTGTGACCCAGCGGGCTTGCCCATGCGCTGAGCGTGAAGTGCCCTTGCCCTTGCCATGACTTCGTTCATGGCACCACCGCCCATGCTCATCATGGAAGCAGTAGGAGGCGGTCGGCGTGCGTTGCTCAACATGCCCAATGGTGTCGAGGACGGGGTCATGTTTTGAGGATCGGAGACGGTACGAAGCGACGGTAGACGTTTGGGTACCTCTGAAGGGGGATCCGAGGGGCCTTCAAGCGGGGTGCTAGCCTCGGAAGAGTCGGCGGAACCGGGCGACGTAGGACTGCCAAGTCCGTCTCTATCGCCAACGTAGCCGTCGGGGGTGGCAGGCATGGAGTCTGGAGTATTTAGGTCCGTCATTGCGAGATGCGAACTGTTCCGCGCGGCGAACTGATGCTATTGACAGTCGAGGGGAGGGGGTGTGGGAGCGAGTCGGGTGCAGGCGATGCCTCGGACGGCCCTAGAGCATGAGCGGCAGGTGATGGGCCAGGGCGATAGAGTGTGTGAGGACAAAAGTCGGGCACACGGTAGATATCGAAATATCGTCAAGTCCGGCCGTACGCGGGGTGCTAGGGGGACAGAGGGCCGATCGCACAGAGGTAAGCGGTGACAGAAGATCGAGAACTCGAGGGCTGTAGCGAAATGCTGCCGCGGGGTCTAGATGCGGCGGTTTTGGTAGTGTGGCCTGCTGCGCAGTCGGGGTCGGGGTTGCGACCGGGGCGGTGGCAAGGGCAAACTCTAAGTCGGGAAATGGCACAGAATGCGCGGGCGGGCTAGGCCGGCCAGTCCGATTTTGTTGAGCTGTGACGGTCGTCTGATGGTCTACCGGCTTGTGAGTCCAATGTCCAAAGCCGCGCAAACGGGTAGAGGGAAGAGAAACGGACGGTGGAAGAGAGATAGCAAGAGATGGAGAGAAGGATGGTTGGAGAGAGAGAGGGGGAGAGAGAGGGAGATGGAATGATGATGGTGAAAGAGACAAGCAGAGAGTATGCGAGGGTGGAGGCGCGTTTAATGGGAGAGGTGAGGGAAGATTGAGGAATGGTGAGAAGAGGAGAATTGATAACGAGGTGAGGAAAGGTTATGGCAGGCAACGCAACGCAAGCAACGGCAGGTAATTATGACAGGTAGAGAGAGGCCGACAGACATCTTGTTCGTCTGTCTCTTTTGCTCTTGCTCAAGAACCCAAAAGAGGTTGGCGGCGGGGCATGAATTAGACGAGAGAAAATGGGTTCGAAGTCGCAACGCAATTTTGGTGCAAACGTCACAAATGCAGCCCAGCCAGGAAGTACCTTGGCTATCTGTCATTGAGTAGGGGTACATGGGACCATCCGCGACGACTTGCAGACGTTGGCCACCTCAGTCACCCAGTCCACTAAGTCAGGTGTGAGGTTGGGTGGAAAAGGCGGGCGAGAGCAGTGGTCAGAGGCCCAGAGCGTGTGTACGGGGTTCGGAGTACGGATACATGGTCGTGCCTGCGGCCTGCCAGGATTTGAGAACCGGGCAGACGATGGAGCAGACAGCAATGTTCCTGCTCCGTCTTTCTTGTACTTGTACCTTCTGTCCACAGTGGATGCACCATACGCTTGTACTCATCCAGCAAGGTTGACATCTGCCTCTGCTTCTGCTTCTGCCCCTGCCTCCAAGCAGTATCGACCAGAGTTACAAAAAGAGAAAGAGGAATTGAGGGCAAGAATGCACCACGTGACAGGCAGGTGTGGACTGGAATTGGACTGGGGCAGGGAAGTTGAGGAAACGGGGCTCACCAATCGATATCTAGTGAGATCTAGATTCAGAATCATGAAGGTAGGCTGCCAGAAGTCGTACTGTCTATCTCCCTCTGTGCGGGTGTTTGTATGGAAAAGGCCAAGATGAGCAAGTTCAGATGGTTAGGGGGGCGAACTTGCAGAGCATATATAGAATCGATCAATACATTGAGTCGTTGACAGATAGAGTTGCAACGTGCAGCAGGGCAGAAATGTTCGAAAGGTGTGTGGGATGTGTCAAGATGAATAAGACAAAGGCAAAAGGGCACTTTGGGCGCCAACGTCCAGGTTGTGGCTGTTGGCGTTGACTTCTGTTGCGGGAGGAGGGCGGAAGATCCAGGACGTGGTACAGGTGTGATACATCAATGATAATCACGCTCCTGGCAGTAGAGGCGGTACGGTACCTACGTTTGCCCACAGACGATGCCTGTATCTCAGCCGCATTCAAGTTATCGCAGAGTACATGCCCCGAGTGTCTCTTGCCTGCCTACCTTACCTCAAGGAACTTGGTCAAAAATGTACATTGGTTCATCTATCAAACTCATCAAAAAAGAGGCGGGAGACGGCTCGTCGTGTCATCCACATTCAGGTAGCAAGACCCGTCCCATGCTGTTCTTCTTTGGTGGGACCTGACGGCTGGCCGGCAGTCCAATGTTCGTCCGTCAACAACACTCAATTTAGGTGAAGGCCCAAAGGGAGAAGACCCCTGCCTTGGGTTCACGACTACAGACACGAGGCAAGGTCATGGAAGGGAGCTTGGGCAGATGCGCCGCAAAAAAGAAACAAAAACCACATATCAAGCCTTCCAAGTGTCTCCAGCCTCACAAAACTTCCGAGCCTTTGACTTTGCTAGTTTCCAAAACTCCCCAGTCCCAAGAATGAAGGAGAAGCGCCTGCGCTGCCCTGAGCCCTGGACAATATGCATATCCGCATATGCATCGCCTGTCCCTGGGAGAGCACCGCCACCTGCATCACCGCCCAGTCTAACCAACTTCCTCCCGGCTTCTTCCAGGACATCGTGCATCCTGTGGCAGCGGCCCACTCCAATCGTCTCCCACGGGTTGCCCACGCATCGTCCGTCAGATCTCAGCATTGTGACAGCTCGACCACACCAAACAGCGAGATGCCCTGCGTCGACGACAGCAGCCAGCAGCCACCAGGACACTTGTTTGGCTCGGCTGTCGCAAGGGGACGAGCATGGAACCACTCGAACCCCAAAGCAGGCTCTTCACTGATCATAGCAGGGACCATCAACAAGATTTTCCCGCACATCACCTCTCGACGCGCCTGCATGTGTGCTCCATGCATTATGCTCCATCTTCTGCTTGCTCCGGTGGCGGGAGAGAGCTAGCTACCTCACCTTGTAGGATACCTGCTAAGCTCGCCGTGATGTTTCTGAAAATAGCACATGCAACGGCCTGAGTGATGTAACTCGCAACTCGGCACGGAGCCGGTCTACAGACCCCTACCTCACTCAACCAGGAAATATTGGCCACCAAGAAGACGAAACCTACAATGTAGAGACGAGCAACGAACGACTAAACTGCTTCTGTCTTACACCGCAACAGTCGCATTTGTTTTTCTCTTGATCTGGCCCCCACGTGTACACATTCCTGCACAGGTCCGCATCGGACATGACTCCTGTCGTCCGGTGGAAGCTTGCCTGTAGGAGGAAAAGCAAACGATTGGAGAAGACGGCACCATCATGCGGTCGGAGCATCCGCCAGGAAGGACGACGACGGGCAGTCCAAGATGAAAGCTGCATATCCCCCCGTTGGCGCTAGTCTCTTAGGACCGCAAAGTACCGTGCCGAAGCAGCGGCCATTTGAATTTGCGCATGCCATCCTTGATCGGCTCGACCAATGATCGGGTTATTCACAGGGAAGCCTCGAAAAGGGCTTGAGACAAGCAGATAGGCAGGACTAGGCTCTGCTCAGGAAACCTGGAAGCTCTGTTGGAGAATGGAGATTGGAGAATGCTTGCCTTTGGCCAGTTGATAGTGAGGGGCCTGTCATCGCCAATATCAACCACACCCCGGTCACTCATCCTGCCCCCTCTTTCGGCGTCTCGCAATTCGCTAATTCGCCAACGGGGTCGTTGCTGAGGAGTGATGACGTTGATGGAGGAGGGAGCAATGCCAACGGCAGACAGAAAAAGCTTGTGGCTTGAAAGGACGAGAATAATTTCCCGTGGGAGACTCGCTACAATGACGCTACTGGGCTCTTAGCCCGTCCAGCGGTTTCCTTTTCTCTCGTTTTCCACTTTTTCCTCTTCTTTTTTTTTTTTTTTTAAAATTTTCGTGAGCAAGTGAGGTTCATCCCTCCACCGCAGTTACTCCTCGTCGAAGCACATGTCCATCGGGAATGGACAGGTCACAGAACCCATGGTTTGCAGGCCACTAACCCCGAAAAGTCAAGGAGTGTACGCGATACCATCAGATGATTTCCACAGAGCGAAAGAAAGTCGAAATGGCCTTTGCATCATCGCTATGCATTTGGTGATGGAGATTTCGTGGAAACTGCGGCGTGCCACAAGGACGGTTTCCCATTACCTTAATGGATGACGTTTTCTCCATGAAGACAGGGTACGTACTTTTCCTTTCATCAATAAAGCTCCATCGTCTTATCAGCACGTCTACGGACGATTACCTCCGCCTGACATCATCGCTTTTCAAAATTGCTCTCCGCTTCCTGTCCAATCGTATGTCACACGGAGCGTCACCCGCGTCTATGCGATTCGCTGCCTGACGTCTCCACGCACTGCAATCCCACGGTACATTGGTAGTCGAGTAAGGTAGAGAAGTCAGTCGGAGCATCACAGAACTAGGTATCACGACTTTGGCGGGCATGACCACGGAAATGCAAAATCCCAGCATGCAAAATTCCATACGGAGCACCCGATCTGCAAATCTGCAAATGTAGAACACGGTGAACAAAAATCCAGGCTCTGGGCATTTGCCTGATCCCATCCACAACCGCCACTCGCTACGGCCTACCCGCGATCACCGCCTCATAGCCCCCCGCCCTGGGGGAATATGCAGTTTCAAAGTCTAACGGTCGGAAATAATTCAAGGGTCCTCTGGCAGGTTCTCTGGCTCTCTGGCTTTTGATGCCCAAAGATCTGACTTTCATGCTACGCAGCCCACATGGGACGCCGCGCACCCCGGACCAATCCCCATTGCGCAGCCCGCCGGAGCCCTCGCCGGTGGTCGTCAAGTGTGGCAAATGCTGTCAAAACAGAGTATGTCTGTGGAAGAGGTGGTTCAGCTCGTCAGGGAAGGCCCTGCGCAGCCAAGGAGAAGCGCAAAGTCAATGGCAGGAAGCATCCGATACGTTCAATTGCCCGTCCATATCCGTACAATACGTGCCTTCCGATACCAATTCCCTTGTTCCTGCTGACTGATTCGCAATTTTTTTCCTGATTTCGTCCAAGGTCCTTGTCGAGTTGTCGGTCTCTAATTCGGGGACGCAACAATCGCAAAACGACGAACCTCTGTCGTCATCAGCCACATGGTTCGCCACCTAGACCTGCCCATCCGTCCTGTGCCACAAGATCGTCCTCGATTCTCCACATCTGTCATCTGTTTCACCTAGGGTCCCGTCCAGTGTGACGTTTTCCCCCCCTCCCCCCACGCCTCTTGTCGATCCCACTTGTAGCGTCAGCTCTCATGACAAGCTGCAACATCTCGATGTTCAAACAAAACCGCAAAGTGGCACATCTCGGTGCATGGCGGGATGCTAATTGATATCATGCACCTGAAATTGCGCAGCTCCGAAGTTGGTCATTCTTAATCCGTTCCTCTTGGATACGGGGATGCCTAGTCCAAGGTCTGGTGATGGATGTAATAGACGCACATCTCGTTCATCTTGTGAATTTCCAGAATAGACAAATTTCGATTACGTCAAGGTCACATGTCAGCACGTGATGAGATATCAAAGCCACAACTACGAGTATGCAAGTACAGTATCTCCTCGATGTTAGTAGATTCATTCATTTGCAGTAATGGTGGCATTATTTACGAAGATTTTCATACATATTATATTTGAATCGTGAACTTTGGTCTGGGTTTTCTAAAAAATGAAAGCTCCTGACAGGGGTTCTTAAAGCATGAAGAATCAAGAGACGAATCTCAAGATTTCAAATGTTGTCTAGCATAAACAGCCACCACTACGCAAATCACAGTAACGTCACCTTCGAACACAGGGTTTATGTACAGTTATAGAGAGTGTCCTCTTTGACCGATCTATGTCATGCTCAAGCAATCGGAAATGGATGTCTGGATTTCATAAGAGAAATTCTGTTTATCGAGATTGTCAACGACCAAGGCAGTCACCACATTCGAGTGCTTCACGTCAAGTTTCCCTCTTGCATTGCTTGATTCGCCGCTACGTCCAACCAAGATAATGGTGCTTTTCTATAACGCTCCGGTGAGGCATCTGACTTGGGCGGAGTGTCTCTATGGTATTGGAGTCATTGCCTGTCCCCCTTTCGATGAATCCAGGACACCAACCAAACTTAGTCTATGACACGTCCGATGCAACACTTCCCCGTATCCATGTGTAGAACGTCGGCATCAAGTCGTTAATCCCTGATTCAACGACCGCCATGGGGCTGTGAAGGTGATCTCCCAATTTTGCATGAGGCTGAGCTGGTGGAGGGCCGTTGGCATACGTGACCGGATTCGGAAGAGGGCATCTTTCACGCCTTTCATTGCCTGTATTCATGTCAACAGGTACTACTTTACGTGTCTCCAAACCAAACAGATGGGGATCCAGGAGATGCAGAGCAGCACTAGAACAGCAGGGAGGGAACTGGAAGGACAAGAGGGAATCACAATGGCGAGATCCGCTGATCGATGGGAATAGGCCCTTGGTTCTCGTTATTAAAGAGATAGAGTATATAAGTGGAGGAGGTCGTCGCAATCTCGAGGGTTTCTCTTCATCTCTTCATCTAAATATTCGTGTTAGTATCTCAAAGCTGCGATAACATCGAGTGGGCAAGACTGACCTTCGTACAGGAGTGGTGAAGCGCTTGTCTCTCAGCTCGACCTGCTCTTCCCCTTCCACCGACATTGCAAATCTTAACGAGACGAGCCCGGCTTCTTCATGAGGACGAAGCCCTCGTCGACAACTTTGTCATTCTTGGTCGGGGGGTCTTCATAGTGGGGATCCCAGCAATCGTCATACTCATCATCGTCCGCGGTTTCGAGGGAGCTCGCGTGCTGAGGGCGAGGCTTAAGAACGCGAGAAGGCTTCTCGTGGTGCTGCGAGACGGCAGTTCCGGCAACTTTGCCAGCGGGGTCAGCGATCTTGCTGCCCTTGGCCTTGGTGTTGGCCGGCTGCAAACCCTTCTCCTTCAACTGCTCCTTCTTGACATGCGGGTCAGCGGCGTTCTTCATTTCCGGCTTGCTGTCAGTCATCTTGACGAGTGTGGAATGGCAGATGGCTTGGTTGAGCTTCTATAGCGAGTGTTGTTATGTTTCCTACGGACGAGTTTTGTTTCTTCGATGGTTCTCGCCGAGATGAGAAGGTGACAAAGTTCGAGATTGGGAGGTCAACCCCATTATCGTAGGCCTCAGGACGCCCTCGTGGGTGCTGTTCAGGGGTTTGGCAGACCACAACATTGTCAGTGAGTCCTCGCCCGCGAAGAGACACATGGGGCCTTGACAACAAAAGCACTGGCTCTGATGGAAGCAATCCCTTCATCTTTTGGAACGACCTGCCCCATGTTGTTATACCTACCTCAAGACATCATTCACTTATGTGCTCGGTTTTGCTGAACATTGACTTGAAGGTTCTTTGACAACTTGAAGCTTTTGGCCTCGCTCACGAAGAAATGAGGAGCGCAAAGGCAACTGAAAGAAGCGATTTCCTTGTTGTGCTCCGAACGACAAACACTTGTTATCTGCCTCAGAAGGAGGTTAAGACTTGACACAGACCTAGTATCGAGTGCTCAACTAAAGAGAGGATTTTGCTCGGGGACAATTACGTATCGATACGGCGGTGCAGCAAGGCTATCTGCTGCCGGAGCGCACACAATTGCCTTCAGGGTTCTGAGAGGATCGAAACTCCTGTCGAGAATGGAACATTTCGATGCTCCAAATTTCATCACAGAAGGATCCTAGACTACTGCAACGGGTAATGAAACTAGCTGAGGTATCGGAATATTGCGTATGGTTAGAAGGAACGGGTATGTGACACATGTCTTGGCGATCTGATAACGACGTCGTCCCTAGTGGAACAGCCCAGTTGTCTCTGCATAGCCTCGCGTAATGCTGCTTGCGTGAGAAGGTGATTTGGCACAGTAAAAACTCTTCTTCTGGCACCAGATATCTGTTTTGTCCTACTTCTGATACGACTGTACGTTGAACCGAGAGCCAAGATAGCTGTAGTCAGAAGGCGGTAGGCATCTACCCTGATGGAGCATCTGTGCGTATGTTCAGCAAAGCTCAAAGCGACCGTTTCCATCATGGGCAAAGTTGATCAGAAACGGCGGGGTAATGGGGATTGCAACAGCCTCACTTCGGATGTGCATGCAACTTGGCGAAGGAGGTGGGCAAATGCAGCCGAGAGTTCACTCCCGGAAGTGAATGCGGACCGCGGCCACGAAGCTTAAGTTGCCAGCAAGACCCTTGAACTTTTGGGCTACAATGCAGCTTGGCGGCGGTATCGGAGTTTAATATTGACAGCATAGCCAGGGAATCGGAAGAGCCAACACAGAGACGAGACGGCGAAGCAGGTAAGTTATTAAGCTCTAACTGTGGTGTCTGGGCAGCAGTGTTGCTGATATCCTCTTAAACCCCGAAGTTTACGGAAGAGGAACTGGCAAGAGAATCGTCTGTTGGGAATCAAAAATTGGGTCTCGTCGTCTGCTGAGTGGTTGGCTGAAAGAGGTGACATTTCCGAAACGAACGTGTGCTTCTCAACCGCTGCAACCTGACGTACAGCATGCGTACCTTGCGGGACTCGGGAGGAGACGGCCTAATGTGCCTCTGTGCGCGTGTGTCTCTTGGAGAAGGATCGTCAAGTGTGGCATCGCACCTCGAATGGATAATCCAAACGACGTATCAGCATCCGTACTCTGGACATTTGACAGAGCACGGAGGTGAGAGCAGTTTGTATTATGCTCTGCCGCCGCAGGTAGGCGGTACAAGGTCGTGTGCCGATGTGTAACATTATCAGACAACGGATGAGTCAAGAAAGATGGGGGCGGAAAACCGGAAACGGCCAACGGCACGGGATAGGGCGAAGCAAGGGACGGGAGCGAGAAACGGTGGTGGGTGCGTGGATAAATTAACTGACGAATTGCGTCGCAGTCGGGTGGGAGTCGTGAGGTCGCAGGTAGGCCAAAGACGAGGGGCCACGTTGGGTCCAGGCATGTCATGTCAACCGGAGCTGGCGACGTCAGGACAATTTCGATTTCGATTCGACGCTATTGCCAAGACGGTGTAACACACTGCGCCTGTTGTGCCAAGAGCCGGTCTGCCTCAAGGCGCTTGCTTCTGGGCGTACATAAGTTGACGGCGTGCTCGTTAGGTTGTTCTGTGACAGTCCTTTTTTGGTGTTTTGCCACCAACACACAACACAGCGGTTGCCTCTTTGGAGAATCTTATTCCGTACTGAGTGTCTGGAACAACTGGAGGAAGCCAACTTCATGGATAAGGTGGTGGAAAATGGCAGTGTACAAATGGAAGGGAGGGAGGGAGGGAAGGAGGGACGCGCAAACGGAGCAGGAATAGCCGGGGTGCCTTGCATGCAGAGTTTTGCGGGTTGGGAGACCCAGCATGAAGCAACAGGCTGATGCAGCTCAGTTTCGGCATGAGTTGCTCAGAGTCGCTGGCTGGCTAGGTACCCAGGTAGAAGGAGCTGAGGCCAGCGTCATCGTGCCCGCTTCCGCGTATCTGATTGGGCGCCAAGACTTTCTTAGCGGGAGGAGTCCGCTGCCTTCCCTAGTGCCTTACGCGGTGGGTGGCTGCCAGGTTGCCGATGTTTGTGTGTGTGTGTGTGTGTGTTGCACTGTCACATTCCCTGCTGGGGGGAGGTGTCAAGGTCGCGCCACTGCACCATCTGCGTAACTGTGAGGTGCTACCAAGAACAGTATCCATAACAGGCACTTGAACGGACGGGACGTGACGGAACCTGAACTGTTCCCAAACAGTGAGCTGCCGCGCTGAAGTCGCACACTTCGAGCCGCCCTCATCCCTGGAGACCACAGCCCAGTGCGCCGCGCCGCCGCCAACGCCATTTTGCGCCGTGATTAGCTCGCCCAACTACGCCTCTTTCTTCCTTTATCAATCGACCTAACTACCTTCCCTTACTTACCCAGCTGGGCCACCTCATATCATCGTGCCTTCCCTTCTGTGGCTGGAAACTCCCCGTCCTTCTGACTTCGCCTCTATCTTTATCCTGCCTTTCCCTCTTCTACCCTTTCTCTTTCACACCTCAACTGGCAACTTGCCTTCCCACGATCCTCATCGACGACCAGCGCGACCGCACTAATAATACCTTGGTACTTCCTCATGTCTCCCGCCGCCAGATAATGAGAGCTTGGTCGCAAACCTCTGGAAAAGGCCGAACTCTACTGTGGAGGCCCGATACATACCACCGATAATTCCGACATCCAACGAGAACCCCGATCACCGACTTGAGCCTCAATCCTTACTCTCCATTCCGATCCGTCCCATCGCCGACTATCCGAAACATTCACATCGTGCTGCTTGGGCCCGATTACAAGGTCAACGCGCCGCGCCAAGCCTCTTAAGAACCTTCCATCTGCTTTGGCCTCCCTGGACCTCCGTCCATAAGCCCTTTCCACCTCCGCCGTATCCTTCGTCCAACGTCGCAGTCTCCGTTTTTGCGCTCTCTCCAATATCCAGGGCCCAGAATGGAACAACAATACTTGACGTCGCCGACGTCGTTTCGACTGGCAGATATGGCTCAGAACGTATACGAAATGCCCCTCATGGCTATGAAGAAACCACACGACTCCCACCCATCCATGGGCAACTTGGTTCTCCTCGTCTTCGAGGCTGTCCTCGAGGTTGTTTGCGTGAGCTTGCCGGGCTATATCATTGCTCGTCTCGGCCACTTTGACGCCGAAAAGCAAAAGTTCTTGGCCAACCTCAATGTCATGCTGTTCACGCCATGCCTCAGTATGTTCATAGTTCCGTGGTATGGACGATCTCTGTAATCTTGCTAACAGTACCCCCAAGTTTTCACTAAATTGGCTTCGCAACTAAATGCCGACAAACTCCTCGACTTAGCTGTAATCCCTATCATTTTCATCATTCAGACTCTTGTTTCATGGCTTGTCGCTACCGGTGTCGCCCGCGGCTTCGGTTTTAACCGCCGCGCTACTAATTTTGTCACGGCGATGGGAGTCTTCGGAAACTCAAACTCCTTACCAATCTCCATGATCTTGTCTCTCTCGCAAACTATCAAGGGGCTACACTGGGACAAGATCCCTGGAGACAATGATGACGAAGTTGGCGCTCGTGGCATTCTCTACCTCTTGATCTTCCAGCAGCTTGGTCAGTTGGTGCGCTGGAGCTGGGGTTACCACGTGTTGCTCGCTCCCAAGGACAAGTATCCCGAGTACCAGGACGAGCGCATCGAGGAGGGACAATTCGCGGGAGAACGCGAGACCGCCCCTTTGCTGAACGAGTACGACGATGGCACGGCTACTTCCCGCAGTCACTCCAGTGATGACCTGTCCAACTACGAGCCGGCTGGTCGCACCCCTGTTGCCAGCAGATCCAGAGCCTCCCCTGCCGATACCGAAGATGAGGACGACGAGTACCTTCCCAAGAAGCCGATGAAGACCAATGGTCTCGGGCCCCTTAATGGCAACCATCCCGTTTTTGACGGAAGTGGCGACGAGATATCGTCCTTTCCCCGCATTCGTAACACGGATGAACCCGACGTCCCTGAGGGAGTTAAGGGCTACCCTACCCGCATTAAGAACGCTTACATCAACACCGTTACCTCTGTCAAGCAGTCGATATTAAACTTCTCTACGAGAATTTACAACAGTCTACCGTCTCCCTTGAAGACGATTCTCTCGGCCGTGAGCTGCTTCGCCGTCAAGTTTTACAACTTTCTGTGGGAATTCATGAACCCACCTCTATGGGCCATGCTCAGCGCAGTTGTTGTTGCGTCTGTCCCGGCTCTGCAGAAGATCTTCTTCGAGGAAGGATCATTCATCAAGAACAGTTTCACAGATGCTGTTCAATCTAGCGGTGGCGTTGCTGTGCCCTTGATCCTGGTCGTTCTTGGTGCCAACCTAGCTCGTAATACCCAGAAGAGCGAGAAGATGCGAGATCCCGAGGAGGATCAGATCGGAACAAAGCTCCTCGTCGCATCCTTGGTGTGCCGCATGCTCCTACCGACTCTGATTATGACTCCTATCCTGGCCGTCTTCGCCAAATATGTGCCAGTCAGCATTCTAGATGACCCAATCTTTGTCATCGTCTGCTTCTTGTTGACCGGTGCCCCGAGCGCCCTCCAACTAGCTCAAATTTGCCAGATCAACGAGGTCTACGAGAGTGTCATGTCGAGAATTCTCTTCCAGAGCTACGTCATCTGGTATGTAACCGAACTTGTTTTGGACTTCTTCCGGTGCATATGCTAATAATCAGTGTAGGATTCTTCCATCAACCTTGGTGCTCGTCATGTGCGCCTTGGAGGTTGTGGAATGGGCTGCATAAGCTTTCGATTGCTCTCCTTTTTGTAGAAGGCCCACGGTATTGGGCGACATAATAGTGCCGTTGATTTCCATGAGAAATGGTTTAGGCGTTCAGGTATCCTCAAGACACATGAAGTGACTCGGGGCAAAAGCAAACGTGAATTGGCCCTTTGCCATGTATCTTTTACAGCACCAGCGGATTGGGACGAAGTGGATTTCAGCATAATACGAGTCGAAGTCACCAGGCCCTCGAGGTGATTCCTTTGCGTTATCGATGCTTAGCAAAGCTACAGCGGATGTATATTGTAGTAACAGAAACCTGTATATTAATGTTCATGGATCATTCAATAATCATACGGCGGGCGCTGCTCTGTCTGTGATGTTTCAATGTCGATTCTATCTTAGATGAATTACTCTTATATCACCTGCTCACTCTTGACGTACGATACTGCGCAAGACGGATAATAGTGGCCGCAGGATATTACCACAAGAGGACGACGGAATCATCAATTCAAAGGATGCAATGACAATGTCATGGTACATAAATTACAGCAGGGACGTGATAGATTTACTTTCATATCAACATAACGTGCCTTGGACGAACAAATGCGCGTCGCTGCAAGTTGACCGAACCCCACCGAGAGACAAGGGTGCCAGCCGGCTCTATGCGGACCCATTTATACTCACGTGACCACACGTCAGTTGTGTCACGGCAGGAAAGAGGGTCGCGGTTTGCGACGCCTTCTGACTTTGTCAACTTGAAAACCAAAACATTGCCACCTAACAAGCAATCATGGCCTCCCGATCGAGATCGCTCTCTCGCGACCACTATCGCGATCGTTCCCGATCGTTGACGCCGCTGTCAGACCGGTCTCGCTCACCAGTCCGTCGCCATACGTACGATTCGCGATCGCCGTCACGTTCCAGGTCTCCCACACCGCGACGAAATGGCAGACAGAGGAGCGAAAGCCGCAGCCGGAGCCGTGGAAGGAGCGCCAGTCCTGCCATCAGAAGCACCAAGGTGAGATTATTTTCTTGCTCTTGTAATACTCGCGTCTTGAAAGTTCATTCGGTTGACTGAGCATCTAACTAGGTTGTCGTCGAACGTTTGACCAAGAATATCAATGAAGCCCATTTGGAGGAGATCTTTGGCCAATTTGGACACATCAAGGATCTTGATCTGCCCATTAACAGAACTCGTCAGTACCTATGCTCATAGGGTCGGCCTGCATGGCCCCCAACTGGAACCCTGTTACAAGAGGCTGACCGTCCTTCTTTTTCAGACGGCACTAACCGTGGCACTGCTTACATCCTTTACGATACGGAGGCCGATGCTGAGGACGCCATCGCCCATATGCATGAGGCACAGCTTGATGGCGCGGTAATCAACGTCTCAATTGTCCTCCCTCGGCGCAAGATGTCCCCAGCACCTCCTGCGGCTCGACGTGGCGGAGGCTCCGATGCTAGAG